GTTTCTTCTAAAAATGCTTGCTTGCTGGCACCACGTTCAATGAGAGTCAAATAAACATTGTTTATAACTTCCTTAGTTTCAATTGAATAGTGTTTTCTACATTTGGGCGGGAGCATCTCCTGAGATACACTAGACTCGCACATATTTTGAATAATTCGCACACGATTCAACACACGCTGTTTTACACACGAAATAAGAATTATTACTAATAAACTTAAATTAAGTAGTATACCAAACCAAAGAATATTAAACACAGGTAGGTATAAAATTATTTTCTATTACGGACCACAATTTTACCTGAATTTAAATTCCGAAACTTTAGGTAATAAGCTTGTTGCATTGTATGTTAATGACCACCCTTGGATAAACCCATTCACTTTTTTATATCTATGAGCAGACCATACCCCTGCATTAATGGATTTTCGTGTATAGTTTGTCTCAATCTTTATCGTGTTGGCTTTCGACGGACCCTCCCCAATAAAACTTTAACGATGTTATTACCTATTGTTATTGGGTAAAGCCATTAACAAAAAATTTACTCTTACTTGCGTGACCAAGTGGGGGTGGGCCAGGTATATTTCTGTTTTTCTGTTATATTTCTGAAGGATTCTAGCTTGGATTATCATGAGGATACAAGTGCCGAGCTTTTTGAAAAAGCACCAGCCTCATCAAGTTGAAAAACTGAAATGAGTTACAAAAATGGGCAACAGTATGTTTGCGACAAATGGCTCAACAGGCTGGGCATAGTGTTTTACGTCCTCCTCCATATGTGACTAAGTAATGTGACTAAGTAAAGTCAAAGGTCAGAGCAGAAAATGTAAGTCTTACTTTAAGTCTCAGTGTTATAAATTTGATAAAAGAGTGTAATTAATAACGTACCAATTGAGAGCAGGAAAAATTCAGTACAGCACATTATAAAACATGACGACATTGACGAATGTGATAGCGAAACAGAATTAGATTTAGACATTTAGAATAAAAATGTAATTATGTATAGATATTCCTAGCTATGAATTTATTGTATATATTTAAAGTAATTGTTTTTTCTTAGGAAATAGGATTATATCCATCTAAATAACCAAGAAAAATTACTAAAACCTTTAAGAGTTCGTTCCAAATGTTCTGTCCTTTAATACCTACTGGACCCGAGTTTTATTGCCGTCGGCAGGTAACTTCCATAATTGCGCCAGCACGATGAAGATTCAGAGAGCCTTTACAAAGCTGACACATTTCATTAAAGCGACTATTTATAAATATCTAAGACTAAATGGTGAAAAAGTGGATTTACATAGATCTAGTTCAGATAGAACACCGCTCCTCTAGTGCTTGAAAATTCAACATTTTCTAAGAAATCCAGAATATCAAAATGGCTATGAGAATTTTGTTTGTGTCATCTTTTTTCTGTGAAAATAAGTGACCCTCTACGTTTTGTGTTCTTAAATACTTCTAAGCAGACCTTATCCCGTTTATTGCTGTTTGAAGACTCTGTCACGTACGCAATGAGGTAGTTCATTGCAACACAGGTTTGCGGTATAATTTGAACCAGACTATACTATCGAAGAATAAGGTATTCGATAAATTGATTATACGCGGCACTGAAGCGAAGAAGAAGTCCCAATCATCATCGAATGCACTGGCTACCGGCCCAGTAACATTAAGCAGCCGCCAAAATACCAGGTATCTAACAAGAACCACTTTCTCCGCGATGCCGCTGCCCGGCAAGGTCGTTCTTGGTGGTATCTGTTCGGTACCCGCCATGAAAAACAGTACCGTCACCATCACCAAGCGAGCGCGGCGATTTTCAATCGGTGACGATGATGTTTCGGTTTGCGAATTGTCTGTTATCTTCGGTGCTGTTCGTCGGGGTAGTCGGTACGCCGGGGCCTGGTCCGGCCATACGATCTTCGGGACAGTTTAATGGCAAGAGTCCAGGTTAGGTCTATTGCGCAATATAATACAAAGTTTTTCCGAAAGCATAGAAAACAACCCCGAGTGTCGCGTTCTTTAAAAATATATTAAAGCTGCGCCCCGTTTTTCTTCCACTTCGGAGGATAATTTTAATTGCGAAGGGCATAAAGAAGTACATAGAACCAGCATAGAATCTAGTACTTAGATATTTATCCGTTACTTTCGATATCTGTAGTGAAACGTAAGGTATATTTGCAGGGATTTTTACAGCGTCAGTATGAACACCATATGCATTCCTTTATTCCATGAGAATTTTTGAGGTAGTTTATAAACTTTATTGGTCTATTACTTAAATTACTAGTCTGACCTGTCGACGAATCTGACTTTTCATTATTATCATTTTTATTATTATTATTGTTTAGAGTTTCCTTTTTTTTAATTTTATATTTATTATTTCGACAAAGCGGAATTTGGAGTGTGTCATATTTCGATTTTTAGCCTAGTTAACAGCCTTTAGATTATTGTTATAAGTAATTTTAAATTTAAAGTAGAAATGACTACAAAATATCTAAATTCCAGTAGTGGTGGCAGGTGCGGGGTGGCAAAACATAACTGTGTAAGACTCAAAGCTCCATTTGGACTCAGGGGCAAAAAGGCAGCACCATCTAGCGCATTTTTCAAACCACAAACGATTTCGATTTAATAGCAGGCAGAAGTAGGCACTTATTGCCAGCAGTAGATTTGTAAAATGTATTATATGGAAGATAAGTCTTCTGTGGCAAAATTATTGTAATGTAAATGTAAATGTAATACGTAATAGGTTTGTTCGAACCGCAGTCAGACAGCATTTTCTTACAGTCAGGATTATGCGCAACACCGCGAAAGAGATAATGAGAGATAATAATTTGTTTTGCTGTTCCATCGTAATTGGAAAAATATTTGAGGACTGTTGACGAATTTTTTGTTTACCGTTAGGTTTTGTATTAGCGTTTTAGCACTGGGTACTGTTCAAATGGACTTTACGATTTAAAGACAGTATCAGACTTTTTTAAGCCGGTTATATCTATGCCAGTGATTGTTTTCTAATTTATTAACAAAACTAAGGTGTTTGATCAATATTTTTATTGATTTGTGTACAACGGCATCAAAATTTATAGTATTATCATGTGGACTCGCATCTTGGAAAATGCTTTCTATAACTTTTATTCTTATTTTATAATTTTCAATGTCCCAGTTGCACCGCATATTTGTTTTATTTATTCGGGGTTTGTCTTTTCTAATAGGTTGTGTGTCATTTGCTCTAACATAAAGTATACATAGGCACTTTTCCTTTTTTTGAAAGCTTTGCCAATAAGGACATTTTGTTTTCTAAAGTATAGACACTTATCATCAATACATAAATACGTTGAGACATCTTGCATTACTTTCACAACAGGAAAACCCATTTGATCCTGTGTATTCTCGAAATTTTCACTTTCTTGAATATTATATTAAAATGCCTAGATTTTTAACTATCTGTAGTCCAGAGTTTTAAGTTATTTTCAAAAGTATTTCAATTTCAAAACGTTATTTTTGAAAATATTGTTTTGTTATTGGTTATTAATTTGTTATTAATTTATTTAAGTGCCTGATCACTATTTGGTCAATATCTACGTGAATATGAGTGTCCTGAATTATAAATAAACTAACGAAGTTTCATCAATGGCGTCATTGGAACCTAGGATGACTAAAAAATTAAATACAATACAAATGACGCTAGCAAGATATGTAGATATTGTAGAAGATTGATAACCGGCTAACGTACGAAATATTTCTGCCAACTGCGAAAATCATACACCAAGTTTTACACCATCACACATCACAGATTTGTAATAAACAATCTGATGGGCGTGCTCATTGAAAATCATTGGAAAATGTTTCATGTCCTGTTGGGACTTGAGGTTGGAACAAACCTAATAAGAATGGGTCGAAAGCCGCAAAAATTCATAAATCGTCATTGCATAACGGAAATTGTAGACAATCTGAAAGAACATTATACGCGATACATGGCAATTACAAAATTGAAACTTTCTTAAGCTTGTAACCGACGCCTTCGGACGACATTATCGCGAAAAAATTGGGTCGCATGTACGCCTTGAAGAAATAAAAAAGCAGTTTCAAAATAATCCTGTTTCAGAGGAAATCCACCGCCGATATGAAAATAAAACAATGAAATCTCTTATTACATCTTACCAGGTACAACAGTAGACTTGTCGTTTCACGTCTCTGTGATTTTATTTTTCACGGTTCCTTTGGTAGATTGGTCGTTTTTGTTTTTGTTAATTGTTGGTATATTCGGCCCAATTTTTCCACTATAGGTTCATGTTATCGTTTGTTATCGTAATTATCAAAGGTTCTGTGTTACAATGGACACCAGTGTGAGATAATTGTATTGCATTATTATAAATAATAATAAATCATTTTAAACTGCTCTCTTATTATATTATGTAAATAATTATTACAGTAGTAATATAGTAATTGGTACTTAATAATAATATATTATGCAACAAGTGAGGTAAACGTCATTTGACTCACGAGTTTATTTGGCACGAGCGGAGCGAGTGTTTAATAAACGAGTGACTTATAAAGTTTCGCAACCAAAACTCAGGAGGCATGATAGATCAGGGTGTAATTAGGTATTTTTCAGACGGGAATAGAAAAAATTAATTTATTATATTTATAGTTATAATAAATAAATAGGGAAAAGGTTTGCAAGTGAGGGTTAGAGAGCACTGTGTTTCATTTGATCTGCATTTGAAAAAAATGTTTTATTTTTCGCCAATTTCAAAAAATTATTAAGAGTTGGCAACAACACAAGCAAAGAAGTCTGTGATTTGAGTTGTAAACTGCAAAAATGTGATACAAATACTGACACCCCGCGGCGCTCAGCTCAAACCATATAAAACTCGTTACTAAAATCGCCTCGCATAATTTTGATATTTTATTATTTGTTTTAGCAGCAATTTTAATTATGTATTAAGCAAAATCTTTTATTATTTACAACTCTTATCGAATTTAATTATAATTTTATAAACGGTATTAAATTTCTTCAGATTGCCCGAATTGCATAGAAGATGCGCTACCGCAAATGAACAGATGGACGATGCCTCTTTTGAAGCTGGGCGAAAAACGATACTATCTAGGAATATTTTTCAAGGTAAGGCAACCGCTATATTATAATTAAATTCTGGCGGAAAAATATTTATTGTATTGCCGAAAGCTAGATAAATTTAATATTCTAAACAAATCAAATCATATATCTTTATTCCAAAGATCAAATTGCAGTTGGCATAGAAAAAGTCGATCCTTTACAAAAGTATGTTTTTTTTTTTTAATAAAATACTGTAGAAAACATTTTCTTTAAAAAAGTTTTGCAGCACTTTTTTGAAAATTTGGTGCTTGAAACACTAATTTCTCTGCAGGATAAGTTAAATTATTGGCGTACCTGGTAATAAAATTATGAAAGTCACTGTAAAGTGTAACAACTGTACGTTAGACTTAGCATACATTATTATTTCAAAAATAAAAATGGCAGGTACAGTTAAAAGGGATAGACAGGGTTTTAAAAAAGTGAGCGTACCCTGAGACACGGCAATGTTTCTAACTTCATACTCCGGACGGAGAAACAGATAAGGGTGTATATGTGTAGTTGTTAAGCTGTTTAAAAAGATATATAATAATTGTTTGCTTAAATTTTTTAAAATATTAACAATGTTATTTAATTTTAACTTTTGGACAGATACATAGTGTTTTAAGGAAAAAGAGTTTCATAATTAATGTTTTTCACATCCTGTGAGAATTACCGTCGACACTATTAGGTGTCTCTCTGAGTCAACGTATAGCTCCATCTTTTCTACGCATCTTGTTTTTCTATTCTTTATCTCACTTACTAAATGAAATGCGGAATTTGTCATATCAGAAGAATAGTAGAAAATTATTTTAATGAGGTGAATATTGAAAACTTGGGTTGGTCTTTAAGCTGACCTTAATGTCTGGGTAGCTTAAACATGTTGCCCCTTTGGATGATGCAGGAAACATGATCAAGGAAATGGGACTTATATCGCCTGGTTCATGTAATTCTGCTATAAGGAGTAGCGAACGAATCATCCGATATAGACTTTGTATTTGTTTAATGTTTATGATTGATGTTTAATTTATAATTAAATGCTGAGAAAAGATCGGACTATACATTGACTTATTCAGACATCTAATTCTCACAGAATGTGCAAGAATGTGCAAAACATAAAGTATGAAACTCGACTTTCGTTAAACACTCTTTACATTCCTAAAACATAAATTTAAATAATAGCTTTTCTATAAATTTTAGTCGTGCTTTAATTTGAATTCAGTGTATGTGAGTGTATTTGAAAAATGATTGAAAAAATCAAAGTATAAAGCAAAGTATAAAGATATTGTCTTTATTATTCTTTAATTTAGAAACTCTAGTGGTAACTTGGACTACATAATCAAAAACATAATAACGCGAGCTGACGAAGTAACCAAAACTGCAAATACGGCGTCCATGATAAACAGTGAAGTTGGTAGTGGTTTCAAGAAAACAAGTATAACAGCAACAGTGCTGGAAAGTTGGCTGTTTTGTGAGGATGCCGTGAATATCCCTGATTTATGAAAATAAATAAGAACTAAAAGTTCAGATTTTCACGAAATTATATATCTTTACATGACAATTGTTTTGACAACACCGTGTCTGTATCAAATGTAATATTTTAAAAAACAATAAAATGAAATGTCCAAAATCTCAAAAATCAAATGCGGATTTTGTCCTAAAATTTATATTGGAAAAAACAGGTAGATCCTTTAAGAAACGCATTAACGAACACAAGAGAGCATTTCAAAATAATAGTCTAGATTCTAATTATGCTTTACACTTAACAACAGAAAATAGTATATTATGCAAGAAGTGCGGTAAACGGCATTTGACTCACGAGTTTATTTGACGCGAGCGAAGCGCAGTGGAGCGAGTTTTTAATAAACGAGTGAGTTAAAATGTTTACCGAACGTGTTGCATTCTATACTTTTTCTAGGACCGTTAGTCTTTGGGTACATTTTCGCAAAACAACACGAATACATTGACTCACATGACCATCAGAATTGTCAAACGTCAAAATTCAAAGCCTGGGAAATATCTCCCAAAATATCTGATTGCTCCCAAATCCGTGCGGTAAAATCCAAGAAATGTCTGAAGTGGCTCGAAATCATTGGAAACGAAACTGACGTGGTAAAGTGGCGCTTCCCGCACGCTAGATCGATGGGTAATTAGGTATTTTACAGACAGGAGTAGAAAAACACCTTTTGACGACAATTTTGATATTTTACTTACAGCCACAAAAAGCAGAAAATTAAATTTATTGGAAACCATGGAGATTAACAAAATGAGACATTCAACGATCAGTTAGATTTAAATACCTCTCCTTTATTGAACTTAAATTCTCACAACAACATTATTGTCATTTTTCGGTATATATAGTAACAGGTAGTTTGTAAATATTACATTTGATAAAGACGGTGTTGTCGAAAAAATTGTCATTTCGTGAAAATCAGAACTTTTAGCTCTTATTTATTTTGATAAATGGATTTTCATCAAGTAAAAGCCACCTCAGTTCAATCCCTGATTTACTTCAAGTTGATGAAGCTTCCACCGAGAACGTATTTGTAGATTTCTGCTAAATTTTCTAATAGGCTAGTAAAATCAAATCGAAACCCTAAGTGTTTCCGAGAACCCACTGACGATGGTTCAACTTGAAACACCCGGTATAAGAGGGACAAACACAGGCAGACGCACATACATATAGCAATACTTTGTTTATGTGCAATGTTGTCTAGTGATATAACGTTTCAATGGAATGCATGAGGACATCTAGGCGCGTCAAGTTAGCGAGCGCCGTAGCTAATAAGACAATCGAATGCCAATCAATTTTTCGTATTTTCCCGTAACTAAACATAACATACAGCATCAACGCCGTGGTTTTGGGAACGCCCTCTATTTTCGAACGGAAACGAATACCCAGGCATTGATCGATACGTAACACGCGAAAATATACAGGTAAATGTCAATGGCGAATGCCAAGGTTCGTGCAACCCACATATTTTCGAAGCCCGCGATTGTTTTCGATTAACATTGGTGCTAAAGTCTGTTCATAGATATAAGAAAGTGACTAACTGATACGAACGAAGGACAGACCCGGGCAAGCTGTAAGAATGAAATATGGCCGAACAGGTTCGTACTTTGCTTAGAATTTAATTATTTGCGGTTTTGTTAGGAAAGATACTAAACAATATTTGTTTATTTATGTATGTATTCATGTTTAAATCTAAAAATAAAATTACAAATTATTTTTATTACCTACTTAAATTACTTAAAATTATTCACATAATATATCAGTATCACTATCGCTATCATCGTGTGTTCTAATTATTATTTGTTCTATATTATTTGCAATATGGATATACGATTTTTCCGCCATTTCTATATGTTTAACAGGATTTGCCCAACTTTATGGAGGGATGATAAAAACTTCGATTTTTATAAGTTTGAAAACGTTGGAGTTAACACGGGGAAAAACATTGTTACGACGCATGGCAGATTTTAGTTGGTGCCAAACATGTTCAATGGGATTAAATATACAGTGGTCTTAAAACTGTATGGCCTAAATTTTTTTGCATAATTATCACAGACGTATTCTTATTGTAGGTTCAAGCTTTGTAGAACCTGAATTAATTGCATTTGGTATAATCTTCGTGAAAATAAATGTCGTTATTATACATGTAGTTTTGGATTGTTGCTTTTTTGTCACAAGAGGAAGGGGTTTTAGTCAACTGTTTACTGTGGACAATTACGCTATCAAGAGGAATGTTTGGAATTAGTTTGTTTTTATCCTAATTTTTTCTAGATATTCCAGTCGCCATTTCCGAATTCTAAAAGATTCCATTAAAACTTGCCTTTTGTCAATTTTTTGAAATCTAAAACCCATGTGTTGAATACATTTCCATAAGGTAGTTCTGCCACATTTAACACCGGTTTCATCTTTTTCAAGCCTCCTAATTAAGATATCTAATGTAGGGACGCTTAACTGGCAAATTTTACGCCGTATTATATCTTGATAACTTTCATCTACAATCGAGAAAATGTCAGCATCGCTTCTTTTTTTCGTCGCTGAAATGGGATTATGCACAATTTTCTATACAGTTGATGTTGAAATTTTCGTCAATGTGGCCGTTTCTTCTAAAGATGCTTCCTTGTTGGCACCACATTCAATGAGAGTCAAATAAACATTGTTTATAACTTCCTTAGTCTCAATAGAATAGTGTTTTATACATTTGGGCGGAAGCATCTTCTGAGATACACTAGACTCGCACATATTTTGCATAATTCGCACACGATTCAACACACGCTGTATTACACACGAAATAAGAATGATTACTAATAAACTAAGTAGTATACCAAAGCAAAGAATATTAAACGCAGGTAGGTATAAAATTATTTTCTATTACGGACCACAATTTTACCTGAATTTAAATTCCGAAACTTTAATTAATAATCTTGTTATTGTATGTTAATGACCACCCTAGGATAATCCTATTCAAAAGCAATTGGTCACTTTCTTATATCTATGAACAAACCATATCTATTTAATGCGCTAGTCTGCGGGCAACGTCCTCCTTTTTTCTCCCGTCAACTTGAATTTAGCTAATGGGCTAATCCATAGACTAACTATTGAGTCTATGGATGATTCGTTCTAGGCGTTACTAGCCAATCCAGTCCTCGTTAAACGAGTCCAATGATTAAGCAATGTCGCTCGCAACTTTACTTGAAAAAAAGAGGACATATGATTTTGATCAAGTAAAGTAGAGAATAAGAAAATAACGCAGGATTTTGTATTTAAGATTTATTGTGTGTGACTGATATTCCAGAGTCACTATGTTTGAGATACGCACACACTCACTGCTTCTCAAAGTTTTTACAAAATAAGGATCCCTGTTGCTGCAGTTGAGAAGCCCTATTTCGTACAAGGTGGCTTTGAGTTTTTTCGATCGATTTGTGTAGTTAGATACTCGGTGTGTACAACAAATTTTATATTTTGCGGGTTGCTTTGTTAAACCTTAATTATGCGTTATAGGATCCTTAGGCTCTGTATTAATAATTTTATTAATAAATTTACATGTTTTCATACAAATACTTAATTTTTCCACCTACGATCTTTCTAACCCGTTCTTAAATATTGAGCCCACCTGCTAGTCAAAGTTTTTTTTTCAAAGCCTACAATAAGTAAGAGTCGAATAACAATGGTTTACTAATATTTTTTTTTATGGAAATATTGAATCATATAATCCTGCCAACAGATTCTAAAACACTGAAATAGTCAGATACTTAAAACATTGCAATTTATCATGCATAATATTTGTATACGCTTCGTATAACAAATGCAGTAAAAAAGGAAATAAATAAATAGATCGTTTTTTTTTCATAATAGTGTTTTTAATAAAAATTAGATTATATTTTCTTAATTAATCATGAAAAATTTAAAATCATTTTGTTTCAGGCGAATTATTACCGAGCCACCCAGTATTGCAGATTTCACGGAATGCACCTAGCCAGTATAACTTCGCAGGAAGAAAATGACAAACTCGAAAAATACATCAAAGACTTTGGTAAGATTTGGTAACAATATCGGCCCGGGAAACCTTTTAATTGAATTTCTACGCCGACCACTAAAAATAGACAAAAAAAAAACGTTTAAAAATAATTAGAACAACGTAGGCAACTTTCACGCCTAACTGCACAATTTTCCTAGTCGACGGACCACAAAATCCACGCGTATTATATTGATTTAATTAGTGCCTAAGGCAGTATACATTTCCAATGTTTCAGCAAAAATGTCTATACATTTAATAAAACAGGATTTTGCGATCGTCTAAAACCCATTTCATGTCGTGGTAGGCTGAAATTTTTTGAAGAAAATTTAAAATTTCCATTTAAAGTTTGACGCAAAGCGCATTGTGGACTGTCGATCTAAACGGTAATTGCAAAGGCGTAATAAACTAGTAAGGATATGTTTTTAACGAAATTATTTACGCATTATCATTTGGCTGATCAAACAATTTTTATTTAAATATTCGTATAAAATAAAATTCATAATTCTCATCCAACTTCTTTGGTAAACTTATAATAATTGAAAATATTTAAATCTTTCTAACTGTTTCAAAACATTTATTTGTGAGCAAATTGCAGTATTCATTTTGTCAGTGGTATTATTTCAAAAAACACTTGAAATAAATCTGCACATTTAACCAAAATTTTTTATTTCTTGTATAACTCAATAATAAATTTAATTTTTTGGTTTCCAACAATTGTTTAGTTTTGGTTAGTTAGTCTGATTTTTAATGAAAAAATAAATGATAATAATAAATTAATTGAAAACGGGAAATAATGTTAGAACGTAGTAGTGTCAGGTAATGTGACACTAAATAATAATTTCGCATTTTATTCGGCAATAATTGGATAATTGAACATTTATAATAAGCCATAAAGTGCAAATACTTCACCAAATTCAACTCTTGCTTTAGTTTTAATTTCATTTATCCATATTTTAGTTTAAAACAAAGATGTGGTTTTTACTGGGTTGTTGGGCCCTTATTTGAATTGTAGCGTAAAAAAGGCATCATTGTATTTATTTGTAAAACCACTTGGTTCAAAAAAGGATAAACGACTGAAATGATTTCACAAATTTACCAATTTAATAAACGACAGAGAAAACAATACCCATTACTACCCGCCTCGCTCTAAATACAACTTGTCTCACAAAATCCACACATGGAGGAGGAGGAGGCAACTATTTCTTTAAATCATCTTATGAAATTTGACTCGGTCCAAGTAATAAAAGGTGGGGTTCGGCTTGTTCATACGCTCTATTTGCTTTTTGGCTTTTTGACGCAAATAGAGTGACTCCGTTTTCGTTCGGTTATACGGAGTAATGTGAATACGTGTCACTCCACATCCTATGCAGGTTTTTAAGAGAAATCATCTCTCGGAAACTATGGGGGAAGGGGCCAAAAGTTAAGTCTAATAATTAATTGAGTAATTGCAAACCTTTAATTTGTTTTAATTTTCTATATGTATGGTGGTTTAACCACACTCCTAGTATATTAATTCATTTTTGAATTCTATAGAAAATTCTAGACATATTTTGTTTTAACATCCTATACCTAAGTTGAGCCTTTGTTGACACTGACTTTTTATGCGAAAAATAACGTTTGCAAAACGTAAAATATCTGCCAATTTCTTCATTCGGAAGCATTTGTTGTTTCACTTGAGTAAGTTTTGTTGTAGACAAAGAACTCGAATAACGGATTTCATAAGAAATTCTGATGAAAGATTTAAAATGAAACTAACAAAACTGTCAAAAAACTTTTTTTTTAAATCGAAACTAACAATTTTTATAATCTTGTCAAATTTAGCATTAAAAATTAAGGCAATTTTATATAAGGTTATGTTTTTTTTGAAATAATTCCTTTTAAAGATTTGTCTATCACAAATAATATGCTGTTGCCATATAAGCTTAGTTAGTGTAACGTCGCTATGACGGTTTTGAACAAAACAAATGGTAGAGTGCTTCCACTATGGTTTATCATTTTATAGTAGACCATAATATTGCGTTTATGAAGATCCAAAGATTATGTAATGTACGTATGCATTATTTATACAGAATAAGACCAAGGATACGCGATAACGTTGGTAAATATTCTATTAACAAACGATCAATAAAAAATTAATAGCTTACAAAGGATAATAACTATTGTACTTTGAACAATATAAGTACTATAAAGAGTTTCTAAATATATAATGGCATTTCTAACAGATTCGGTCCCATTTAAATATTCGATAGCTTCTCTTATTAATTAAATTGGTATTAAAGGGGGGCGCCCTCGCGGGCTTCTCTTATCCGATATTCAAGTTCCTCCGCAAATGACGGTTTGCGTTTGTAAACTAAATCCTTAAGTGTACTCCACAGAAAAAAATCCAGGGGGACTTAAGTCGGGGCTCCTTGGACGCTAGGCGTAACTACCATTCTCCCCAATTCATTCTCTATAATGTGCATTTAAATAGGTGCTAATTTCTTGACTTCTGTCATAAGAAGCGCCATCCTACTGCCAAATTAAATTTCGTCATCATAGTTCATGCACTTCATTTTCAATAAAGGGATGGATAATATTTAAAAGCTCTAAATAGCGTTGCTAATTTAACTTCTGATAAAAAATACGGAACCTATTATTCTGAACCTTGTTTTCGATTAATCTTGTTGCTCCAGTAATGGGTACTTTTCCGATTAAAAATTTTAGTTGAGGTTGTAAATATGGACTCACCTGTCCAAATAATACTTAAAATCTCTCCATAGGACTGCAAAATTCTAACCTAATCTTCAGGGGTCTCTGCAAAATGCAACAAAATATTAAGTTTCCGTTCATCATTCAAAATATGAGGACGTCTATTTTTTTCTTTCTTCAATGTTATATAATCTCTATTTTTATTGTTCGATATGTAACTTTCTAACATATCAGTCTTTTCTTCTGTGTCAAACATGCTATGCAAGCAAGTGAACACATTAAATTTATTAACTATTAAAATTTGTCCAAAAATTTTTGAATTATTACAGTAATCGACAACAAAATACACTTCCAAGGAGACAGCGTTCTAGCACTGGGTTTCTTTAGGCGCCGCCATAGCCGCCTTACACCAACTGAACTTATATGGCAACAGCATATTATTTGTGATAAATAAATGTTTGAAAGGAAATGTAACAAAAAGTAAAAATATTAGGCATATACAACCTTACATAAAATTGCCTTAATTTTTAATGCTAAATATGATAAGATTATAAAAATAGGTAGTTTCCATAAAAAAAATGGTTTTTGGTAGTTTTTTAATTTCATTTTTAACCGTATTTTTCGCGTACCCTGTATGATTATGTCGAATTTCTTATGAAAACCGTTTTTCGAGTCCTTTGTCTACAACAAAACCTACTCAAGTGAAACAATAAATTGGCAGATATTTATTGCAAACGTCATTTTTCGCATACGGAATTAAAAATATCCAAAACGATTACACTTTGGTATAGGACATTATACACAAAATATGTCTAGAATGTATATTCAAAATTAAAATAAATTAAAGTTTGTAATATCTCAATTAACTTTTATATTTAAGTTTTAACTCCATCCCCTATAGTTTCTGAGATAAGGTAGTGTCGGCCCACCCTATACATAAGGTACTAAATATTTGTTTGGCAGTTTCGGTTACGTTTAGATATTAAATTGATATATTAATATAGGGATTTTTTCTAATATTTGTGTTTTTTAAAATGCTTATTATTAACAAGGGGCATCTTACTTATGCAAGGTCTTCAATTTTTTAATTACATTGACTTCTTCGTTATCGTAGTCGTTCATTAAATGATTATTCATTACTAATAAAAACGGATGATAAAAATATACACAAAAAACTATTTCTGTAGGGGAAGTACAAAAATAATAACAAACCAAAATAGCTGTTTGACATTTATGCTTGATGTTCTGTTCGAAAAGTCCAAGGGCGTTCGGGTATAGAGTTTACACTCCAAGCTTGCTTGCGAAAAACATACTGCTACTCCGCTCCAGCACTGTTTTTATTAGCCGAACCCGCCTAAACAAACAAAACAAACAAACAAAACGTTTATCAAGAGGCTGCATACGGGGTATGGTTTGTTCATAGATATGACAAAGTGATCAATTGTTTTTGAATGGGATTATCCAAGGATGATCATTAACATACAATGCAACAAGATTATTACCTAAAGTTTCTGAATTTAAATTCAGGTAAAAAACGTGGAGCCAGCAAGCAAGCATCTTTAGAAGAAACGGCCACATTTACTAAAATTCCAACATCAACTGTATGGAAAATTGTGAATAATCCCATTTCAGCGAGGAAAAAAAGAAGCGATGCTGACATTTTTTCGAGTGTAGATGAAAGTGATCAAGATACGGCGTAAAATTTACCAGTTATACGAGGAACAAAGCGTGCCTACATTAGATATCTTAATTAGGAGGCTTGAAAAAGATGAAACCGGTGTTAATCGTGGCAGAACTACCTTATGGAAGTGTATTCAACACATGGGTTTTAGATTTAAAAAATTGACAAAAGGCAAGTTTTAATGGAATGTTTTAGAATTCGGAAATGGCCATTGCAATATCCTCAAACAATTTGGATTTACAGAGATTAACAAAGGCCAGTTATTTACTTCGACACTTATGATATCCCCGAAAAGGGTTGGGTTGACTCAACTGATAAGTGTAAAATAAACGCGCCATTAAAAAGAGGTAAAAGAATAAATGCATGCTGGCTCTAAAGACGGTTGGGTTCCAACTAGACTATCTCTGTCTGCGAAAAATATTAAAGATTCTTCTCTGGATTACCATGAAGACACCACCGCTGATTTATTTGAAAGTTGGTTTAAAAACAAACTAGTTCCAAACATTCCACCTAATAGCGTCATTGTAATGGACAATGCAAGTTATCACAGTAGACAGTTGACTAAAACCCCTTCCTCATGTGACACAAGAGCAAAAATCCAAAACTACATGTATAATAACGACATTTATTTTCACGAAGATTATACCAAAAAGGAATTAGTTGAGGTTCTACAAAGCTTGAACCTACAATAGGATGATTATTCAAAAAATCTAGGGCCTACAGTTTTACATCTTACAACTGTATATTTAATCCCATTGAACATGTTTGGCACCAACTGAAATCTGCCATTCGTCGTAACAATGTTTTTCCCCCTGTGAACTCCAATGTCCTCAAACTTATAGCAACTGAAGTTTTTAACATCCCTCCATAAAGTTGGGCAAATTCTGTTAAACATATAGAAAAAGCAGAACAATCGTATATCCATATTGCAAATCACATAGAACAAATAATAATTAGAACAAGGGATAATAGCGATAGTGATACTAATATATTATATGAATAATTTTAAGTAATTTAAGTGGTTAATAAAAATAATTAGTAATTTTATTTTAGATATAAACATAAATAAATAAATATTGTTTAGTATCTTTCCTAACAAAACCTCCAAATAATTAAATTCTAAGCAGCAAAGTACGAACCTGTTCGGCCATATTTCATTCTTACAGCTGGCCCGGGTCTTTCCTTAATTCGTATCAGTTAGTCACTTTTTTATATCTATGAACAGACTTTACCCCATAAAAACCGTAAATCGATCTGCAGGATTCGGAAACGAACATTTCTGGACGTCGGGCACGGATCTGGCCGAGGAGGGCAACTTCTTCTGGCTGTCCACCGGTCGACCGATCACCTTCACCAATTGGAACGCTGGCGAACCGAACAATTTCGAATACGAAAACGGCGAACAAGAGAATTGCCTCGAACTGTGGAACAGGGACGGCAAAGGTTTGAAGTGGAACGACTCTCCTTGCTCGTTCGAAACGTATTTCGTATGCGAGGTGCAGCAGTAGTTTATTCTTTGCTGGCTCAAAGTCAATCTAGTTGTGATAATATTGCGGTAAGGTTTGACCACCCGGTATCGAGTAGCGGCGAGAGTGAGTAAAACAATATGGCGTGGATTTGTGTTATGAAAAACCATGACTCTCGAGTTACTTCCGCCAGACATTAACTCGAGAGGCCAGTTATGCGGTTGTCATTGTAAATATTTTCTGTTATCGTCGTCTTATGTCCTAGACGTTTGTTGGTCGGCAGGATGGGTGCGCATATTAATTATTTGGGACTTTTTGCACCGCTTACTTCGACAACATTTTACTGATGATGGGAAATAACGTTTCTCCTTACTAAGTTCTTCTTCTACTTCTATGGGCTTTGCTGCAAGACAATTTGCCAGTATGAGTGATTCATTAAAGTGAAATGCAAAGAACACGAGGTGTAAATTTTTGTATTGATTTCCTTTTCAAGTTTTTTAAAATATTTGAAAATAAATGCTGAACTTAAATCCCAATATATGAGTGCAATTCAAGAACAATTTTAGGGCCCTAATACTAAAGACTGTTACAATAAGATTGTGTTCAAGAAAAGGGGGTTTGCCCAAAACTGGTGGTTTAAATACCTTTTTGCATCTTAAAACTACATCAATTATATTTTCCGTTGCGATAACCATTTTTTTAACAAAAGAAAACATAGTTAACCTTACTTATTGACATGATTTCAACAAAAACAGCAGCAAAGCGGGCAAAAGCTACAAAAGTTAGGACGAAAACAACGTCACAAAAATTACGTCATAAGTGCTAATAGCCAGTAAGTAACAAAATGGTGAAATTTCCAAAGAGGTGCAAGAAGTCCCTATTATTATTGTTTAATTTATCGATATAGCGGATAACTCGAAACGGGTTCTTATCTACGCAATCTACGCGTGACAGGGATGTGATTCTGCGGTTTCTCCTATAGTATTTTTACGTTATGTTTAGAGCGACGTCATGCAGACAAAATTTACTGCGTTGTCGTAAGTTAAAAGGTCGTTCTTAGACCAGCAATATATTATACCCAAGATTCATATGACAGAATGTAAAACCACTAGGTTGTCAGGAAAATATTTGTATCCTTTACACTTGGAAACACGTACTGATTTGCTCTAAAGAATAATATTCTTAGCTAAATTTCTTGAAATATAAACATTTCATCAAGTACGACCAATGACTTCGCTGTAAACTTATAGTGAGAACACTATAATTGAAACTTGAAATGTTATTTATGTTTATTTTTTATCTTTAATGATGTTACCATACCTTAAATCTGGGTCCAGTAGGGATTTGTATTGTATACAACCTTTAAGTTACTTACTTAGGGCCCAGTAAGTGTAAAACTCGGATATCCTAAGTTTCCTAAATTTATTTCTTTCGACGCAGAACTTTCGTTTTGAAACAAAAATTAATTCCATCAAGTGTCAATTTTCAGCATTTTTCGAATATTGAAGTATTAATGTCGTCGAAAGAGACATTAATACTTCAGAGACAGAGAAATTTGGGATCTGATCTTTATAAATGCAGCTTGTCAGATTGAAAAAAATTAACAAGAATGAGAATTTTCTTAATTTTCTTTGGTTAGTGTTTTAATTTTGCAAGTGAAAACGTGTTTATACAAAATTTTATCCCAATACTGATGGCTTCATTATTTTAACGAGTAAGTCATTGTTTTTTCTTACATCCCTCAATCTTAAAATAACTAGTCGTAGTTATATATTAAAACCATTGTGTTGAAATCGTGTACCTACTTAGATAGTCTAACCTCGACTGTAGCCTAAACTTAATCCAGTCAATTGTACCAACGTACGGTATAAAAATAAAAATCACGCCCTGTGTTGTAATTTACTCGCACCAAACATTGATATTGTTATCCTTAAAAGGGAATCAATCAAACCGTAAATGGCGGCCTGGGATGTCGTAAACTAGAAAATCGAAGTCTCAAGCAAATTAAAAGCCCTTCGTTCTCCCTTATTCAGGTGTTCGCCTTTATATTTACTCGATCCTACGACAACAAATTAATTCGGAAAGTCGTTTTCGGTACACGTTTGACCTTTTTATCCCCGTCCAATTTCTGATTCTTCTCGTCCAGGGCAATTTTGACCTATAAGTTTTAAGGGCGGAGAAACTGTTTAGCGGGGTCTTAGTTAATCCCCGGTTATTTGATACGATCCAGGAATAACAGATTTACACTTTTAATAAAAACGTCGCCCCTTTTATCAACATCCAAGGTTTCGGAAAATTACGCATGGAGGGTTAGAATATTTATAATTTTCAAATAAAGAGCAACACGGTCATTTAATATTTACATGAGCGATATCAAGTTCTAAGCGTTGGGAAATAATTAAACATGGAACTCAAAAATTTACTCTTAAAACCATATAAATTGGGTAATATTGCTATAAATAATATATGCGATATAAGAAAATGTTGAAATAATTTGTTTTTTCTCTATCTGGATCAATTCGATGGAATTTTATGCTAATCAAAATTCTTCTTCATGCATTCTTTTCTTTCTATGCTTCTCACGAAAATAGCATTGTAGTAGCTCGTATTTGTCTGTGTTCGTCATTATGTAAGTCATGTATACAATTTTTTTCGCTTGATCAATATATACACTTTACTAAGTAGTTAGTGAACTGAGTACACTGTCTCTTAAAAACGTCTCCAAAACGTACTGAAAAAACGTATCCTTTATGTCTTCCGCCAAGGAATTGTATTGTATATTGTATAAAGAAATACAAATATTTACGCAATTTAAAGAATTATATGTTTCTTTGACAACCAGAAAAAAAAAGATAAATAACAAAAAAATTGCCAGGCAAAATCTTGAAAGATATAAATTTTGCCTGCGAAAACCGTAACCGCAAAATCCTTTTACTTGAGAGCGAAGAAATTATCTGTTGTTCGGCAAGCTTTCATGGAAGGCGATCGATAGACGACAAATACAACATGCCAACGCAGAAAAATATCCTACTAACCTTAGGTACGAAGCTTCACTGGAAAGCTCATGTCAAAAGAAGAAGAGAAGCTGCTGTGGAAAAAGTCCACTCTGGATGGACTTACGGGATTGAACTATGGTGATGTGTTGGAGTGAGCAACACCCAAATCACCAGAGATTCCAGAATAAAGTGCTTTAATGCACCCTGGTGCTTTCGAAATAGTGACTTCGACGGACACTGTCAGACAAACGGTCATTTAGCTAAGAAACAATGACTCTCAGGTCACATAAATACAGAGGGCATACACCAACCACACGAGAAGACTAAAAAAAAGCAAACCTTATGAGTTAGTGTAAAAGCGAATTGCGAAATTTTAAATCTCAATGTTAGTGTTTATCTGTAGTACAAACTAAAAAACTTTTATTGAGTAAGACTCTTAGTTTAAGATATATGTAGTAATGCTAGTAGTTATATGATACAGTTTTGCTCGCTGACAGCTTACAAAGGCTGCAAGAACTTTTCAACAGTTACATTCACAAGTAAAGGTAAATATGATTATAAATAAATCTCCTGATCAATATGGTGTGCTTTATTGTAAAAATCGAGCAGTTTTACTTACCTTGGATGTAACATCTACGAATCGCGGGACCACTCTAAAGAAATAAAGTGCAGAATAGAAAGGGCAGAGCAGTATTTAATCAAATGAAGCTGAAGCTTTGCTGTCGAGATCTCACCTCAAGAGGCAAATGAAAAAGTGCCAATGAATAAGTCCTCAGAAGCATGGATTGCCAACTAGTTCTTATGCGCACTATAAAATAGCGAAAACTAAAATACTTGGGCTATATAATGAGAAACCTTGCCAAATATCGTCTGCAGGGCAAAGTAGGAGGAAGGTGCGGACCAGCCAACTTTCTGAAGTGGTTTGGCCTAACTTCCATTGAATTGGATAAGACCGAAGAAGAAGAAGAAGTTAATTAGGCTAACACAGAATTGTTTATTGATCGTATTAACGATTTAATTTAAAAAAAAAACTCACACCATATCACTGTGACACTTATATGGGTACAAGTCACAAGATTTGTCGTTGGAAGAAACAGAACAATGGCTGAAGTTCCATTTATTTAGCTGACTCAGAAAAAAAGGTTTTTAATTAACCTTTACTGAATCTACGTACCTTCGGCTACGTACACTTTAAGCTATAATTTGGAAGAGTTTTGTACCAAAATTGCAGATTTAAAGCTACAGTTCAACCAGAACGTGAGGTTTGTATTTTAGATTGCTGGTTTGACATATTCTCGACAATGAATTGATGAAAAATCGAGCAAATAACGTGTGGTTTCGTTTACTTCATACACCAAATAAAAAATCTAAACACCGACTTGTAGATATATTTATTGCCGATCAAAATAGACTTTGCAATTTAGAAAACGAAGCTTTTGCAACCTATTTTGTACCGAATCGTTAACAAATCGTCCGTTTGGTCTCGATGCGAAATAAAATACAGAGACGATCGCTTCATCGAACGCGAGGTGACGCCACGATAGGGTCTTCTAAGCGTCCTGCGCAAAACAAACAACCCGCTTCCCTGGCGTGGCGGACCTGCCGACTTGCGCACGGTGCGGAAACCCGGTAAAAATAGGCCACGACGCTCGCCGTCGTCTTCGAGGACTCGCAAAACGCAGGTCGACGTTGTCGTCGCGACGGAAATCGGGGTTTCGCGGCACTTGTCAGCCTCCGTCAACGCGACCGAAATAAACGGGACAGACGCGTCGGTGGAGGGTCTCTCGAAATTGAATCGATAACGGCGAGAAAAACCATCGACGACGCGCCAAAAATGACTCGCTTCCATCCCGTGCGATATACGTTGGAAAATGAACGGCCGATTGAACTAATCGGTAGCTGGAAAAGGGAACCGCTATCGGATTTAATGCGTTAAATATCCCCCGATGGCTTTTGGTGAGTTCGTTACTGTGATTGTTGGTCACCTATATTTCATTTCGAAATGGTGCGGAATAAAACCTCGTTGTACAGGATGATATTTTCATTGTGGGATAATAGCTTATCCCAGAGTGTATAAAAAATAAGCAAAACACTGATAGAAAGAGAAAGGTTTGGATTGCATTTGGATATATCATACCCTAAAAATATTAGATTCTTATGCTAGGTGTTTCATAAGACGATATTGATCCTAAAGAGTGCGATTCCTTAAATGATTTTAGAAAAAAAAGTTTATAACGACGTAGCAATTGCGGGGGTAAGGGGTAATTTTTACTAACAAATCAATGGCGATTTTAAAAATGCAATTTATTTTGGAAAAACACAGTGGCGTGCCATTTTTTTTAAATAAAAACACCGAATATTATGCTCAAGCAAACAATCAACCAATCATAACCTCGAAAATTCCAGACATTTGTCTCATATTTTGAAGTTTATGTTACGGGAAACGTTTGCAAGTCTAAATATATCTGACGATTTCTACTACTGACAACCTTTTTCTTAAATATTTAAGGTTCATTTCTTTTTAGAACATAATCTGCTTTCGAGATCTGTATTTCATTAAAAGTCATTTCTTTTTCATAATTCTGTCGTATTTAGTATTTAAAGAAAGGGCGACTTTGTAAAGATTTTTCTATTGTAGAAATAACATGAGGCATTTTTCCTTCGCTATTAGTTAACAATGGCGACTAAACATAGCGAGAAAAAAAAAACAATCACCTAGTTCCTAGTCATTTTTTACAATTATTTTAAAAAAAGTAATTTCGTACCTATAGAATGTTTGTATAGATAAAAATAAAAATAAATAATGGAGAAAATAGTAATAGCAAATTAAAAAAAATTATAAGATTAATTAATTTTCAATGTTATTTTCAAGAAATGTCAGTAAATAGTAAGTCTTATTTCGTTAGTGCTCCATGGTTTGCTTTGTTTGCCAATGGACATAAGTATTATTGCTAATATTTCGAAATCTACGACTTTTTGAAATAGGTAACGTTTTACAAAATGCTCCTTTTTTTTAACGATTTTTGATTTCAAATTTTCATTGTTAGTTTTTATCACACTTTTGTCAGTTCTCTGGATTTAGTTCCATAATGGCTCCATCGAAAAGCAAATTTATTTATTACATCTTTCACTTTAAATGTCGGGTTGCTTCTAACGACAAATCCTTTCACTATGGCCCACTTCTATTAATTCTTTCTTTATCATGTTTCCTTTAAATCCAATATTTTTGCTGGTAACGATAATCTCTTGTTTTCTTCAACACGAAGTTGGTGTTTTGTCTATGTGACGATAATGATAACCACTACTGAGTAAGTCGGACGATATTTTACCATTTATCTATAGCAATCTTCGAAAACTATGACTATCACGCTGTCAATAAACCATTACTTTCCCCTATTTACTTTACTTGTCTACCAGGCTTCTATAACAGCTTGATGGACACTAGTAATATTTTGATCTTGCTTAATACTTTTCTTCTCGAGTAAAAGGACTCTTAATACCCTTTCTCAGGCAAAATTCATATCCTTCTAGGTTTTCCGAGAAATACTGCCCTCTAGTTCAAAGTTCTAGTTAGAATTTCCTTGTTAAACCAGAAAAGGTGAGATTTTCTTGGAATCTAATAGTTTTGTCATCATCAAAGGTTTTTGATGGTCTGTCTGGATTTTTTGAAGTTCTACTTGACCTGCGGCTTTTCTTTCCTGTTGTTACTGTTATAAAAATTTTTAATGCTCATAACTCAGAAGTTGGACCACCCTTAAATTTGCTCGTACCTTACAGAATCCCCATTTTACTACCAATTTGTATTTAGGGCCAAGTAATTTTAGGCAAGAAACTGGGTGAGAAAAAACAGGCGATTACCTCTGCTTCTATAAATATCCTTTTAGCCCTCCGCATAATATGACCCAAACATCTATGTATCAAACGTCAACGTTGATGCCGTCAATCCATCAAAAAACACCAAACAGGGCGTATCCGAAGTTTGCGAACGCAGCGGTAGGGCAAAGTAGGGCAGCGATTGTTACCATTACACCTACGTATCCATTTTATGGCCTTTTCGTTTAGTCCCCGGTGAGCTAATAAAACAGAAACGCGCTGTAGGCAGCGCTATGCCGTTTTTAATATCGCAAAAGTAGACCGGGACCTCGTGACAAATAAAAATGTAGCACTTTTTTTACAACCCTAATGCATTTTACAATTAGGTCGCAAAGGCGAAAAGGCATTCAGTACAAAATCTAAACTTATCTCATTGTAGATAAAAAATGCAAATTGAACCTTGTACCGTGCATTCAATTAATATTGATAACATTTTAATTGGCTCCAACTTTTTTGTTTTTAGAGATCCCAAGGTAAACAAAAAATAGCAAAATATAGGGTTAGTAGTCAAGTTTTTTTGCAAGTGACGTATAAAACAAAACACTATCAATTTTATGACATATAACATCATATTTTTCTAAATGGAACACCCTGTATATTATATATGTGTTTAATAGAAATTCTTATTCCGATTACAAAGTGTGTTACATCAGTTTATATGTTAGTCCACTCATTTTTGACAAATCGGCAAAAATAGGAAATTTTTATATACTTTCAAAGAGTGCCCTGACTGAAAAATAACAATTTGTGTATGTTTGACATATTAGTAGACAACGTTGATGGTTGAATTATTGCTCAAGTCATTATTGTTTAAATGGTTTTTCACGAATTTAGCATCCGTGAAAGAAGTGATATGCTTCAAGTATACTTTCTGAATAATAAAAGTGCAACCACAGTTCGTGGTCAGTATTATAGACTTCATCCAGAGCGCAGAGGAACAACAAAACAAATATTTCCAAGCCTGGCAAAGAAAAAAAAAGCAAAGCAAAGCCAAGCAAGAAAAAAGGTATGCCGGAATCATAATGTTTTAAATGAAGAAAATAAATATTCGGATTCTATAAAACACGTCCAGTTTCCTCTATTACTAAAGTATATGAAGAGACCGGTATTTCTCGAGGATCAATCCACTCAGTTGGAATATAAACATTTAAATTTTGTAAAACTCAAAAACTAAGTGTAGAACAATATTAAAGAAGTTTTCTTTGGATTTTTTAAATAGACATAATAAGAACAATAATTTTGTGAAAAACATTTTATGGACTGATGAAAGTTCGTTCACTACAAGAAAGGGTTATAAAAGACAAAATACGCGATATTGGTCTTTAAATAATCCTAGACAATACAATAGATCAAGAGTTAACTGGAGATCATCATTTGCAACTCATAGAGCACCAAATAGAACCATATATAGAAAATTTACCCCTAAATATATCAGCGCTGATTATATGGCAGCAAGACGGTGACCTCCACACAATGTTGTGCAAGTTAAAAAATTTCTTAACATGGAATGTCCAAGCAGTTGGATAGGGAACGGGCCAACCAACAGCCTCGACTTAACTTTAATAGATTTTTTCTTTTGGGTACACATAAAAAATCACATACGCAGAACTCCTTGTAATAATGTCGTGGAACGTCGACAAAGAATTTCAGAGGCAATCAATCAGTTAAGAGCAAAATGGTGGTCACATACAGCAGTATTTAGAATAGTTAAACAATTTTTTACTTTAGTGTGTCTTGTCATTTTTAGTGCTTTTGTTTTACTTCAATTTGTAAATAATTATTGATGTTGCAGTCAGTCATGCCACTCTTTGAAATATATAAAATTTTCCTAGTTTTGCCGATTTGTCAAAAACAAATGCACTAAAATATAAAGTGTGTTACATCATTGTAATCGGAATAAGATATTCTATTAAACAAATATATAATATACAGGGTGTTGAATTTAAAAACATATGTTGTTGGTTTAAATGTCAAAAAAATTTATAATGTTTTGTTTTATACGTAACTTGGAAAAAAAACTTGGCTACTAACTCTACAGTTTGATTTTTTGTTTAGCTTAATATCTATAAAAACAAATAAGTAGCGGAAAATTTAAATGTTATCAAGATAAATTGAACGCACGGTACAAAAAATTACACAAACTAAAATCCATAAAAAAATCACATTTTACGACATATTTATTTTTATTTGGCAATAAGATTTATTTGATATTCACATTTTTTTGCCAGCTAAGATTGCTTGCAGTTTTTGCAAGGGCAACATTAGTTGTAATTTTTAATGGATGGAGGTCACCCTTTTAATGCCTAAACAATTTTCTTGTATCGTCGCCTCAGTTTGATTTATTTATATTTTGTTTACGACTTTGGCAACCTATGAATGTTGTAAATATTAGATATACCATTTTGCATGCGAGGCCAAGGTGCGTACCCGCAAAATTTTCATCAATATTAAAAACAGAGACAAACTATGAAAATATCTAAGTTTTATAAATGTATCATACTCAAAAAAGCAATTTTTAATTTAACATTTTTAATATTTCAATTATTTAAAGTCCTATTGCTCCGAAATCTTAAGTACAACGCAATATTATTATGATATTAAGTAAATGATATTTTTGATTCGTAAATTGCAGGCATTTTTTAAATTCATTGTGAAAACAAGCTCCTACATTTCATACACTAACCTATACTTGGCGTCTCTTGTTTCTAAACCGTGATCTTGCATTAAACGAAAGAATGTCATAGAAATGTCACGTCCAAACTGAAGACTGTCAGCGGCCATGTTGCTTGTTGAACATTTTTAAAGGCCCTTCTAAACATTTTTTATGGTGACCGTAATAGTGCTCGTATTATCAGTATAAACGGGGCCTATATCTAGTAGCTATATGGGGAAAGAGAAAAATGTTTTCCTTTTCCCGTCAAACCGGACGTTATAATTAACCGCACTAACCAACCATGCATGTTGTTCAAATTTCACAAAAAATCTTTTGACGTCTTAGCTAATAGCGTCGTCGACACCCGGTATAGCAATTATTCGTGACAAATGATCCTTATTTCCAGGAATGTAGCTCAGCAGTCGAAATATTATGAGCGAACTGCAGTCGACCATCGAGTTTTCCGTAGAACTGTACAAATTTTACAATGTCGATTTATTTCAGAGAGGGTGAGTGTTCCCCGTCAACGTCGAACAGTCAAAGGGTTTCATTAGTGTGTTGCAGGATGTACCAAGTGCGTTGTTCTCTAAGGGTGTCGTCGAAATTAGGTGTCGAGGTGGAAGTCGCCACGCCGGAAATCACCACAGGCCTGGGCTCGGCGACGGTGTTGGGTAGTTACGGTGCCTGCCGCCCGTTTCAAATTTTATACAGAAACGAGGAAGTGTCCTTAAAAGATGTGGTTTTGTTCAGGTACGAAAATGAAGTGCAAAGGTCTCGTTATAATATGGTATCACGTATCACCTCAAAGGCGAAGAATTGATTTATTTATATTATTATTTATTTATTTATGTTATTATCTGGAACCACCAATAACGTCGACGGAAATTACAAAACGAAAAGATCTAAACTTGAATATTATCGGGTTGATAGAGAAGTGAGGCCAATGGCTTAATTACTTCATATGCCTATGTAATTCTTACTACAATGTTCTTGATATAGGAGGTGTATTCAAAAAGAAAGGTGACTTTTAGGTTTTATCAAAAAGTGTTTTGTTCATCAAAATTAATATCGTCCTCTTCAAATTTATCCTCTTCAGATATAATACATTTGTGCAAACGTTTTTTTCAATCCTCAAACCACTTTTGGTAAGCACTTTCTGATATAGCATTGAGTTCTTCCAGCGATTTTTTCTTTATCTCCTCAATCGTTCCAAACCTCATTCCTTTCATGGGTTTCTCGAGTTTTGGGAACAGCAAAAAGTCGCGTTGTTTCTGGCCAAGAAGTTAGACACAAGCATCGATGAGTGAGCAAAATCCACGAATTGTTTTCCCACAATTCCGGACGTTTTTTTCGTGTTGCTTCTCGTAAACGGAGCATAACTTCAAGTTAATACTCTTTATTGACCATACGACCTTGTGGTAAGAACTCTTGATGTACTATGCCACGGTAATCAAAGAAAACGGTAAGGAAAACCTTGACATTTGATCGAACTTGAAGTACTTTTTTAGGTCTTGGCTTCTTCCATTGGGACGACTGGGCTTTGGTTTCGACATCATATCCATATACCAATGATTCGTCACCAGTTTTGACCTTTTTGAGCATATCAGAATCATCATTGACGTCGTTTAACAGCTCTTGAGCGATGTTCCTTCGACTGCTCTTTTGTTCAAAATTAAGCAGTTTCGGAACAAATTTTGCTGCTACACGTTTCATGCCCAAAAAATCGGAAAAAATTGTATGACAAGAGCAAATAGCCACGTCTTCAGTCACTTCTCAAATAGTGATTTGAAACTTTTTCAACACCATTTGTTTCGCTTCTTCAACGCTTTCATCTGTTATTGACGTGTTGGGGCGTCAAGAGCGAGATTCGTCATCGGTGTCTTCTTGACTATCTTGGAATAGCTTTTACTACATATAAACATTTTTTTCTCAAGGTTTTCAACATTTGAAGTGTTTTGCAGCACTGTATTCAATTTTTTTTCACAAAATTTTATGCAAATTCTTTTTTCCACATTTTTCGACAGCAGAAAATCGCCGAGCAGACAAAACACGTCTAACGCTTCTGTCTCACAAAAAAAAAATAAACGTGCAAACTGACTGAAACTGTGAACATATGTTAGGGTTATGTGCACCAACATAACAAAAAGAATGTATCGAAGATCGAATGTACTTAGTTCGCCGAATTGCAAAAGTCAGCTTACTTTTTGAACACTCCTCGTACTTCAAAATATTTAAGCCTTGTCACGAGTTTTAAAAAAATGTCGTTACTCAGAAAATAGCAGTGTATGTATTTTCTCAGGAGAATTATTTTAAAAAAGACTTAAGGCTGTATTCGTAGACGTTCCTGGGGCCTTAAGGATGCCTTGAAAATTGAAGAATAGAATTCAAATTGCTAATGACCAATAGTTGTAAAAAAATGTTTATTAATTGCAAGTACCTATAAATATAACCGTTAAAAATGCGAAACAACCTATTTACAAATTTTCTGGATTCCTCCTCCATCGGTTGTTTATAAATCAAACCTGCTGATTTATAAATAACCGACGCAGGAGGAATCCTGGAGTTTTGTGCATAATATTACAGTAGTCTGTAGAAGGTTTGATAAGGGCGAAACAACCAAAAGAATGTCAAACGATTAAAATTAATTCATAAACTTTCTAGCAAACAATTTACCCTCAAAACCCGAAACATTGAGAAAAAACAATCTCCTATTGTACTTATGCTTCCTGCCTCCTAAATAAAATTTACTTCACAAAATCGATGTTGGTTGCATTCCGGGAACCACTCCAGTTTAGATCAGGTTCCAAGCTTAGACAAACTCAACTTTTATTTTGATAGCGTTTGTTCACGACATCCAAGTTGTAGTAAATTAAATAAATCTGATTTCTATAGCAAAGCTCTTATGGATTGCAGAAATGCTCAATTTATTTTTCTCTTTTCGAAGATATTTTTATAGGATAGGTGACAGTGTTTGCTGAAAGAAACAGGACGGATCCCTAGTGTAAATAAGGCAATTATCTATCGTCGCAGAGAAAATCTTGGCAGATATCAGATAGAGTCATCTAATTACAATTGAAATATCCACCTAGTTCTAATTACTCTAATTCTAATTTATAGTCGGATATTGTTAAAATTATGGGTATTTTTTTTACTTTTTTTTATTCAAATAACAAAAGAGTGCAATTTCTGTAGTTCTCTAGAACGTCTCAATTTCGTTAAATCTTGAACACCAATTTTATGTATCTTTTAAATATTTAAACAAGAAGATAAGTAGCACTAAATAGGTTTTTCAGAACAAAATACTTTTAAAAACGGTTTAAAACTTACATACCTATCTTCATCTTAAAAGCTCGTTAAATGAAAAAATGTGCTTTATGATAAAACTATATTTTTTCTGTAAATTAAATTGCTAAAAAGCACAGCACTGGTATAAATTTTGTACACTTTTCTTCTTCTCATCGTTTAAAATTCGCTTTTCTTCTCAGTTTTCCAAATTTGTTTTATTTTGTTTTCGTTTTCCTATAATTTTTCGTTCCTCTTTCTAAATATTTAAAGTTTATGTTCTGTTCCTTTGCTCCAAATGTTTTTTGAATTCACTAGATGCTATGAGTTTCAAATTTACACGCATCAAATAATTAGAAGTTTGACAACTTTGAGATCAAACTCAAAAAGCCTCCCTTGCAATGTAAAGCATAAAAACATTAATTTGCATAATACTATAAATTTTTACCATCTGCTTTTATTACTGACGTCACCTTTGCAAGCAACACTATTCATGACACAAGAGTAGCTTGTGTCCACTCATTACTAACTGATTTTTGTATCAAAGAAATCTAATTGTCTGAGAAAGTACCACCTGCTTCTGCCGGGAAAAATAGAAACCTAATTGGATTCGATTTGTTTGACCGCATAGTAGGACTTCTTTTTTTCTTATTTCCGAATAAATACTAAAGTAGTCGACAAGAACTGGGCCTTTGACCCTAATGCTCTTTTTCTTAGTTTTTTCCAAAGCTTCTCCTCTCTCTTCTACCGGTGCTGTGTTGAACCGCCTTTTCAACACGCAAGAGTACTATTTTAAAAACCGTCGGGCATATCGTGTTAAAGAGCTGAACAGAGAGAAATACGCCAAAGTGAGTCTCGTCGCAGAATACCGGAAGTGCCTTCGGAGATCCTGCGTTATTATTTGCGATCGGTATATCCAACATCCGCAATAACCCCGAGATTAATTTACTGTCAGCAGTGGTGTCGTCGGAAAGGTCGGTGTTTGTTCTGGCCCCCAATCGAAGCGGATATGCGTGCGCAAACATTTTGCCATCTCTGGGTGATGGAGTATCGGGTTTCCGTACTTCGTACGAGCCCTAATAATCTTTTCGCAACGCAAACAACTTTCGAACTCTCTCGCGTTTTCGTTTTCTTTATTGCCGCTCGTCGGGCCTTATTAAAATGCCCAGTGGCGTAGATTTTTATTAGACGATTTATACAATAAATTCGATCTACACCGTGCAATTTTATTTCATTTTGTATAGTAGGTAGAAGATTAGACATTAAAATTTGGATATACTTCAAATGGAGTTAGGTACTAAGGGACCAATCATCTAATTAATTAAACTGGCATCTCTTTGTTTCACTTTTCTTAATTTACGAACTTAAAATTTTAATTTTTAGTTTCTCATCGTTTACATCTTTTCTACTTCATTTATACGTGCGTATTTTCTCGCCTCAATTGCTTTTGGCGAATCATTTCATCAATCAAACATTTGAAAGCACAAACTGAGAAGTACAAAGTTTTCGCGACAGCTTTTTCTTAAACTAAAGATGCTACCAAAAAAATTGAAGAACTTAACTTTTTGCACACCGCCTCGGTAGTCTTTCAACTTATTAAAAAGATGAAAGCGAGCTCTTATACAAGGTTTTTCGTCGAAACCAGAGGCGTAACTGATTTTGTCCCAATGTGTTACGTTTTTCAGTGATATATATATTTAACTTTTAAGCAATCCAAATATATATAACAGTAAACATAGCACCACAGACTTACTATCGAAAAATGTGTTTAATTGTACAGAAATGCTATTTGTTAATCAATCAATCAAATTTCAAGGTCCCCTAAGACCATAAATAAATACTTTGAGAGAATACAACTCGGGCTCACAATAAATAAAAAACAAAAAATATAAATATACACAATAAACAGAAACAGAACAATTCCAAGAAGCCGCAATGTCAATTCATAATTAAATAGAAAGCGGATTCTGAACATTAAATGGAAAATGCACAAAACATGAATCAGAGCTGCAAATTTCTAAATATACTAACCCTTTATCTCAGTGCATCATGTCAACTGCGATAGTATACCGGGTGACACAAGAAAGTGGGAACGCTCTATAACTTTTAAACGGTTTGAAGTAGCGATTTGAAATTTGGAAGGGTTCATATAGGCTGAATATCCAATTTTTTGACTTACGAATTTTAAATGACACAACCTATATTTTTTTGCGTTTTTGGATTCAGGAGATCATTCTACGTAGGATAGGGCGGGTTTTTTCTTTTTTTGTTTTTTTTTTATTTTTATTTAATTTTTGAAAATTGTGTCTAGGAGGCTCTGACCATCATAAAACTATTGCAAATGAAACTTTTCCTCAATTGTCTAATGGTCAATAGCATTTAATGTAATGAACTATTAATTTTTTAGGTTAACCTAACTTTTTCAATTAGCACCCTAGTGGGAACAAAAACTTGTTAAAAGCAGTACTTTTTTTGCAACATGTTGACACCAAAATCTTCAAAATCCGTTAAAAAATAAGCTCGGAGGAAGGCAAAAACCAAATAAGTAAATACATTGATTGATTAAATAAAAATTTTAAAAGTCAAAAAAAGGTAAAAACCAACCTGTCCTACGTAGAATGACCTCCTGAATCCAAAAATGTCGTTTCCGCTCAAACCAGAAGTGCAACCATTGACTACATATTGTCAAAAAGTTGGTCATTCGGCCTGTATTAACCATTCCAAATTTCAAATTGCTATCTTAAACCGTTTAACCGTTATAGAGTGTTCCCACCCTCTTGCGCCACCCGGTATAGATCGCTATAATAAAGATTTATGAAATATTTTGTTTTACGTTTAAAATTATTGAACGAAATTTTAAAAAGTTAAAAAGTTAAATTAATTTAAAAAAATGTTGACTACCTATCTTTAAAATAATCTATACCTATCATAAACATACAGGTTTTTAAGATCTATCTCTTTATCAACAAACTTAAGACTTTTTTGGAATTAGTAATTTGTAATCAGTTAAAATTGTTTAACATATAATTAATTTTCATTTTTAATTTCATATATTTTTAACATCAAACATAATTGAATAATGACTCTATCACACTTCTATAAACTATAAATTATTTTTACATATGTTTATTTATTCTCTTTGCTAAGTACTCTATGTGAGGCTCTATAAGTGCTGGTCAATTAAAATACCGAAGTATTTCAGAATACTTGACTGCTTCACCTTTCCATGTCTTACGTTGATGAATTAAATGAATGAATATATATTGTAGATATCTTTTGAAAAACTCAAATCGTGTATAACTAGATAAAAATACAGTTTGTTCTCTTCTCTAGTTACACCACTGGGTTCGCTCTATATGAATGTTTAGACATGACTAGTAAATAAATTAAAAGGATTGAAAATATCCGGCAAAATGCTTTGTCGCCAGTCCACTGCTTGTTTCACAAATAATAAACATTTGAAGAAGAGGCGAAACATCGTTTTTTAAAATATTGTTTCTGAAATATAATTTAGACCACAAATACAATTCTCTGGGTCATAAAAGTTACAGAAATTTTAAGTCGAAAATAATTTCCAATATTGGAACTATATTTATTTCTGAAACAGTAATTATTTCCTGAAGTAACTTATTCATTCGGTCACGAACTTCGAAATAACTTCAAATAACTCAAACATGGTAAACTATGGCAATATATATATATATATATATATATATATATATATATATATATATATATATATATATATATATATATATATATATATATATATATATATATATATATATATATATATATATATAAAGTATTTAAAAAGTCTGTGGCAAAATAAGTGGCGACGCTCCTGAACAAAATATTAAGATTTTCTAAGCAGTAACTTTCAGAACCCAACATACCAACCGACCAAAGGTTGGATGTCTAAATTTTATCTAAGCATGTTAAACTCATTGAAATAAAAAAAACACTGTTTGCTGGGCCCCCTTTTAAAGGGCAGGACAGAGGCATTTTTGGGTACATGGACGGAGACCAGACTAAAGTTAAACAAAGAGACAAGAAATACGATAGAGCTCGGAGTTAGATGTAGTAGGTAAATATGCATCTAATTAATAACTTGATGAAGGAATACTAACCAAAACTTCCATGTATATCGATTTATATATCTTTATTAAAACATTTGGATCAAATTAAAGAACATTTTTGTCAAATTCGGCTTTGGAAGTAGGTATCGACAAAAGAAGTCTAAATTGAACTGATTCTATGTGACGCTTTTCCTACTGAAGATGTCACATGCTCGTCGACGGCCATAACTTGCGGGAATCGCTCGACCGAGCAGAGTTCGCGCTCGTATTGGACTTGTGGTTCAGTGATTCGTCGCCGACTACGATGTCGCTGGTGTCCACTCGCACTCTGCAACTCAACTTTTCCCCCGTCGAGGGTCTACACTACCACCTGCCCGTGGTTTTCGATTACTTTCATTTGTCAGCGGTGTCGATTACTATCCACGCAGCCTTAACCGCCTTGCATCAACCCTCTATGAAGTAAGTTGACGCGCTCCCAGCGGGAAACGAACGTAATTGAATGGGGCTTCCGTTTCAGGAGAGGGATTCTTCGTTATATGCAGAGCTGGTGAGTGCGCTCGGTCTTTTGCATGCGGGGTGTGTCACGCTTAGTAGTTGTAATGACAGAAACCTTTACTTTTTTCTCTGTAAAAAATCTTTATTCAAATGATAATATTTGGATATGGGAAATAAATTCAATATTACGGATTTGATGTTATTTAACTCTGAACAATCTTTTCTATATAAACAAATTTCTCACACTGATCAATGAAATTAATGGAGTCACGAACCTTCAAAATTTTGTTTTATAAATATCACATAAAAGCTTAGCTGCAACTATTTTTTGAAAATACACCATAAGAATATTTTACACAAATCTTAGAACCACACAGCAAGGTGCAAAGTGGTGCATTTACCTCAGATCAGACACTGCTACCAAAAAGTAAATGCAAAATTTTAAGATCGGACATTATTACTGCAGAAAATGATTTCATGAGTATTTTAGAGAGTAGGAAATAGAAAAACATTTTTATTAAAAAATTTAAAAAACTTAAACTTTAAAATGAAAACAAAATGTTTGCTACCACCTGTACTGCAAGATATCAAATTAAATTAAAATTAAAAGACACTTCTGGTCAGAGGAAAACGATAACATAGGTAAAGGTCAATCGAAATAGAATCTTCCCGGTTTTCTTATAGTTCTTGACAAGGAAATCAGAGTTTTAAACCTTTAATTTTGAGCTTCTGAACCGACTGTTCCGTTCTGAGTTTAAAAATATACCTTTTGATTAATTTAATTAATTTGCTTTTTAACTTTGATAACCATACGAGATTTGTATGGTGACGCATTTTCACTTAACAACTATTGATATCAGGGATATTAGGGCATAAATGCAAGGCAATACATCACGTCAAAATGATTAACTTCATTTCTTCGAATTGCCTTCTATAGTTCTATAGAAAATAAATAGAGTGAAACAGTCAATACCATATAAACGATACTTTAGTCACGAGTGTCTGAAAAAATTTGTTAGCGTGTTGCATATTATACTATTTTACGAACATTAAGTTCATTGGATACATTTTTGTGATCGGTAGAACTGACAAACGTTGAAATACTATGAGTATTTAACGTCTGTGCTTCAAAACTCGTGACTAAATTACAGAAAATGTCCCAAACATCTCGCAACTCGATAGTGCTTAACGCAACTGATATTTAAAATTAACAGTTTACGCATGACTAATAAGTGCGTAATTTGAATTTTAGACGAGGTAGTAATAAAGAGATTCTCGAATATTTACGAACTTTCTAGGTAGTTAAAGCGGTTGGATCAAAAAAACCCAACAACTTAATATGGCCTTGTATATTTGACGTTTGATAGATATCATCATTCGTCCATTTGAAAAGGTACAGAGCAAAGGTCTTTCAAACTTGAAAGTTGCACATAGGAATTTCGAGTGAGATACTTAAAATTATGTTTTCGTACTTGAGTATAATTTTCCAATATAAAGCGTACTTACTATTTAACTTTTCGCAGCTCGCATAATTTTTGAGGTGCTATTTTTGAAGATAGGTACTATACAAACTTCTAGGTACTAGAATACTATACTATACTTCCGGTCCCACCTAAAGTTATTTCTGCACATGTCAATGCCAATGGTCTCTCGACCCGACGGCCTTATACCCTGCAATCATACGCGTCCTTTTGCAGTGCTCCGAAATCTTCAAAGTCTTGGAGCAAAATCCGATCATCCCACAATTCTTCGTTAACAGATCCCGTCCCGCCAGTGAGCAGTCAGAAGTTTTCTAATAGAATTAACGCATCATCTCAAATACACCTCGAAGCCTACAGCGTATTGCTCGATTCGAGCAATAATCTCAAAACCACAGTTAAAGAGTATAAAATGTTGCTGATGCAGCGTGAGGAAATCGTGTCTGATAACTACGAGACTCTGATCGTCAAATATAACGATTACGACAGTACCAAAGTAAGTGATCTTCGACCGTATCTTCCATAACCATCCAACCACGCGTTAAAACGCTTCAGTTGCTGAAGAAACACCGTTACAAGCCAACTTCAAACTTATCAGAACTGTGCACCGACAACATTAAACTGTGGAACTATTTTTTGCTGACATTCAGCTGCAAGATAGCGATACAGCAGTTCCTGAGCAGGAAACATCACCATTTGCGAATCCGCCGTTTCGCAGAATTGTTTTTTCTCGTTTATAACCCTAGGAAGTCGGCGATGGGCTGCTATGAAACCAACTACCACAAATACTTGGTCGTTTCCGAATTGGCGAAGCGGTAAGTTTCGCACTGCGAGGTAAATAGCTTGTTTCAGTGTTTGTTTTGTTTGTGTATTTATTTTTATAAAAAGTCGATATCTTCCTAGTAAGGCTGTACGAATAAGCTAACTATAATATTTTTGTTCCAATCGCAGTCAAGAACAATTTCTTGCAGTTAAATTAATTTGCGCAGTAAGACTATTCGATCTAAGTTAATGTATTAATCCAGGAAACAGTTAACTTCCTTTATTTGAAAGTTTTGTTGAGGATGACTTGGATATACTATTAGGTAAGCTAATACAGTGAACTCCGGTTATACTGTACCCTCTAGGAACCAGAGAATGAGTACTCTATAAGCGAAAGTACGCTACAAAACAAGCACAAAAAATATGAAGGTACGTACATATTTTTATTTTATATAAAAATAGAAAACTAATAAACACTAATATAGGTACTAAAAAACAAAAGAAACTGAACTACCTAAACTAAAAATTTATCTATCTATATAAAATTTACAACATACAAGTAAAAATACATACTTCATTCTTTTTGAGTAAAAAAATTCGTCATTTTTGTTTGTCTATTTTTTTTTTCAATACAAATTTCATATTCTCGATGTGCTTCTCAACCTTCCAGGACGCTTGCATAATATCATCAGTTACGTTATCACTAGACTGTAAAAAAATTGTAACGATTTTCGAGGCACAAAGCGCTTCAGAATAACTTGATACTTCGTCCTATTGAACATCATCGTCGCTTTCGTTACTAGAGCTTTGAGGATCATTTGTCTGTAAAACTTCAGTATTAATATGCGTTAATAACTCCGTGGTTATTAAATTATCATCAACAGTTGGGAAACTATAAATTTTAATGTTGGTTAGATCTTCTCGAACCACTGAACCAGACGTAAGTCATCGTATGAATCAAACTCATCTTCCGATTTTATCAGACCTGCATGTCGAAATAGTGGTTGAAGTAACACCATTCCAATATTGTACAAGTAATCCTATGGAGTCTAGTGATGTTGAAAGGTTCCTTATTTTCAAATGACTGGATCAAATGATACAAGAAATATCTGCGGTATTATGTCCAAATCCATTGGAGGTGCTACTTGGAGGCAAAAAAACTAATCTGATATTTGAAAGGATTAGATTTTTTGGATGTGATTCTGATGTTTTAGATTTTCATTCCAATCCTTTAGATGATTATAAAAAAATTACTGAACTCATCGACGCTAGCTGGTTTGACTTATAAATGACAGATAGAATTTTCACATTTTTCATGCATCTCGGTCGTTCATATTTACCAATAACAAGAAGTTTGCATTTTTCGCTTCCTGTCATATTTGCACAAACCCAGTACCTCAACTTCGACTGCTTCCCACCCACACACTTTTGTCCTCTAAATTTAAGGGTACGATCTGGAATCATCTTGTAAAATAGCCCAGTCTTGTCACCATTGAAAATATTCTCAGAGCTGTAATTTTGTGCCATACTGGGCCACTTATCCTCTAACCACTTCAGCAGTTTGTTTATTAGCATCTGCTGCTTCACAAGAAATTTTTCCACGCCACTCTCAATACTTCTGATAAATTCTATCTTTTCTTTTAGTTTAAGGTTAAAGATTTAACCTTAAACTCAAAAAATCGTGCCAGCGCACGTTTCCATAAAACAATATTGTGGAAACTGTCGGCCGGCCACGCACGTTTTAGATAAAATCTCGCAAATAATTACTGAAAAATCCCCTATTGTTTCGGGGAACCACCGTTCGATAATCCGGTTTTAGAGTACACTCGTACTTTATAACCAAAACAATAGTGTACTTTATAACCGTAGTAGAAGTTATATATGGTACGTAATATCCGATGAAAAATCAAGAGTGTTTTGGCCGGATCAGAAAAATATGTACTGTAATACGGAAATACGTTATATCCCATGTACGTTATAAGCGGAGTTTACTGTAATAAAATAATGGTTTCCCGCAGGCATTTACAGTAACAGCACGCGGGCTTTTAAGTTCGGATCCACGAAATTGTTATCAGTAACAGCACTTGTGCTAGAGAGAAAAATGCGCAAACAGCACGCCTTCTAGAGACTTCCTTCTTTCTTTGGTTAAGTGTGTTTTGTGATGTGTGTTTTTGAGTTTTATATACATACTATTGTGTAAAAATATAAATATGGATGGGGAAAAACTTCCTAAGTCGTTTAAGACTAAAATAATTAGTGATAAGATTCTAAGGCTTCAATTAAAAGACAAAGCCGATGTAGAGGTAAGTACATTATAATAAATTTGTTTCCTAACCTTAAAATAACGGATCAGTTGCTGGATAAAGTCTTTTGGTTCTTGGTTGTCTGGTATATTCAGGATTGCCAATGCTTTGAAATAGTTAATCGCCCAAGGGGAATCCCTTAAATTTTGGATTATGTGGGTGTCTCAAAAAAGTATCATAACAAACACTATTTTTTTTTTAATGAGACCCTATATAACATTGCATTTTGATTTGAAATTTGATACAGAGGTAGTATTTAGGAAGGGGAAGCGACCCTTGAATTTTGGATTATACAGGATGTCTCAAAAAGTGCCATTACCTAAAACTCTTTTTTTATGAGACACCCTGTATATCATCGCATTTTGATTTGAAATTTGGTACAGAGGTAGTATTTAGGAAGGGAAAGCGACCCTTGAATTTTGGATTATACAGGGTGTCTCAAAAAAGTACCATTGCCTAAAAACTCGTTTTTTTAATGAGACACCCGGTATATCATCGTATTTTGATTTGAAATTTGGTACAGAGGTAGTATTTAGGAAGAGGAATCGACCCTTGAATTTTGGATTGTACAGGGTGTGTCATAAACACTGCCACTACCTAAAGTTCTATTTGGGACACACCCCGTGCCATTGCATTTCAATTTAAAATTTGGTAAGTACGGATGCAGTATTTAGAAAGTTGAAGCGATCCTTAAATTTTTAAGTACAAAACTTCAGTTATATGATGTAGCGAGTGGCCAATGTGCTAACAGGGAAATGTTTTTACCATTACAGCGTACTGTCAGTGAGCAGGAGATGGAGATGGATCCAATTACTGTAGAGAATTCGTATAACAAAAGCAAAATGGAAAGCAATGAAGGTTCCAACAACATCGACATAAATTTAGAATGTATTAAAAATATGCCCTCCCCACAGGAAATTGCAGTCCTTAAAAATGAATGGCAAAGTTTTTGCACCGACATTTGAGATAAGATTGACCAAGATCCTATTAGTTTTTATCCAGGAGTAAAGCAATGTCTGGTTAATAAAAACAAGTATGCTAATAGTGACAATAATTTGAGTAGCGGTTTATACCACTGTTTTAAATATAGTGGTGTTCGTAGCGTAAGGAGACAAACTAATTTGCGTCACGGCAAAAAAATACCCGTGCAGCCAACTACGATTTCAAGAAGAAAGTCATTGTTGTGCAGCAGGGAGAAGTACTAAAAGGCTTTCAAATAGCAAAACAAAAAATCCGCATTCGCTTGCCAAATATGTTAGAGAAAATAAGGGTCTTGGAGGAAATAAATTTAAAAAGTAATTAACACCTTTTTTTATAACATAGACATAGGTCGCAATAATGTTTAAAATATACTTAATTTTTTTTTTTTACGTTAAGTAACAAAAATGTAATTCTTCTATCTTAAAAAATCAATTTCAGTTACATTTTTGTAAGTATTTTTATGCCACCTTGATAAGAATGTATTCTTTCTACTGTTCTTTTTTTTTTCAAATATAACACTGCTTCTATGTGTATTGGTATGTGTTTTAGTTTTGTTGATCTATACTTATCCATAGAAAAAGTGCGGTTTTGATTATCGCTCGTGCATGAGTGCTATTACTATAGCCAACATTTTAGTAACATTTTCTAGCCCGCGTGTTATTACTGGTAACTGCTGTTAGCGCGAGTGTTGTTACTAGCCACGGCTTCGGAAAAACATATTTTCTAGCCCGCGTGCTGTTACTATTCATGTAAGTACTTCGATGCTAATGTTTTCAAGCAACAGAAATAAATACACGGAAACCATAAAACACAAGCGACGCTAGGAGAAAATTTTCAGATCATCAATGATTGACAGCCGGCTAAGGTATGAATTATTCCTGCCAACCATACAATTTCCATTTCGTAGCAATCTTTGACGCACGTGCTCATTGAAGTAGTTGGTAAAGCGTTTCTGACTTGAGATTGGAACGAACCTAATGGTTTTCTACAATGTCATAATAAGAAACGATTATTTTTAGGTCCACTACCCATTAGTAATTATATGAGCCTGACGTACTATGAAATTAATGTTAAGGAAAACTCCTTAATTACTTAATGGTTGGTATACAACAAGAACAAGAAAACTGGTCAAAATTAGGTTAATTTTTTAAATACAATTTTAAAATAAATCATCTAAAAACTTATAAAATCACATTTCTATAATTAAGAGTGATGAAAAGAAAGACCTAACTAAAATAAACGTTACTTAGAGGTGGGGGCATAATTTAAAGGAAAGCATTCCAGCGTGAGCCACCCGGTATGAAAACGCGCGTAGGCATTTCTTCAAAGGAAATAAAAACCGTTACAATGTTAAATTTGATTTGTGTTGCAGCCGGCGTGTAATAAATTCTAACATAGAGAAACTAAAAATATTCCTTCGCGTTATGGGGCCCAACTGCCGGGCATCAATTACGATTTTAAATTTAAATTCCAGATCCAAATATATGCACCTACTGCCGCCACTGCCCGTACACTGCAGCGCTTTAGACGGAGATAGCGCGACAATGCCGATCATTTTCGAAGACCAATATCAGGATCCCTTCGAATATGAGAAAAGGAATTGCGAGGAATACGCCTCTCCCGGTCAAGGTACTATACACTGCCCGATGAAAACATAGACCAAGAAAATTTTAATTTCTTTTTTTTTCTCGACACCGGGAAAGGAGATATCTGTTGCCGTTTCAGAGTTGTAGGGAGGTTTTCTAAGTGTGCATTATTTTTAAACTTCTGTTCTGGAAAATTTTGTATTTCTAAAAAAGCATTTTCAGAGCACATATTTACGCCGTTTTTATACTAGACACTTTATATATATTTAAAACATTAAAAATAACTTCAAATTATTAACGGAACAAAGAGAAATTTTGAAATTTTAACAATTGGTAGTTGGCAATTTGCGATGTTTTCGACTAAATTTCAAAGAATCAACGATAAACGCGGTATTCGTTTACATTTTTACCACAGGTAGAAACGTTTAAGGGCACTTTTTTGCTAAGTTGTGACATGTTTGTGTTTTTTTTTCATCTCAGTTCTTGTCAGTTCTATTCGTGCTGACTTTGGGAAATTATTTTTAGGGACTCCTAAAACCACTATTTCTCGAGTTGAATAGTTTTTCAACCGTTGTGTTTCAAACTGACGTATTATTATCAAAATGTATTTAAGAATTTTTTTTATCTCACTATATTTTTTGTAGTACGAAATACCATTACGTATCCGTTTCCTGAATTCTGGCCGAGCCGCGCTGTCCCAAGTTTAGTTTTTTAAAGTAGTAAAAGGCAATTTTAAGTTCTATCAATAATTCAAAAATATTCAGGATGTCCCATATAATTTTCTGTTGATAACTATTAAACTATTAAATTGTTTTGCAAAGAAACTTCCACATGCTACTGTAATAATTTTTACAAAACTTCTGGATTCCTCCTGTGTCGGTTTTTGTTGAGTCGAACTAGCTAACGTTTCGCCAATCATCCTGTTGGCTTCTTCAGAGCTTGACTGAAACTGACTCGCATTTTACTCTGTACTTGCTTTTATATTGTTTGAGGGGGGCGGAGCTAAATGAGGGGTATAAACAACATCTCGGATGATTCCCATATTGCTGACAGGTAAAGACCTGAGTCGCGGTTAAGATTGTTAGGTTGCTTATAGATTTATATAGATTCTCAGATTTTTCGTTGCTAGAAGAATTGATTACATCCAAGAATTTTAGTCTTATAGAATAAAATTTTTTGTCCGGTTTCGTGATTGTGTTCGGCAAGGACAAAAAAAATCCATTTGAGATGCCAGGAGTTTACAAGATTCCATGCACATGCGGCAAAGAATACATTGGAGAAACCGGACGAAAAATATCAACTAGGCTCAAAGAACATGAAAGAGCCCTAAGACTAAAACAAATAAACTCATCAGCAGTTTCGGAACACAATCACGAAATCAGACATCAAATTTCATTAGATTAGATTAGATTTGTTTTTATGAAATTCGAGCTTCAGGAACCGAAATTAGTTTTTGTGTATTTTTTTTAGAAATTGGGTTTTCCTTTAAAATTCGAACTCATAGTTTTAATAGACATAAGATGTCTACTTTTGTCGTCGTAAATCTGTAAAAATTTTGTCCTTAATGATAATCGAGTCATTCCTTTTTTGTTTTAAGGAGCATTTAAAAATGGTGATTGGGGGCCCTAGAAACCTTCTAAAATACACAATTATAGTTGTGTGAAATCAATAAATGTTGAACTGAAATCCTTCACAACCGTCGTATATCTTGGTCATAAGCTTTTCCCGACCTATCTGTTCATCCATCTGGAGCCAGCATGCTTTCTCAGAGCATCCGTCTCATTTAAGAACTTCCTTCCCAAGGTTTCCAGTTTTACACCTAATATTCGATATTTCGCTTTCGCTACTATGTCTACGTTTGACTTATGATTCTAGTTTTTGCGTAGTTTATATTGAGGCCTATATTTTTAGCCACTTGTGTTCAGTTCTGTCCAATTTTAACATATTCTCCTATGTTAACAACCAGGATATAATTCGTCAATTTTCCAGAGCGCAGTATCAGCGTGAAGAGGTCGAAAACTGTAGACAACGGTAGGAATTGTTCGTGCGGTTCGGAAAACGTATGGGAACTTCGAAGACCTCAAAAATCGCCTGCCGATTACGGCACCTGGGAGGATTGCTTCAGTAACACAGTGCCGGCTCGTTACAGCAGATCCCTCGACCACCTGCAGTTTTTGTCATCCACTACTTTCCACAGGTCGATGGGCAACATTCCCGACAAACAAAAATTTTCGACCAAACCTTCGGGGAAAAGTAAGACGTTGCTCGAAGTTCCGATCGACTACAGATCCATCTCGGAGGTCGGATATCCGGTTAGACGCGACGACACCTGCGCGTATTCGGCTTCGAGTTTCCCACGGCCCAGCGTCAAGAAAACAATCCACCCCGTCCCGGAAAATTCCGCGTCGGAACGCCGCCGTAAACCGCCGGAAACTTCGCAGAACCTAATCAGGTCGAATACGGTTCAAAATTTTCCGACGAAACGAAACCCGACCCGTATTAACTTAGATCCGGTTACGAATCAAAAAGCGGTCAATCAAAATAAAGCAGTGAATGGGATTCAGCGAATCGTGAACAATCAAATCATGTCGAAATCAAAAACCTGGGAATTGGACTTGGTCAGTTCGTTGGAGAGTGTCCCCCAAACACTGACCGACAGGAAAATATTTTCGGATGGCAACGCGGATTCGAAGCGAAGTTTGAGAAAAGTGAGGAGCGCCTCTTACGTGGGCGGAGAATTTAAAAGCGTGGTTGCTTCTTCATGCTCCGAATCACTGCCTAATTTTAACGGGAACTCGGAAGAGAGACTGGGGTATCCCCAAACGAAGTACCTGAGCTCCTCCTCGTCTGGTAGCGAACAAAGCGGATGGATTACTTCCAGGTATAGTTTCATTTAAATTATATATTCTATAAATCTTGATGATAACAGTCGTCAACAAATTACGCGCCGCAACATTTTCAAACGTTGATGATAACAGGCGTCAACAAAATATATTGGAGATATAAAAAAGATTCTTCCAAGTTATCATGATTGTAATTTACAGTGCTAAGATTTGGAGAATCAGTGCAATAAGTCTAAGCTTACGGTAACAAAAAATATGGACACGCAAAAAATAAATTTTACCAGCTTCATTTGACTTCACGGTAAACTTGTACACAGTGTGGCAAATAAAACAAACCACTATACGACCTGGAAACCCAAAGTTTAGTACAAAAGTTTCTTGGATTCTCCTGAATATTTAAAATGTTAGAATTTTGTTGATACAGGGTGTCCCAAGTGTCCCCTCCGACATCAATTTTGTTATTTTAAATAGAACGACCTGTATATATCGACATTTTTGGAATTCGTGGTTAAAATAAAGGTGCTTTCTTGAGTAATTAACATTCGAATTTTTCATAGTTTATCCAGATTGCAACAAAAATTTAACCAGAGCTTATACAGGATGTCCTAAATAGGTGGTGCCGTTTTGGCAAATTCAATTAACAAAATCTCAAGATTTTAATTTTTTATTTTTATTCAGATATCAATTTCTGGATAATAAGGTAACTTTGTAATTTATCTTATATTTAAAATTCTCTTATTTTTTGAGATATTCGAGGTTTAAGATAACACCCGTATAAATTCTTCTTGAATTTAAAGCTGCCCGCATTAGGTCACTTGTAGGCAATATTAGGTATTTTCTAAATAGCAAAGTCATAATCCTACTTTTTTAGAGATATAATACTCCAGATATACGAATAAAACCTATTGCTAACAATACAGATTTAAGGAAATATTTAATGGTTAATTATCTAGCTTGGTTGAAAACACCAAATAACAAAAATGAGTAATTAAAGTTTATAAGCTAACTAACCAATTAAATATGAATTCTGAAGTTTTATTAAATCTGTTAAAGTGTGTAGTATAAATTCGATTTGTCTGAAAATCTCCACAAATATAATGGACACCCTGTATTGTTAGAAAAAGGTTTTATTCGTATATCTGGAGTATTATATCTTTAAAGGAAGTAGTATCATGTCTTTGCTATTTAAAAAATACCTAATATTGCCAACAAGTGTCCTAATGTGGGCAGCTTTAAATTCAACAAGAATTTATATGGGTGTTTACTTAAACCTCGAATATCTCAAAAAGTAAGTAAAAAAAAAAACAAACGCATCTGTCAAACTGATTGAGTAGTGCATCATCTCCTTAGCCTGTGGTTAAATGTTCGTTGCAATACCTGGATCAGTATGAAAAAAAAAACACATCACCCCAATTTGAGATCGAAGAGTAGGGAGTCGGAGGGCGCAGAAGTTCGGTTTACTTCTACCTCTTGTATAATTATTAACAACTTTCAACCAATTGCAAGGAAAGTTTTATACTATTTGAGTATTTATAGCTATTAAAATAATGTTTAGGTGACAATTTTTGCGTACACCTGGGTCTAAGGCGGTAAATTTGAGGCAAATTCTATAAGAGGACGCGGGAAACAACGTCTGATTTCTTTCAGGAGCAGCTCGATAGCTTCCAGTACTGACGTAACAAATCCTGCCACAAGTGCTATCGTATTAAATTTAGAGAAGATTCAACAGAAACTGTTATGCCTATCTGCTGAAACTAAAAGGTGTAGTGTTAGTAATGAAAATAAGAAAATAGAAGATATATTTAAAAATAAATCGAACAAATTTTCTTTACACTCCTTTAACTCGTCGCATAAAAAGCACCAGAGGCCCGTAGTAGCTAAAGGTGAGTAACCATTATTTTCATACGACTGATATTACCTTTCACATTTTTAATCTCTTCTCTACTACTACCAATTATTCCACATTACACAGGTTAGAGTATGCCAATCACCTGAAAGTGGTTAGTCATAGCATAGATTAATAGCACAACTGAATATAACACAAAGCTCGGACAGTCCATCCCCACCTATACGTTTCTAAAGTCAGGGACGGAATTAACATTTTTCTTAATTTTGCTTTTACGCATGCACAATTAATATTTTGCTTTATTATTTTTTGACAATTGTTTTGTTTTTTTAACGAATATTCAAGATTATGCGAGTATATCCTCAACTATTATAATAGAATTGTACAATTTATATTCTATTAAGAAATACTTAATACTTAATTTTCATTTTTTTTATTTGGGGTTCCTTTATATTTTGAAATATATAAAAATAATTTACAAAGCCCTATTTAGGGGGTAAAAAAGGCAAAAATAATTATACAGAATATTAGTTTGGCTACCTCAAATCCACTAAAGTCAAGTAACATTATAAGCGTAAATTTTAATAACAATGTATAATGGACATTATCCATCGGAGTGCTCGAGCTGTATTAGGTTCAGCTGTGTCATAGAACCGAAATTGTAATAAAGATGGCACTAGTGTCTACTACTTGCAAAGCAGATATCGTACATTCGCGCATGATTATTTCAGGCTGTGATCTAAAACAAACAAACAGCGTTTGCGAAGAAGAAATAGCTTTACCTCCGCCGAAACAGTTTAGGGATTTCAATTCGCCTACAAGTTCGGTGACCACCGACGGTTTACCTAACGTGGAAGACTTGGACGAGGACATAAACGCGGTCGACAATTTGCTTTATCATGTGGTGGACAATGAGACCACCCTCGAAAGGGCTTCGAGTCGATTCGACCTGAACACCGCAAAGCAGAAAGAAACGGAAGAGGTGCACCTTTACAAAGGAAACAGCGAATCTTTGAAAGCGTTCCTCACGGCAAAGCGAGAGTTTAAAAGTCAATTAAATTTTCAAGGAAGACTCTACGCTGACCTAAACACCTTCGCGTCAACGGTGCCGTACTTCCATATAGCGGACGAGTTTAGAATATTCTCTCCCGAAGGAATGCACTTGGTTGTCTGCGTCCATGGACTCGACGGCAACTCGGCCGATTTAAGACTGGTAAAGACGTATTTGGAACTGGGCCTTCCGGGTGTTTATTTGGACTTTTTAATGTCCGAACGGAATCAGGGAGACACCTTTAGTGACTTTGAAACTATGACTGACCGGTAAGAATCCAACAGAATATTTTAAAATTGTAAAAACAAGCAAATTTCCGTTGAATTTTGTTATTATTTGTGAATAGTTTTGGTCCATACTCTGATTTACAAGATATATTCCTTATCCTCTTCAGCAATATCGTCAAGCTTTATTCGTTATTTTGTCGTTTTTTGGCAATTTTATTATCCTACGAGAAAGCAGGCTTCTAAATAAGGAACAGTGTTCATAAGATTTTTATTAGCCTCATTGTCACCTTCAAATTTATCTTGGCCTTTTCTTACGGATTTCACCACTATCAATATATCTTTACTTGTGTCTCAGTAAGAACCCAGTGTAGGTCTTTTTTTTTTGTTTTGGGCTAAGAAAAGAACGTAACTCTATTTAAACTACTACAATAAAATATTTTTAAGTTAAACAGTACACATAATATGTTTCTCTATGAATGCAAAATCAAAATAAAAATTGTCAGTCTTGCCGATCGTCTTGCACTGCAACCTTGACAGGTTCAGTGACAGGTGTTGACCTTTTATCATATTAGTAGTAGTCTACTAATATCTGAAGCATTTCCTGAGCCCCAATTTGGATTTTTCGTTCCATATTAATTGTATAATTAATAAAGTAAATATTTCCATCAAACCTTCATATTTTTGGATCATATCATATCAACAAAGAGCCTATTTTATACATGTCATACCTATTGTCTGAAAAATGTTGCTCACTCACTTGGCAACCCACACCTGTAGAAGTCAGATGGATATTTCTGAACTCTGTGGACCATTTCTAGGAACTGTCGCTGTCCTCATAATTTTTATAGTTTATTGACTTGGTTGAAGCTCTTTCTTTAATTGTTTTTTTTATTTATCTCTTTCCATAGCTTATGCAGGTCTTATTGTTTCTTTAATTACTCTATAGTATAGCGACTTTTCTACTCAGGCGACAATATTGTATACATACATACATACATACATAGGATATTCAAGTCATTTTCGCAATGGTGTTCACTTTTAATTTAAAATTAACCTTTTACCTTTGTTTATTGTATCTTCAACATTTTTAAAACTTAAAAGCATCCAAAATTGAGTAACTTAATTCTATCACATTGTACACAAAAATCCGTGTGTACCCTCTCTGCATTTTGAATTAAACGAGAGTGATGGGTTTGTTTTTTTTATAGGTTAGTTAGCGAAATTCTACATTATTTAGATTCGAGCACCATAAGACCAACCCGCGTCAGCTTCGTGGGCCATTCCTTAGGCAATATCATCATCAGGTCTGCGCTGACTAGACCACAAATGAAGTTCTTACTTCCCAGGTTACACACCTTTTTATCACTGTCCGGACCACATTTAGGAACTTTGTACAATAGTAGCGGATTAGTAAATATGGGTGAGAATAGGAAAACTGCCGTCTCCGAATCGGCAATAATGTATATTTGCAGGAATGTGGTTTATGCAAAAGTGGAAAAAGTCAGGGTCTCTGCTTCAGCTTTGTTTAAAAGACTCGACCGATCCGAGACAATCATTCCTATATCGTCTCAGTCAGAGGAGCACCTTGCATTACTTTAAAAACATTCTTCTCTGCGGATCAGGGCAGGATAGGTATATATTATTCGCAAGCTTTTTATATGTTATCAAAGTGCTATTAATGTCCTTCGCAGATATGTACCCTTACATTCCGCAAGAATCGAACTGTGTAAAGAATCACTTAAAGACTCTTCGGAACAGGGCACGGTTTATCGTAAAATGGTACAAAACATACTACAGCCAGTCATGGCCCAGAAGGACCTCAAGCTGCTGAGATATGACATCCATCACGCCTTACCGAATACAGCGAACGCTCTCATAGGACGTGCGGCACATATTGCGGTTCTCGATTCGGAAATTTTCATCGAAAAGTTCATGGTTGTAGTCGGTCTAAAATACTTCCGATAAATTTTTCTTTGATATCTTTTTAAAAAAATTACGTATTAAAAGATCAAATTTTACCAAGACTATTATTCACCTCCCTACACAGACTAATACCAGAGCTTACATACTTCCCAGACTATTATCAGCTGCTGCAAGCATTTTTGACAATCAACAAAGAATAACATAAATAAACTAAAATTTTTCGAACAAGGAAGCTTGCATTGCGCATGCATCTGTCATTTCCGTTAACTCGGTAAATTGTTCATCAAGAAAGTCGGTCAAGCTAATGTGTGCATGGCGTATAAATAGTCCAAGATTGTGCAAACTTTCACAGAATATCAAATTCGTTTTTAATTTATGAAAATTGGTCAAGCAATCTCCGCAAACCTTGAAGGTGTATGAAAGGAAGAGAAAGGTTATGTTTACTTAGCTACAGTTTTTTGTTTTGGTTATAAGGTAATAAATGCTTAATATTTTTCGCGATGTCTGGAGGTTTTACGGAGTCAGCCTTTATAAAAAAGTTATCCGATTTGAATAGTTCTTCACAAAGCATACAAACGTTGTCTTTATGGCTTATACATCATAGGAAACACTACACCAGTGTCGTGAAAATTTGGTTAAGAGAGCTCATAAAAGGTAGTATAATAAAGGTTTGCTGCTTGGTATTCACATTTTCTTTTATTTTATAGCAAAAGAAAATCGAAAACTGACGTTCATGTACCTCGCGAACGATGTAATCCAAAATAGTCGAAAGAAAGGCCCTGAATATGGTCTAGAATTTGGCACATCTTTGAAAAAAGCTTTTGAACACATGTCGAAATGCGATGAAAAAACGAAGAACGGTCTTGATCGATTGCTAGGGATTTGGCAAGACCGGGGAGTGTATGATTCAGTTCAAATTAGTGAATTTAAGAGATCGCTACGTAAGAATCAATTGCTAAGGGAGTATGTGCCAGTATTCATCCTAGGATATAGTTTTAGGTAAAGATGAGCCACCCGCAAAAAAACTGAAATCGGGCGACTCCAAAAAACGGGACAAAGAAGTTGTTTATGAAGTTGATGGGACATTAGAAACTCATGTGCATCTGAGCCCCCACACACCACCAGGTGATCCGCCAGAGCCTGAAGAATTAATAAAGGCCATTAAGGATTTGGAATTGAATATAGCATCGTCCGATGAGAAAGTTAGGGAAAAAATAGCAAACTTACCAAGAGAAGTTTCCGAAGTATCCTTAATTTCTAAAATTGATGGTAAGGTAATAGAATTCAATTCAAAAAGCAATCTTAATTTTCTGTCAATGTTCAGACAAAGAAGCAGCTGAAAAACTTGCTGTTCAAGTGAAGAGTGCAGTTTTACTTTTAAGCCAGTATAACACGAGATTGCAGACTGAGATGGAGCACCGGAAAAAGGTGGCCGTCATGTTAAAGGACTTTTTGCAAGCCCAGGAGGAGTTGTTAGCGCAAGCCGAACACAATTTGGAGGTACTATATCAATTTACTTACAGCTTTGTGTAAATTTGCTTTTTTTTTTGTTGTAGGAGTATCAGGAGAAGCTTTCCAAGATCTACACGGTTCGGCAAGAGTTGCAGTCCCACATTCAAAATCTACCCGACTTGACCCAATTGCCTAATGTTACAGATGGATTGGCGCCCCTACCTTCTGCAGAACATTTGTTCATGCATCACTAATCAGTTCAATTAGCTTTGTTTGTATATATCTTGGGTATGTCTTAAATTTAGACATTTTAACAGTGAAATGAATTAGAACCTTGTTTTTGTTTTGTATGAATTGCTATTCAACATTGTGTTACATCATGCATATACCTCGGGAGTGCATTATACATTCATTTAATGATAATGTGAATTTTAATTACCGAAGTGGTTGAAAAAGTTTTAGCCTTTTGATGGTCATTCATGGTATACATATTATTGCAATTGTAAGAAACACTTTTTATTTCATCTCTAAGGTTCTGGTGAAAGTTATCCTTTAAATTGCTGAAGATAGTTTAGGGCTTTATTATTTGTTAAATTTTCCTTTAGAGATATCTAAGTTTTAATTAGATATATGGAGTGAAATTGATTTTCTATCAAAAAAATAATCCACTAAAACCTTTCGCATCAATTATAAGTAGTCTCGGTCATCTGGGTGCAACCGATTCTTAAAATTAAGCTCGAATCGCGCACGAGTTTAGTTTGTCAATCAATTGTACATGAAGTAATAGTTGTTTGTGTTAATAAAGTTGTTGTATTACTCTATTGTACCTAATTTCCTAAGCTCTATTATATAGTATATCTATCCGTGATCCGTGAGCACAAGGCCTACTGGAGATGGGCGCAGAAGTAACGCGTAAATTGGCGACCCCGTATGAAACTTAAATTCACATATTTGGTCTAATGCCCATTAATTGGCCGATTGACTTTTGTGGGTCTGTCCAATAGAAATGAAAAATGTATGCAATAGATTTTTGTAAATAAGTTATTACGGGGAGATTCTACCGTGAGTGTTGTATAGGATGGGCACCTTATTAGGGGCCTTTACCCTTTCTCAGGAACCACTGATTTTAGAGAAAAGTTTTATGGTTTAAATAATTTTAAAATTATTTATTTTTTATATATACATGGTGTCCGATAAGTGCCGGAACGACATTAGTTTTGAAATTTTAATTGAACACCCTATATATTTTGATATTTTTCAAATCCTTGCCAAAAATAAAGGTAACTTTTATAGAAATTATTTATTCGAATTTTCTGTAGCTTAGAAGTTCGAATTATATATTTTTTTTTATGCAAAATTATGTTCTTAGTAAATATGTCCTTCCACGGCTGGCAGTAATAACTATTTGATCAAATTTTAAGCTCACATTTAGAAGGCTTCTTTCTAACGATCTTAATTTTTTTTTTTTAATTTCAACTTGTATTCATTTTTTTTTTATGATGATGAATCTGTGAAGGTGTGATGCGGAATATAACGATCAAAGTTTGTAGTTCCAATTTACTTTAATGAAAACTTAAACTCTAGACGATATTTAAATATGCTCAGAAATGAAATACCACCATTAATAGCAAATGGAATACCGGCTTGTAAACCTGCTCAAATAATATGGCAGCAAGATGGCGCTCCGAACCACGGGGAAACGATATCACTAAATTTTTAAATCAAAATTACAATCTTTGGATCGGACAAAATGGAAACATCTGGTGGCCACCCCGAAGTCCATTCTAACCCTACTGGTCTTTTTTTATGGGGGGAAATTAAAGATATGGTAAATAAAGAAAGATGCGCTACGGTTAACGAACTACAAATGTGTATTAGAGAAGCTGCAGTCCAACTAAATAACACCGTTTTTGTTTCTAATGCTTTAAATCATATTGAGGTTGTTTATACAACGTGCATTATTCAAAATGCTGGACATTTTGAAAACCTCCTGTAGATATTCTATTTTGTTTTACCTTAGTTTTTACGTTAATTGTTACAGTTACTGTTTTTACTTGTTACTGTTGCTTATTTTAAATTTTTTAAATTCTATCATAATTACACATATTATTTTACATCGTTGACGATATAAAAAATAATGTTTTAATTTCCTAAACCTATAAATCTCTGTATTACCTACCAAGAGAAGAGATCCATCATCCATTGCAAAAATCCTTAAAATTAATCAAAAAAGAAGAATGATATGCTTTTTTAAATTCTTTATAATAATTAGATGTCCGTATTTCGGAAACTATTAGATTTAGGTATAGATAAGTAGATAGGCTATGACAGTTTAAGAATAAATTTTCTCATTTTGATATGTAAATGCCCATAAGAAAATTTAAGGTACATATTAGCGAAAATTGGTCCGGTCAAGGTCAATCGATCCACCACTCCTCTTAGCACCAACCTACCTATCCTCACCCTCTCCCTCTCCCGCAACTCTCACCACACTCCCTCAACCCTCACCCCTTCCCTCAACTCTCATACCCCTTCCCTCAGCCCTCTCGCAACCACTCAATGTATGTAGTCACGTCCATCAAAGCAAAACCAATAAAACACATTTACAATCAAGGGGGGACAATTTCTTCATCCATAATTGAATAGTGTCCCCACGGCAAAGTTTCTACTGATTTTGATATTGATTTTGATTTATCATCGTAAGGACTTAAGGCGATCTCCTTTTGGGATACTGTGTGCAAGTCCAGTTTGCCTGTTCTTATTAAATTCAGCGATATGTTTTTTTTTCGGAAAAAATTTGCAAACAATCGCCGAAATCTTCAAAAATTATCTTATTTTTGATGACGGATTTTTTACACCCAAGTTTTTGAATTCACGTTCAAATGCTACGCGATTTGTTCCTGCGGCCATCAATTCTTGCTTTGCGGTCTCTTCTTCCTCGGGTGTTTTTTATAACTTCGTGGTGTACATCTTAGCTCCGATAAAATGAGACATAATTCGTCCATTATTCTCATTATTCATCATATCCGAAACTTTTTTATTGACTCTGGGTATATCGTACAGATTATCTTCCGCATAGTCCGAAGTATCAAAATACCGGAAACAATATTTTTTTAAAATCTCGTACCGGTCTATGGATAATATCTCGTACACAAGAGAATTCGTGTCGGTATATAAAACTCGGGCATTAGAAAATATTTCTTGAATGTAGTGGAAGTCATAAATTGTTGTCTTGCTATCTCCATAATTGACATCCCAACGTAGATAGGCTTGTTAAAATTTATTTCAGATTTTTTTAATTCGATAAGAACGAGATTTTTATTAATTATAGTTGCACCTTTAAAATCGAGTCGGGCAATCAGAGCTTCCGCCCGTAGCTACCTTCCCAGTTGGTGACTAGCTTATAGTTGGAATGGTTCCCCATGTTTTCAATTGTTTTCACAAACACAGCATTGATCATCAATTTAAACAATTTCTTTTCAAAATCGTTTTTGGCAGCCTGTCGTAGTGCAATGTTCAGGTCGATATAGACTTAACCATGGCGACTGGTTAAACGAGATTGCTTGATTTACCTTTGTTAACTTAGCTCCCAGTCGAAGTGCCTGTTTCAGATTACAATAGTGAATGACATACTCCTGCTTATCGTAAAAGGTGATCAGTAATTTTTGATTTTCGGATCCTGGAGGACAGCGATGTTCGGGACATCGAGGTAAATAAGCAAATTTGTCGTGCACCTCCTTGGGCAAATCGACCTCCAAGATGTAGCCGACTTCCGATTCGTCGGATATATTTAAAATGTCAAGATTTTCGATTTGCTGTTCATCCAACCAATTAAAACCTCCGTACGGTAGACATTGAGACATTGCCCACTCGTATTGGTTATTAACGTCGAAATATATCAAATATTTATCATCTTTGGAGGGATCGTAGGTATGCATATATTTGTTGTTGACTTCCGCGTATCGTTTGGAGCATTGATTAAGGCCTCCTCGCATACCTTTTTCGGTAAATAAAACCATGTCGACGTCTGTGAGTAGATCGAGTTATACAACATGCAGTTTCACGCGTATCTCGCCAGTGTACGCATGCACGGGATCAAGTTCATAGGTGTTATGTGACGTTTCTCGAAACCTCTCAAAAACTTCTGTCAAAAGCAAGATATCCGTCGTCATATACAGTTCCGAATAATCCTGCAAATTTTGACATCCAAGCTTCTCCCAGACTTCCTGAGCACGTTTGTAATCTTTTGCGGTGAACGGTTTGTCCTCCAATATGTTATAGAATGCAGAAATAGGAGGCAAAGCAGTTTCTTCCAACGTATTCCATCCGTTCATATAATCGTAGGGGAAGACACCTTTTCGTTTCAACATATCTGCTGCTCCTCCGACAATTCACTAAATTCGCGCTCCAGTATCGGACATTCCGTCAAATTAGCCACCAACTTATCCAGGCCGCTCGTCATAAATCGAAAACTGTCGATGAATCGGAATTTCACCAGGTTCTCGTTTAGATGCCACGTAAAGGAAATATACTTTCCCTTGTTTACGGGCAGCAAGTCGATCGATCAATCATATTTTGCTAGGGCTTTTATTATTATGTTTTCGTCATACGAGGAAAGGTTATGAAATACTACAGGAACGGTTTGGCTGTCCCTAAGTTGAAGATTACAATTTTTTTGTGCGGGTCCCCTGTATTTCACAGTCAAATGACAATGATCTCGAACTTTTTGTTGGAAGAAACCATATCCCAAATATAAATATTCGTGAGTCACGCCGCGATGACAGCAGAGCACACACACACCTGGGAGGTGTACTTCGAAAGGTAACTTGTATATCAGCGTGTTAACGAGACCGTTTCCGGACGCAAAGTTCAACAAACCGAAAACGAAATTACGCGGCGCCTATGTATATACGGGGGCTGTTCCGAATAAGCGCTGTAGTAATGAAGGTATTGCAGCAAAAATTCGCGCTTCCCATCGAAAAGCGGACGGTGTTTACAGGGCCTTTTGAAGCAACTATTGAATTATTTTGTGTCTTAATATTTGCCTTTTTTACGAAATTAGCATTTATATATAAAATTATTATGGTTTCCCTTGCAGGATGGTCCCAACGTTTTGTTTTGTCTGTCAAAGCTAAAGTTTGTGCTAGTTTAAATAAACGTAAATGACTTTTGTGCAAGTGTCTTTGGGTTGAAGAATCCGTTTTTAGCTTCATACCGTTCAGTGCTACGTTCGTCCGAAGTTTACTTTATAGGTAACATAAATCGGAAAATACGTATGTATATATATATATATATATATATATATATATATATATATATATATATATATACATATATATATAAATATGATGACACTATATTCCGGGACATCATCCGTTCGCTCGTTGAACTCCGACTGGAATCCTGCGACACTGTGTTCGAAGTGTTTTCGTAGCGCGAGCATTGAAGATGCCAAGTGAGATTTTGGCTAAACGTCTGCAGGATTCCAGTCGGAGTTCAACAAGCGAACGGATGATGTCCCGGAATATAGTGTCATATATATATATATATATATATATATATATATATATATATATATATATATATATATATATATATATATATATATATATATATATATATATATATATATATATATATATATATATATATATATATATATATATATATATATATATATAAAAATATATATAAAATTTCATTTAAACCATAAAACTTGTCTAAACTTTTTTTTTCTACAATCAGTAGTTCCCTAATAAAGTGCCCACCCATAAAGTTTTGATGTCGGTTTCAATTGGGTTCTCTTTACTTCCGTAGTGTTTTTTGAAGGTTTTAAAGTATGTAATCGTTGGTTAAAGGCCGGATGACCCGAGGTGGAAGCCGGGGAGACCTTTTTTGCTATCGGTCAAAGTATTTTTTTTGCAAGCTGAGAACAAGTTAAGAATACGTTAACAATACGTTAACAATTCTGAAGGATGATGGAATAATCCAGATCCTTTTCTTACGAAGGCATCCGTTGGGAATTTTGAATAATATTATTAATTTTTGTAAGCTGGCCAAATTGCGTGCGTTGCAGGGCCAAATAAACTAGTAAAATTTAAAAAAAAGTTATTACAGGCAACAACAACGACATTTACGAACAAATTTGAGCGGTCATGCGTCAATAAGCGGTTTTAGTTATCGTCGGTTGGTTTTAATATTAGATATGGAATGATTCTGTTTATGCAAATCAAATTTAAGAACACGTTCTTTGAAAATAGACTGCCATTTTCATCTAAGCATTGTTTTAAAAACATGCAACTCGTTAATGCTTGATACTATTGCTCTTCTAAAATAATTACTATTACTATACATTTAAGGGAGCTATATTTATTACGTCAAGAGTATCAGTGTTAAAATTTAATTAGCAGGCAATCCGCACCATTTGGTAATAAACGTAATTACACCGGGCACGTTCGAGTCGCTGGCGACCTTCGCGGCCATATTTAGTTTTGCCCACGCCTCTTTTCCCGCCTGATAGTTCGACTTGGAGAAGGACACCGCCTGCTTTCGTATGGGATAGCCTGTAATTAGACAGGCAGGCTCCCCCGGCTGCAAGCAGCTCTCGTAAAGTTGCCTATCATCGAGGGGAAGCACCTATAATGAATCGATGAAGGGAATTATAAGACGCGATCGTAAAACTGAACCTGTTCAACTTTTTGGTCCATACTAACGGCCAGAACCCATTCCTTCACATTGTCATGTTCCTTCGGATCATCCGCGAGGTACATTTTAGACGGCAAAGGTATATTTGAGGGGAAATCTGTTTGAATGAGGTCTGAATGATCGACAAGTTGTCCTTCTCCTTCTTCGATCGCCTCGAACAGGTCCAGGTAGTGGTTCAGAAAAACGAATGCTTCCGAGAGTCGATTTTCCTCCTTCAAATCTTTGCCTAAATGGAAAAAGGTTATCACTCGCTCATCAGGAGCACATTCGGAACTTCTTGAGAAACAAAACAATAAATAATTACCCGCTTCATAGTAGGCTTTGTCGGCGGGTATAACGTCGGTATAACGAAGCAAAGCGACGCTGATTTTCACGCCGATAGACTTCAAAGACCCGGTCTGCCTGCAGGCGCACCTTAACGCGTAATAATGCGCGATGATCAGCAAACTTTTGAAATGTTCCCTGGTCTCCGAACTAACGGACGGGGTCATGTCCAACCCCTCATTCTAAAATTCAAACAATGATTTGAGGAAGTCTCTTCTAGCGAAGGGGATCTATGAAGTGACTATTATCAACATTCAATTAGTTTGGTATTGTAAGTCTTTTGTTATAATGAATTTATGTACGTATATAATAAAATTATATTCGTTTTGCTGACGATAATAGGCCAGAGTAACGCAGATCTACAAAGAAGATGGACAAAATTTTCAATAGTAGTTAATATCCAGAAGACAAAGTTTCGCAATAAGGAAATCGGGAGGGTAAAAGTTAGATGTAATATTTCTTAATCCTTCTCTACGGAATAGAGCCGTGGACAACGAACAAAGATGACTTCTGAAGTGTGAGTATAGACGCACGAATTTGACGAAAAGAGTAACAAAAACAAAAAAGAAACAGAGATAGTGCACACTGTAAAATCAATGAACCACCACGTGCTGCAATTATTAATACTAGCGAAAATACAAAGCAAAATAAATTCATAACTTAAAACAGTGGCATCACTGTACATTGATAGAATTATTTCGAGCACCTGCATCAAAAGCAGAACTCACCAAGATTAAATCTAAGGCTCAAGAGGAGACGGTAGAGAGGTATCGCTATCGTATCGTTATCTTGTCATAAAATACCTTTTTGTAATCCCTACTCTAAAATACCCAATTACGGCGAGCAACTTCGGACATTTTCGGTACTTGATTTGGGAGTGTTCGGATGTTTTCGGCAAATTTTACTACTGGAATTTTAACGTTTTTATACTGTGCAACACGTTGACAAACTTCGTTTATTAAGCACTCACTCCACTCGCGCCAAATTAAACTCGTGAATAAAATGACGTTTATCAAACATATATATACAGGTCACGAAAACTATTTTTCACTTATAGGGTTATCGCTTGTGTGACGAGTTAAACGGATATTTTAAAAGCAACGAGTGACATGTAAATATGTAGGCAATTCTTCGAATCCGTTTCAATCAGGGATAAGTTTTTATTATAATTTAATTCTTACGAAGTGTTGCATTGCTCTTGGTCTAGATTTCTTTCGGGAATTAGATATTTAAATTTTTGACGCATTTCTTTACGGTGCTTCAAAAATATACCCATTTATTGTTCTTTGTTTTCGTATATGTTATCGTTTGGACGAAAATAAAACGAAAAAAAAAAACATGTTTAATAATGTCTAATAAAATCATAGCTGTCCACCCGACATGAAAAATAAAAAAATCAGTTCTAGAAATAAAGTTAAAACAAAAAATATATAAAAAATTCAAAAAGTCCACCTATCATAAAATTGTTATCGAACTTTGGCCAGTGTTTTAGCAGTAATTTTGCTAATAGCATTAGTAATTTTATTACGAAGTAAATAGTGCTAGTAACGTAACCCCAAAGAAAAAATTCATCTGGGTTGGGATTTGGTTGTTCCCTTTCCACTTATTATGCGACGTTGCGTTCAGAAAATCCTGAACTCTCCTAGAATTATGTGTGGGCAACCATTTTATTGGTACCAAATTTCATTAACAGGCATATTAAGAGCTTGAACAGCTGCAATTATTTGATCACGCAAAAGATCTAAATACCAGCACAAACGTTCACCATTCCGGATATTGAATATTGAATCCATGTGCTGGTTCTCTTTTGAATACCGAACAGCTACTGTCACATTACGGCGATCATGTAAAGACAATGAAGATTTTCATTTTGGTTAGCTCTTTCAATCATTTATTCACAGAATAGTTCCTGCATGGTCTGTAATTTATAAGACTTTTACCCATTTTTCTTCAAAAAATTCCGCACTGATCTTGGTTCTATCTCATATTCCCGGGAAATTTAAATACTATTGCAAGGAAAGTTTACATTTGCTAAAACACAAACTTCCAATTATCGACGATTCCTTTAGTCATTTAAGAGACGCTCAGGCTGGGCCCAAACATTTTCTAAAATTAAGTAAACAACCATGCTTTGCAAAATTATTAATTATTCGCCAATTAGCCTATTTTTAAACAAAAATGCAAATATGTTGTAATTAAGATATCATTATTAAAAAAAAAATCTAAAAAACAATAAATATTATCAGTAAGTTTGAGCTATGCGTCATGATTTTTTCAAGAGTGCAGTTAAGTGTTCAATATTCAGCATTTAATCAATGACTACACAGCACACGGGAAAAACGATCTAATTCACTTTGGATAAGTTTTAAGATAAATGATTTATTATTGCTCCGACAACAAATAAAATAACTATTATAAAAAAATAAAAAAAAGAAATGTTATAACTAACTACATAAAAAATACAAAAAACGTCCAAAACAATTTTTTAAGCTTCTTTATAGGTAACAAGAATAATCACTGTGTCCACGCTCGTTTGTTGTTTGGAAGAGATGTATTGAATTGTCAAAATGACAGGCTATCATTAGCGTGTGAGCAGGAGCTTTCTCTGTTCTGCATAGCAGGAAATATGTTACACTTTTTGTCAAAAAATGACGGCAACTTGAAGTGGTGGTGAATGTCTATTTATTTGGCAAAAAACAACCTATTGAATTTAAGTTAGTAAAGAGCCTTCTAAAAAAGTGTGAATGATTTTTTGTATTAAATATGCCTTACTTGGTTGACAATAAAACATTAATTAAATTATATACAATATTAACGTCACAGCTCCGATGATGCAAAAATAATAACCGAGGTTAAAATTTACCAAGGCGGCGTCTTTTATTTATTACTGCAATTGTTTGTTGTTTAATTTGACATTTTAAAAGACACTTTCGTTCAGTAAATCGATTTTTTTTTAAATGAGTTATCGTACCACAATTTCTGAGAGAAACTCAATTATAATTCATCACAGAAATGGATAAAGCCAAGGAGACATAGCCAATATGGTAAATAAATGTCACATCATTGAACGTTACTGTACCGAAAATAGATTAGTCGAGGTTAGCTCCAAATAAGTTCTTTAATGACGTGAGGAAAGATGTAAGAGAGGCATCGAAAAAAAGTGCTCCAAAGAAGAAACAATTAGAGACTAATTCTGCGAAAAAATAATTTACATGGTCGAATAGAAATAAGCCTTTCATTAGCCGAAGATTACCGTTCGCTAGAAAGCATATTGATAAAGATTTGAACTTCTGGAATTCAGTAATATTTGTCAATGAGACCAAAATAAACTTATTTGGATCCGATGGAAAAATATCAGTATGGCGAAAGCCTACGGAAGAAAGAAAATTGAAAAATTTAAAAGCTACGGTCAAGCACGGTGGAGGTGGAATGATGTTACGGGGCTGTATTTGATCTGCAGGAGTAGTTAATATGCATTTCTTTGAAGGAAATAGGAACCAATATGTGTATTTGGATATATTAAGGCAGCAACTGGTTGTGCCCAAAAATTAAGTATTAATGTCAATTGTCGGTTCTATCATGACCATGATCCAAAGGACACGTCATTTCGGGTCCGCAGTTGGTTGGTTTATAACGGTCCAAATGGTATTGGGGTTGACATTAAACAACAAAGTAAATAGTGCCCCAATATCTAACAAGAATGAATTAAAAGTAAAAATTACTGAAGTATGGAACGCAATTTCCCCGGAGTATCAATTGTTGAATCAATACCCAGGAAACTACAAGCCGTTATCGATATTGAGGGAGGCCCGACTAAATATTAGCAGGAGTATTTCAAATTATGCAGTTGTTTTTCCCTATTTTTTGGTTATATTTTGTTTTGCATCATTTAAGCTGTATTGTATTAATTTAATTAATGATTTAATTAATTCTTTATTGTTAACTAAGTAAGGCATATTTAAGCCAAAAAGTAATTCGCACTTTTTTAGAAGGCTCTTTACTAACTTGATATTTTGGACGACTTAGATCGTTCTCCCGTGCGCGGTATATAACTTCAAAGGTAGGTCGTACGATTTCCAGCAGCATCTGAGCCAGTTGTTTCCACACCCCGTACGCTTCCGGTCCGGACAACGAGGGAGCTCCAAACATTTCGGTCGCGATGTGACTGTAAATGTTGAAATTTTGGGGCATCGCGGGAGCCCCGTGTGCCGAATACAAGTCCAAAGCGTCGACGACGAACCCATCCTTGAGCAGCTTGGCAGCGTAGAGGGCGACGTATTTGTGTAGGACCGGGGCGACGTTGTGGGCTTTTGCCTTTTCTATGCACCTCGCCCATTGACCCTGCTCGGCCAGCAAGTCCAACGCGCCTATCAAGTCTGAAACGAGATTTATGTAACTGTGCGTAGCGACGCCTTATCCGTTCGTTCGTACCGACGTCGGCTAGCTGCTCCACGTCGCCTTTCTTGAGAAGTCTATCCTTGTACTTGCTCTCTACGTAACTCTCGTACGCGGGATCGAATTCTTTAGCAACTTTTCGCGCCCTCGTCCAATCCTCCGCCGTCACGAAAGAGTCGATCGCCTCTTTCATCATTTCTGCTCCGATGTAGAGTTGGGCCGCTACCGCGTTCTCGCCAATTTCAATTAACCTGACGAAAAAAACTGGAAATGTTGGCGTAATGATAACTTGCCATATTGTCTGGACCAAATACATTTTCCATACAGAGAATAGGTTTATTAAGGAATATGAAAATTTTCAATACTCTGTTATTTTAGCATTAGTAACAAATCAATTCAAAAAATTGTAGCAGAAATCATTTAAAATAGAGATATCTCAAGATCTCACGCGAATCTCAATGGAAGGTATAGTCTGTTCATAGATATAATAAAGTGACTAACTGATACGAATTAAAGAAAGACCCGGGCAAGCTGTAAGAATGAAATATGAGCCGAACAGGTCCTTACTTTGCTTAGAATTTAATTATTTGGGGTTTTCTTAGGAAATATACAAAACAATATTTATTTATTTATGTATTTATGTTTAAATCTAAAATAAAATTACAAATTATTTTTATTACCTACTTAAATTACTTAAAATTATTCACATAATATATCAGTATCACTATCGCTATCATCGCCTGTTCTAATTATTATTTATTCTATATTATTTGCAATATGGATATACGATTGTTCTGCGTTTTCTATATGTTTAACAAAATTTGCCCAACTTGTGGAGGGACACTAAAATCTTCGGTTTCTATAAGTTTGAGGACATTGGAGTTAACACGGGGAAAAACATTGTTACGAAGAATGGCAGATTTCAGTTGGTACCAAACATGTTCAATGGGATTAAATATACAGTGGTAAGGTGGATGGTACAATGACGCTATTAGGAGGAATGTTTGGAACCAGTTTGTTTTTAAACCAACTTTCAAATAAATCAGCGGTAGTGTCTTCATGGTAATCCAGAGAAGAATCTTTAATATTTTTCACAAACAGAGAAAGTTCATTTGGTATCCAACCATCTTTAGGGCTAGCATGCAAAATAGTTATTCTTTTACCTCTTTTTGATTCCTTATCCGGGATATCATAAGTGTCGAACCAGGTTTCATCCAAGTAAATAATTGGCTTTTTTTTCCTCTCTGAAATGGGATTATTCACAATTTTCCATACAGTTGATGTTGGAATTTTCGTCAATGTGGCCGTTTCTTCTAAAGATGCTTGCTTGCTGGCACCACGTTCAATGAGAGTCAAATAAACATTGTTTATAACTTCTTTAGTCTCAATAGAATAGTGTTTTTTTACATTTGGGCGGAAGCATCTTCTGAGATACACTAGACTCACACATGTTTTGCATAATTCGCATACGATTCAACACACACTGTATTACACACGAAATAAGAATGATTACTAATAAACTTAAACTAAGTAGTATACCAAACAAAAGAATAATAAACACAGGTAGGTATAAAATTATTTTCTATTACGGACCACAATTTTACCTGAATTTAAATTTCGAAACTTTAGGTAATAATCTTGTTGCTTTGTATGTTAATGACCACCCTTGAATAATCCCATTCAAAAGCAATTGGGCACTTTCTTATATCTGTGAACAGACCATACTCAGCCAAGCACATATATATTTGCGACGACAGTCGAAAGGTGGTCCAAGTTTTTATCTCTGTGAAGGTCGGCTGGTGATATCTAGTAATTCTATCAATAGTCTGGACCAAAGCTTTCGAGTGGAATAGCAGACGAATAATAACGACAGCACACGTAGTCGGTATTTAGAAGAGCAGAAAACTCCAATTATTCAGCTAATCAGCTGCGCGCCACTAAAGGGCAGCCGATTAAGTACTAGAAGGTTAAATCATTCAACTCGAGGAACTATCCAAACGCCACATGAAAGAGGTACTGTATGAAACTCGTTCGTCACGGCTCAAATGACGACAATAATTGGTGAGGGAAAGGAAGGAGAATGAAATGTTCGAAAGGTTATAAAAATTTTCTTTCCGGTAAATTTTAGTTTGCACATTGGCTGAAAAATTTAATACAAGAAACGTCACTATTAACGCCACGATAATCTTTTCAAAATCTTAAAAACAACAGAAACTGATTAACTAAAGGACATTCCTGGAAATATATAATTTACACAGAATGTTATTGAAATAACACATATTTCAACATGTGAATATGAATAGAGGTCTTTTTTTGTAACACGTGTCTATTAAATCATCAATCAAATTCAACCAAATCGTTAGCAATATGAGATTTGCTGATGATACTCTATCTGCAGCTAGTGAACTTAAAAGTCTACACGTCGCTGAAGCTCGTCTTATGCACTCTAACATAAAAAATAACATATCCAAAGGAAGAAGTTGAAATAGCACCAATCAAAATTGTGAAAATTAATAACAGTAATTGTCTTTAAGGAACTGGATGGTTACAATTTGCGTTTTAGTGGTGCTTTCTTATGAGACAGAAAGCTGAATAATGTTGGAGCAACCATTTTTTAGTACTGTCTATTTTAAATGTTTCTGCTGTAGATGGGCTGTTTTGATTCCGTTTGTGAAATGTCAATGGTGTATCCCTATTGATTGATAAAAATATTGCTTAACAAGAATGTTTTGTTTTGACCATCTTGCATTCAAGCATCAGTCATATTTTTGAATTACAGTTGTGAACTATTTTACATCAGATGATGAGACAGCGGGAGAAATAAAAAAGACCACAGGAAACGATAGATAGCAGGATGGGTCTTGGATTCCTTGGTTTAGGCAATCGTATGGTCAATCTACTCTGTAGCATTTCCGCAAAAGCGTAAACGATATAAAAATTGAAAATGTGGTAATTACGATGACAAATTAAAAAGCATAAATTAATTATCAAATTTTAGAATCTTGCAATTTGAGATTATGCCTTACCTCGGCGCCAGAACCTTCGTTACGTCCGCCGCTTCCTGGCCAAAAAGAAACTTGTTGGTCATGTCGGCCGCTCGGAGTAGCGCCCTCTTGACGATGGAAGCGTCCGCGATACCCCGGTTGACCTGCAGCAAACAATCGATGGCCTGTCGATGCTGACCGGCCAGAGCCCACTCATTCGCCCTGGACAACAGAGTCTCAATGTTCACGTCCGTGGTCTGATTGTGATGCGAAATGCTGTATTCTGATTGGAGGGACGGATAGAGGTGGGGCAGGTAGTCTTTGCACACCCGCATCGCGTCGATCCACATCTCCTCGCTTTTATACTTTTGGACGATCATCTCGGGCATCTGAGCCCTGAGAAGTAACCCTTCGAACTCGTTGAACTGTTTGTCTCTGAAACACTGAGCGGCCTGAGCTTGCAGGACCTCCGGTACCGCCTGTGGCTCGTGAGTTTCCGCCGTTCTGAGCGCCGCCATCCAGTTCTTCGCGTGGATGTACATCAGCACCGCCTCTTTCGGCTTCTCGGCCAGAACGAATTCTGATTCGGCCTCGGCGAATTTGCCGTCATCTTCCAAAGCCATGGCGTATTTGTAATGCACCTCGTTCGTCTTCGAAAAAAAAAAAAAGATTTCCGAAATTGTACCCCGCGTTCAATTTATCTTGAAAACATTTTAATTGGCTGTAACTTTTTTGTTTTTAGAGATATCAAGGTAAACAAAAAACAGAATGTAGGGTTAGTAGCCCAGTTTTTTGCCAAGTAAAGTATAAAACAAAACACTATCAATTTTTTGACATCATATTTTTTGAATGGAACACCTTGTGTGTGTGTGTTTGTGTGTTGTGTGTTGTGTGTTTAATAGAATATCTTATTCCGATAACAATGATGTAACGCACTTTATATTTTAGTCCAGTCGTTTTTGACAAATCGACAAATGTTTGTTTGACATATTAGTAAAAGACGTTGATGGTTGAATTATTTCCAAGTCATTATTGTTAGAATGGTGTTTCGTTGAACACAGATATTTCCAAGGCTGGCAAAGAAATTTGCAGAAAACGGCAATGTATTAAATGCTAAAAAGGTGTTCCGGAACCATAATGAAAATAAATAAATAAATGAATAAATGAAGAAAATAAGGCAAACATCTTAGGATTCTACTAAATACATCCAGTTTGCTCTATTACCAGAGTATATGAAGAAACAGGTAGTTCTCGGGACTCAATCCATTCAGCATTTAAATTTCATAGAACTCAAAAACTAAGTGCAGAACAATGTCAAAAGAGGATGCAGTTTTGTTTGGGTTTTTTAAATAGGCATAATGAGAATAACAGTTTTTTTAAAAACATTTTATGGACTGATGAAAGTTCGTTCACCACAAGAAGGGTTGTAATAGACAAAATACGTGATATTGGTCTTTAAATAATCCTAGACAAATACATGAAATAAAATCCCAGGGGTACCAATGAATTAATTTATGGTGTGGTGTCATGGGCATATATTGGGTCCTATATTCGTAGATCAAAAGTTAACTGGAGATCATTATTTGCAACTCTTAGAGCACCAAATAGAACAATACATAGAAGATTTACCCCTAAATATATCAATGCTGATTATGTGGCAGCAAGACCGTGGCCCTCCTCGCAATGTAGTGCAAATATGAAATATCCCAGTGATTGGATAGGGAACTATGAATTGACCAGGCAACAGCCCCGACTTAATTTTAATGGATTTGTTCTTTTGAGGACACATAAAAAATCACGTGCACAAGTGTAATAATGTCGTGGAATTTCGGCAAAGGATTTCAGACGCAATCAATCAGTTAAGAGACAATCCAGAAACATCATACAATTAGAGTGTATGAGAAATGTATTCAGAAAAATGGTGATCACATACAGCAGTATTTAGAATAGTTAAAGAATGTTTCACTTAAATGTGTTTCGTCATTTTTAGTGTTTTTGTACTACTTTAATTTGTAAATAATTATTGTTGTTGCCGATTTGTCTTGAAATCTCTAAAAACAAATAAGTTATGCACTTTTGTGTCTGTAATAAGATAGTAATTTCTGTAAGAAAGGCGTGGGCGGGGGCGATTTACCTTGTGGGGCAAATCTTTGCTCAGCTGGAATGCAAAATCGAACTGGTAAGTTTCACAGGCGTAATTGATGCAGGGCTCCAGGATTCCATACTTATTCAGCAATTTGATGGCCGAATCGTTCGGCAATGTGCGGGCCCACAAAAACGCTACCTGATTGGCCGCGGTCGGACCTCCGTTTTGTTTAGCCACCCGGTACGCTTCCTCCCACATACCTAGTGTTCTGCAAATCACGGCGCGTCTAACAACTTCTTGTTTATTTCCTTAGAGTTTTAAGCCAGATTTTGCTATAGAATTCAAGGTAATGATCTTTTGCTTATAAAGACTACATAAAAATCATAAGTCGTAAGTCACCCTAACTTTTAAGTCCACCACCACATGCACAGGTTTCTGTCTTACCGACTTTATTTGATTTTGTGTTTTCGGCCAAATTATTTGTGTTCAATTTTTTTATTAAATAAACAAAAGACTATTGCTGATCTCGTTCTATCGCCAAAGTAGTAGGGGAATTTCTAGGGTAAAACAAATGATTAAAACATAATTTATAAATCATAATTAGTTTGTTTAATGAACAGAAGACATCTCAGAAATAATATGGACTCTGTCCGCGAAATTTATAATAAATAAATAAATAAATAAATGAACAAATAATAAAAGAAAATGATTTTTGGGGTTCGCTCTTTTTTTACAATACTGACGTTATTTTTTAGTTTTCTATTTTCTCTAGTTGAATGTTTTTTTTGCAAAAACTAGTATAATTTGAACTAATATCCTTTTTATTGACTAATATTAGCATTTTACTTGACTAATAGCATCATTATTTTTTCGGAAAACGGACTTTACGTTTCTATAATTTTCATATGAATAACGGTAATTTTTTTCTTCTTTTGCTCTATTTTACTTTTATCCATTGTAAGAGGGTTTGAATTTTATTGGGAGTAGACCAACCGCACCAATCAACTTTTCCGACGTCAGTTTAATTTATTCCGATTCAGTACCACACACACGCACGCTTGTTGTACGACCAAAAATATAGTTCATAGTGCGCTGATTCTCGAGCGTTGACCCTGCGAGGCCATTTTCAGCGGATAGTTCAAAGGGTAAGGGTCCTCCGTTTATCTTAAAGGTAAGTTTGAAAATAATCATTTTTGTCTTGCGTGCCTGTCGGTTAACAACATTCTTCTTCTTGTATTTTTGTGTATTCTACGTAGTTCTTCGATTTGTAAACAACAACAGTCTTTTTTAAGACTATAGATTATATTTGCTGTAGATAAAGGTACGCCATTTTTTGAAGGTTCCTGTTATTTAACACTTTAAATTGTGGTGATCATGGAATGAAGCAGATGTTAGAAGAAGGCATGGAAAACAGCGAAGAATTTGAAGACGAAGTGGAGATGGCAGTCGAACCTAATGACAATTTAGAAGACGAACTACTTCGGCAAATAAAAAAAAGGATCCATTTGTTTTCGGATTCTAAGCAAATTGTTTTAAATGTTTACAATTTTATAAGAAAGTCAGAAGGCGAAGTAGGAGCAGCAATAAAAATAAGTGACATAGAACGCAATGAATTGTTACTTTGTACTAATTTTTTTATGTGCATTGGTCGGGGAAAAAGATTGAAAACCTACTTATATCCGGCTGGTTAGTGTAGGTAGATAAATAGATAGGGTGTTCTATAAGGGGCTGCTAGTAATAAACAATAGCCAAAGTTAATCACGGGGTCGGTTATAAAAGCACTTTAATTCTGGTCCAAGGTATACCTGTACATATTCATCGCGGCTTTCCACTCGCCGCAGGCCAGATAATGAATTTCGGCGGCCCGGTGTTTCCCTTGGCCCTCGAGCTGTTGTCCCAAATGTAGATGGGTGGTTTGCAGCAAATTCGGATGGTAATTCTCGACCAAACGGATCATGTTATCGTACTGCTCCGCCCTCTTGTACATTGCAATGGCCAGGTCGGGCGAGTTGACAGATAGGTACAACTTTTCCGCGTCCCTGTATTTTCCCGCCTCTTCCAGCTGCTCGGCCCGGGCTATATACATGTCCGACACCTCTCCCTGGTCCAGATACTTTGACGCTATCGCGTACGCTTTGTCCCACTGGCCCGCCTCGTTATACACGTTAACCGCCTCTTTGTACATGCCGCACGCGAGATAAAGCTTCTCCGCGGTCGCGTAATCCTGAAAATTAATAATAATATAATATTCTTTATTTACATATCCATAAACAATAGGAAATAAAACAGTATAAGATAGGAGGGTGGCGAGATCTAGCAAAGCTACTCACCTAACCACCCTAACTCAAGATATTTTATGAATTAATTTACAACATTAACTTCTGTGTGTCACTGTGAAAGAGAGGTTACAAAAATACATTTATACACATTTTAACCAAAAAAAAAACCAAATACACTTCAATGGAACGGAACTACAGAAATAAGCAAAATAAAAAAAATGTTAATTGGACAATAGATGAGTTTTAAGACGCTTTCTAAAGTCTGAAGCGGTTGAAACATGAATGGAGTTGAAACATTTAGTGACGTTATAGCTGAAGTAACAGTGATAGAGGGCAGTACGGTACCGCGGGACAGAGTACAGAGAATTATGTCGAGTGCAGCGCCAAAAAGATACTTTGGCTGTTCGGACTGCGTAATTTTAAAGAATAATGTACATAAGTGGAGAAAGAATCTATGGTCTAAAACCTCAGACAACTGTTTTGCAGCCTACGTAGTCTTCTCTGATATTTGTTAAAGAGGACAGGCCAGTATATTACCTTGCGCTAAAATAAAAGAGAAAGAATAAGCGAGTTGCATAACCTTAGATTGATGTCTGTGTTTAAAATGTCTTTAAATATATAGAGAATTCTTAGTCTCCCATAACTTCTCTGAAGTAGGTAAGACACGTGCGACTCGAAACGAAGATTGCTGCTAAACAACACACCCCACCTTAAAACCAATATTCTTGAACGAGCTAGCGTTTTTTCCAAAAAATAATACCTGAGCTTTCGTTTAATTTATGAGAAGAGCATAGACACAAGAAATTTTTGAAAGAACTCGCAAATCAGAATTGATTTGGCTGTGGCCAGCAGTGAGTTTTCAAACTTAAACGATAAATATAATTGCATATCATCAGCATACTGATGTGACTTCAGATATTTGAATGGTCAGCAAAATCCTTGGTGCAGTCAGAAAACAATAAGGGCTTCAATATACTCCCCTGCGGAACCCACCGTGTAATATTAGAAAATGGTGAAAATGAGTTGCATAAGGATACTCTCTGACTTTGTTCACTTAAATAGATTTGGATGAGATAAATGGAAAACTTGCTAAGATCTAAGATCACAGTGGCGCGTTCCAGAAGTAGGGAAGTGATGCAGCTATTGACCTAGCAAATGGGGAATTATATAATTTACCATTTTAATATTAATCCCATCATTACCTCGCGTACAAAGGTCAAACCCCCTCGGGTAATAATGAAACCTTGAAGTAGCATACGTTTGCAAGTGTATATTATTGCTTTTATCAATGTCCACTTTTGGAACACTTTCATTAAAGTAATTATTAAAATCGTTAGCATTACCCAATTTTTCAGGTTGACCGTTAGGAGAACCGTTGATCTAAATATTTAAAATATAAATAATCGTCTCATAAATTTAACGTTGTCATGATCCACGCAGCCGGATATTGTGACATACGTGCAGTTCTGACAGGTGACAGGAATGGACTAGTAACTTTTTTACTAAACAAATCAACCATTTCATCAATATCATCTGATGCGTAAATTTCATCAAAACCGTAATTAGATAGATCATTTAAAAATAAATCATAATTGAAACGTTTATAATCGCGTTTTGTATTTAAATTAATTTATATTTACGGCAGTTTACTGAACATGTTACTAGTTTGTGGTCGAATATTTCACCCATTCGAATAACTTCTGCGTTATCCGCGAAATCAAGAGAAGACGTCACAAGAATGTCAAGAAGGGTGCTAGTGTTTTCAGTGACACGCGTAGGTTCAGTGACAATTTGATGAAGCCCATATTTGTTCGAAAAACCAAAGAAGACACGTTTTCCATTATTATCGGAATTAAAATCAATGTTGAAGTCACGACCAAAGACTACGATAACCAAAGACTACGATATCGTGGCAAGGAATATATACAGACAAAACAGTCTCTAGACCTTCAATACATGTATTAATCCATCCATAGCTGTTCCAATTTCCAAACCACTTGTACAGGATGGAAAAACTTTGTATTTCCATCGATATAAATCGCGACGCCCTACCCCTCACCCCCCTTTCATCTCGATCCCTACGTACCAGCTCATAGGAATAGATAGTGCTTTGCTTGATATACTGTCATTTAACCTCGTTTTGGAGAGCCCAGGGATATCGATCTGCTCCGCCGCCACAGACTGCACGAAATTCGCATAGATTCGTAATAGGCAAGATAAAAAAACGACACTCTGAGCGCCGCTCAGAGAGTGGCTCTCGTATAACTATTCCTTAGCGTCCGAAAGCTAAAGTTGCTAATTTCAACTCACCTTCACACCGACGAAATAACCTGCGATTACTTGACCATATTTGCCGACGGTATCGGGATCTTCCACCACTTTGATAATATGCACGGCCTTTTTGGCGGCGTCCAACGCTTTCAAGGTGGCGCCCGCTTCAATGTAATGGTTAATTGCGGCGTCCATCTGTTTGCTGTAAGTCAAAAATATCCAAAACGACTGTAGCAACGTAGAGACGTGACTCACTTCTCCACGAGAGTATCGCCCCATTCCTCCTCGAGGCGTACCACCTGGTCAGGACTCACTTGGCGAGCAAGCTGGACCGCTTTGTTCCAGACCCGCCCCTTCCTATAACATTCCAAGGCCAGGTCCGGCTTGTCGACTTTCTCGTAGATGTCGCCAGCAGACTCGTACAGTTCCTTCTGCAGCAGGCTTTTCAGTACCGACGCGACGAGGGCGTGGTCTTTTAAGAGGACCGGGTGCTGACCCAACAGCGCCGGTATTTTCGCCAGTTTGTTGGACTTCATATACATGTTGAGTGCTTCCTCGAATTTGCCTTCCTTCTCCATTAACTGTCCCACCTTGAAATACTGCCCGGAACTGAGGAGTAACGACTTGTATTCGTCTTTCAAGTGGCGTAGTTTTTCGTAACCTCTGTGTTCGGCAAGTCTGCATAACACATAGTCATATACGATATCATAAATAAGTGAGCAATCGGTGATAAAGTTTGGCAATAGTTTAATTATTTAATTAATACTAATAGCGGTCATCAAAATAATAAAGGTATAATTATTAAGTGTGAAAAATTGGCCTACTGTCTCTTATCTCGGATAACTATTTGTTTGTTATTCAGATGTTTGTAATATCAGATGTCAGTAAAATAACATAATTCTTGGCGACTTTAATGTGCCCCGCTTCATTTTAAATCATTCAAACATCTAATGACCTCCGATTCACTTCGACCAGTTCTTAAGCAATATAACAATGTGTGCATTAACATGAATCATTTGCTGGATCTAGTATTTTCGAGCATTCCTTGTTCTGTTGAAAGGGACGACTGCTCTATTGTTACGCCTGTATAACTTCACCAGCCACTTAGCTTAGCTTAGCGTAGATATAAACATAAATATTCAAGAATTTAACTTTGGAAAGGAAAACTTTCCTATAATGTATGTTTTGCTGTCGAGACTGGATTGGTCACCTGTTGGTGATGTTTCTGAAATGGATAAGTCCTTGAATTGTTTTTATGATACTTTTAATAACCTAAAAAGAGAAACTTTTTCGTGCTTATAAAAATAAAGGCAGCCCTTTGTTGCTATCTAGATTTAAAACACTTAGGCGTCGAATCAAAACAGTGAAAGCATATGGGAAGTACTTAAGTAATATTGATCATCTCTTAAAATTTTGTAATAAATCGAAGAGAAATTGCTGCCGAATCCCAGGATTGATGTCTTATGGCGGTAAAACTTTTAAGGAGTCCCAAACCGGTCTATATTCTCTGTGATAAGAATTATACAGGCTTGATGTCTCTTTCAGGGCACGATCACATTGCTATTGTTTAGAGTTACCGAAAGGCAGGTTATTAAAGCCAGTAAAAAACTGAAAGATAAATCAACAGTACTGATGGCATGTGAATTAATTTATGATTTAGGTCAGATCAGGGTATATATATATATATATATATATATATATATATATATATATATATATATATATATATATATATATATATATATATATATATATATATATATATATATATATATATATATATATATATATATATATATATATATATATATATATATATATATATATATATATATATATATATATATATATATATATATATATATATATATATATATATATATATATATATATATATATATATATATTCAAAAAGCATTTAATCAAATATATGGTTGTCGTTACAAAACCTATTAGATCGTAGACATCTTATTCAAAACGAGGGGTTTAGCTCCCTAGTATTTCATCCCACGTCGGGAGGTCCACAAGGGTCAAATTTAGGACCTATTCTTTATTGACGATCTAATTGTTAAGTTGAATTGTAATAAATTAGTACATGCTGATGATTTAAAAATCTAGCCCACGATTAATTCTAACGAAGATTGCTTGTTGCTTCAGAATAACATTAATCAGAATGGTTTCTGGTTAACCGATTAGGTTTAAATGATTCTAAGTGTAATGTGCTTACTTACTCTAGAAAGCTGAACATAAATTCATTTAGTAACGTAATAAATTGGACTGCATTGAATCGATTAAGTGAAGCTAAAGACTTGCGGATTATCTTCGATTCCACATTTAGTTTTAGACCTCTTATTGAGCATTTCGTATAAGAAGATGCCGACACTTCAAAAATACTTCAACTATTCGAACTCTCTACTATTCTTACGTGAGATCTAAATTAGAATATGGGTCATTGGTGTGGCGTCGAATATATCAATGTGATATTGATGGCTTGGAGAGTTGATCCAGAGACATTTCCTTAAACACTCTTTCCTTATATCCCCACAGGGGATTTGAACATCAAGTACTATTACGCATTAATTCTTTAAAAATGCTGTATGGACTCTTGCATGCTACGATGAACTCTGAGCAGCTTTTAAGCAAAGTCAAATTTTACATCCCCAGAACTGAAACCAGATTTAGGCCTACATGTGATCTCTCTACACCTAGGACAAATGTTTCATATCAGTACATGTGGGAGTAATCGTACTGCACTGCATCTTGTACTGTATTTTCATTATTTTTCTCTTATTTATATATTAATATAATTGAAATTGAAATAAATTTGCTTATTCTAAACAAAATTTGCAGTACTGAGTGCTAAGACTTTAATTTTATGAAGTTTGGAAGTCGTGTGAAAAGTAATCATATAGTGAAAAAGTTGACAAATGGTGAATCTACAGGAAGCAACCTGCATTTTAGTTTATCACTTCTTTAAAGTAAGTAAGTAAAGTAAGATATAGTTAATACGAAACAAGAATAGGTATATTCAGGGTTGTGGCAAAGTACTCTCCCATGCAGTGTTGAAAAAACATCTTATATATTTTTCATATCATGGTTACTCCAATAAATGTTTATGTGACTCCGTAAAAGGAGCCTTGACGAAAGTGATTATAGGAATTATAACTCAACAATATAAAGTAGTTAGATACAAAATGTACAATTTAAAATATCAAAGAAGAGTTACCACATCCAAAGAGCCGCTCAGATGTAAACTGGAAGTGGACGGGCAAGTAATTCAACAAGAAATGGAGTTTGAATATCTGGGTATTGACATTACCTGTTATGGAAATGTGGAGGACGAAGTGAGGCAACAGGTAGCAAAAGCCAATAAAGTGGCAGGCTGCTAAACGATGTAATTTGCCGAAACAAACATCTGAAAAAACATACAAAAGTACGAGTCTACATAACAACGATCAGACCGATCATGACCTATACGGCAGATACCGCAAAAACTAGACGACTCCTGGAGACTACGGAAATGAAGATTCTCCGCCGCATCTCAGGAAAAACACTGCTAGACAGAGAAAGGAACGAAAACATCAGGCAATCGTGCGGAGTGGACAACGTGAACGACTGGGTGCTCCAAAGAAAAAGACAGTGGAATGACCATATTAACCGTATGCAAGATGGCAGATTAGTAAAAATCGTTAGAGACAAATCACCAGACGGAAGACGGAGCGTGGGACGACCGAGAATAAAATGGAAAGACGATCTCAATCCAGGTTGAGAGGCGACCGATGAAGGAACAGGCCATAGGCCTACTATAGAAGAAAGAAGAAGAAGAAAGAAAAGTTATTTTAAAATTCGTCAGGTTGGCAAAAGTTTTGAAAAACGCTTGTGTGAGATAATTATTTAGGCTCTTTACCTAACTTTTGGTAATACATTTGACTGTCTTAAGTTCTATTCTTGATATTATAAAGATATAGAAGACCATAGAATGTTTTGTGAAATATTTTCTATTTTATTCCCACCAAGTTGGCAATACGGCTTTAAAATTCCAATTCCATGTTCCAATAAATATTTCCTAGAGGAGTCATAATATCCAATTGAAATGATTTTTAAAACTCTTTCGATTTTTATTAAAACAGTATTTTGAATTGAGGAGGGCGTTTTATGATAAATTTGTAACATCGGTCAACAAGGGCTTCGTTTTTGAGATAAGAATTAGTTTTTATTAACTTGTAAGTAATGCCCCCTATAACAAAATACCAAAAATATCGAAATTTTTTCAAAACAATTACATATTTTAATTTAATGTTAATTAAAATATTTAGTTTAATTAATTAATGTTTAACTAGCTTTTAGTTAATACCTGAGCAAGTCGTCCCACTTATGTAGCTTTTTGTACATATCGAGGGCACTTTCGATGTCGCCCTGTTCCAAATAGATACTCTCGGCAGTGTTTAAATCACCTTGCGAAATGGCGAGCCGTGCCCATACTTCGGGAGAATTTTCCGCGTCTTTTTTGTGCTGCCGCGCAAATTCCTCTCCCACTTTAAGCGTTTCCCTCATGAAATGCGACGCCGCCACATCTCCGAGGGCGGAATAACATCTAGCCGCAAGGGTCAGATCGTTTTGTTTTCTGGCGATGGACAACAACGTCTGCCACATCGCTTCCGCCTCGAAGGTTTTTCCCATGCTCTCCAGAAACAGCACGGCCCTGCCGTAGTCGTTGTCGTTCAAGGCCGTGCCTAAATTTTTCGAAAATTTAAAGAAGATTAATTATTTTTGCGTACGTTATTCAAGTAGGTAGTAATTCGTTTAACAAGAAGCAGGACTGATGGCTTCACTTCCAAGAAGGCCCATTTGCCGTTGGCGTTACCATAACGTGTCAAAAATCAGATTAAGGAGGACACCCAATAAGTTTTCTAATTTTGACTATGACTTCGACAATTTTTGCAGATATGGGATTTTTAGTCACTGCTGCAAAGAATCATTCTTGATATGCGTCCCACTTCTCGTTATATAGGGTGCGAGAATAAAGTAGCAAAAAAAAATTATTAGCCAAGAATTTGGAAAAGTAAAGTTCTTTATGATGTTGGATGACTTACTAAGTCAACTCCTCTGAAAGTTGTTGTCATTTTTTTCATACGCTGCGTTGCGTTTTATGTCAGTTTATTTTAATTTTCAAATATACCATACCATCAAGTAATAACCTCTAAATAAATTTTCAAAGAAACTTCCACAATACTATTTACAAATCGTTTGAATTCCTAATGCGTCGATTGCTGACGTTTCGCCAATCATCCTGTTGGCTTCTTCAGAGCTTGACTGAAACTACCTCGCATTTCACTCTGTACCGGCTTATATATTGTTTGAGAGGGGTGGAAATAAACGAAGGCCATGAACATTGTCTCGGTGAAAGGTAAAGACGAAGACAAAGACAATGAATCCGAAAGTAACCAACATCTTCGATCCGTTAAAGACAAAATTCCGTTTGAGATACCAGGAGTTTACAGCACTCCATGCATATGCGGCAAAGAATACATTGGACAAGAACATGAAAGAGTCTTAAGAGTACCACAAATAAACTCATCAGCAGTTGCCGAACACAATTACGAAATCGTACATTATTTAACACTAAAATCCTTGCATGTAATCAACTCTTCTTCAACATCTTAGCCGCAACTCTGGTTTTTAACTTTCAAACAAACAATATATAAACAGGTACAGGCATAATTCTGAAGCAGCCAAAGGGATAATTTGCGAAATATTAGCAAGTTTAAGCAAGCAAAGAATAACTTCTTGGTGCTGTATTCGCGGCCAATAAATAAATTATAGATTTATTTCAGGGTCGTAACAGACGAAATACGTAATATTCAGAAAATTCAAAAACCCAAAGAAAGAATAAAATGAAAATTGAACAGTAACGTTCAATGAAAATGATCAGCTACTAACCTTACTAAAACTTACCAGGGAGTGCAAAAACGAATTTATGATATTATGAAAATTCAATTCAATTCAAAAGCATTCAGTCAAAAGAGCACAGTTTCTATAATTAGTTTACATTTTATTTGGTATTCATGCCTACATTCTAAGATCTTAATTTATTAGTAAGGCCTTGGCCCTCCTCTAACTTGAATAACTCCCTCATTTCATAAACTTGTATGGTGTACCATCTGCCGTTCAATTCCATGTTTAAAAAAAAATACCTGCGGATATACGCGATGTTTCCAAAAACGTTCTCCTAATTTTTAGGCAAAATTAAATATTAAAAAATAACGTTTTTAACAAAAAATCGTTTTCTGATTGGGTCGTAAAAGTTACTGCTGGCAAAATTTAAGTAGGAAATGTTTCCGAAACATTTATCCCCATTGGGAAATAACCTAAAATAATTTATTAACTCGGTCAGCATTAAGTGTTAAAACCTCACCTAACCTCCAATAACTCCAAAGCCTGACTCCAAAAGGGGACCGAGTATCTTTTTTCTGACTGCATCTATTTATCCTAGAAATTAGCAAAGCGAAACCCTCAGTAAAACAAACTTTGTTAAACATGCTATCAAATATCAGTTTGTAGTATAGAAATTAATTTATATATTTTTCAAGTTAAATGAGAATAATATATTGAAACATTATAAATTTTTCTCTGTATATCCTGCAGCCCCGCTACCCAGTCGCCCACGAACAACCTCGAACGTCGATTAGCAAAAGTAAAGGCCCAATTCTGCGTTGGCATCACGGATGCGCTAGCGGTATAACGCATTTAAATGCGAGTTAAAAAAAAACTGGGATTCGGATATTTACTACTGGCGAGTGTCCCTTCTTGCTAAAGCGCGGGGTATTTTACAATTCAATATCGAAAAATCGTATTTTACCGAACTCAACGAGTCCTTCGTCCAGTTCCACGTTGAATATGTTGTTGCCGTTGACGCAGACGGCTTCGGTTTTGCCGTTAGTTCTGACCACGTCCGTCACTTCGCCTCTGACGGTCATTATAGTCGGGTTCTCCGGCAACTCAATGTTATACCTATTAAGTATGCGATACATTTATATTTTATCTTGCGTTCTATTTATCTTGATAGCATTTTAATTGGCTCTAATTTATTTGTTTTTAGAGATATCGAGGTAAACAAAATAACAAAATGTAGGGTTAGTAGTCAAGTTTTTTCCAAGTGACGTATAAAATAAATCCTGACAGGTAAGCCTACATCATATTTTTTTAATTGAATACCCTGTATATTATGCATATATTTAATAGAATATCTTATTGCCATTACAATGATGTAACACAATTTACTTTTTAGTCCACTCGTTTTTGACTAATCGACAAAAATAGGAAATTTTTATACAATTTCAAAGAGTGCCCTGACTGACAAATAAAAATATGTTTATGTTTGACATATTAGTAAACCACGTTGATGGTCGAATTATTGTTAAAATGAGCGTGATATGTTTCACGTATACTTTCTAAATAATAAAAGTGCAACCGCAACTCGTCGTCAGTATATTAGATTTTATCCAGAGCGCCGAGCTTCTTCAAAACAGATATTTCCAAGACTGGCAAAGAAATTTGCAAAAAACGGTAACGTATTAAATGCTAAAATGGCATACCGGAATCATAATGTTTTGCATGAAAAAATAAGGCAAAGTATTAGGATTCTACGAAGCAAATCCGTTTCCTATCCGTATATGAAGAGATAGGTATTTTTGAAAGACTATAAATATCAATTTCATTTAAATTTCTTAAAGCTCAATAACTAAGTATAGAACAGTGTCAAAACAGGGTGCAGTTTTGTTTGCATTTTTTAAATAGACACAATGAGAATAATAATTTTTTGAAAAACATTTTATGGACAGTTGAAAGTTCGTTCACTACAAGAAAGGGTCGTAACAGACGAAATACGTGATATTGGTCTTTAAATAATCCTAGACAAATACACGAAATAAAAACCCAGGGGTGTGGTGTCGTACATGGGCAAATCTTGGGTCCGATATTTATAGATAAAAAGTTACCTGGAGATCATTATTTGTAACTCTTAGAGCACCAAATAGAACAATATATAGAAGATTTAGCCCTAAATATATCAGCGCTGATTATATGGCTGCAAGACGGTGCCCTTCGTCACAATGTTGGGCAAGTTAAAAATTTCTTAACATGCAATATCCCAGGGGTTGGACAGGGAACGGCGACCAAGAGCCCCGACTTAACTTTAATGGATTTTTTCTTTTAGAGACACATAAAACATCACGTGCACAGAACTCTTCGTAATAATGTAGTGGAACTTCGGCAAAGGATTTCAGTTTCAGAGACAATTCGGAAACGTTACTAAATGCAAGACATCATACAATTAGAGTGTATGAGAAATGTGTTCAGGAAAATGGTGATCACATGCAGCAGTATTTAGAATAGTTAAAGAATTTTTTACTTTAGTGTCTCTTGTCATTTTTCTTTTACTTCAATTTGAAAATAATCATTGTTGTTGCAGTCAGTCAGGACACAAATTATTTAAAAATTTATATAAATTATATCTTTGCTGATTTGTCAAAAATGAGAGGACTAAAATATAAAATGTTTTACGTCATTGTAATCGGAATAAGATATTCTATTGTTTTGTATTTACCTTGATATCTCTAAAAACAAAAAAGTTACGGCCAATTAAAATGTTATCAATATTGAAATTTGAAAACCTAAAATGTGTGGCAATACTGTGCATGGAGCCTCAAGGACAGTGTATGTTCTGTGACTAGAAAAGAAAAGTGAGCGGCACCATGAAAATGTAAGATGTGTAACAAGTTCTGTATTTTCTTTTTGTGTATGTGTACTGATATATATTAATGTTAAGAAAACAGTTTTTCGGTTCCGATCCCAATATATAATATTACCAAATAGCCAAAGTGGTGCCGGATTGAGCTACTGCAACGTCGCTGCCTTCGATCCACTGGACGAAACCGACGTCGGTGAATATCGTCTGCTTAAACTGCGTGTAGACGTCGACCAAGAGTAATCGCTGCTTCTTATCCCGAAACAGCATTTTCTCGCCAGTCTCGTTCAATTCTAACCAGTCGATTTTCGAATCGTGACTTATCTGGCACACGACCATTCCCGACACCAGGTCCACGACGCAAACGGTTTTCAAGTCCAACAAGTACGCGAGCTTTTTATTATCCAAGGCTTGGTTCCTCTCGTTCAGACGGACGCTCACCAAGTGAGGATTTGCAAAGTCCGTCCTTACGGAACACAAGACGCTATTTACCCCGTATTCGATCAAGGTCAACTCCCCTGCGTTGAAAACGAGACATACGTTCGTGTTTTCGAAATAAAATTTCTCTTTTCGTTCCGGGTTATTCCAGGGGACCTGCAAAAATTCGACATGAAGTAACCAACCGCATATATCCGTGGTTAATAGTCCACGTTACACCGGAATAAGATCCAAAGGGGCCAAACGACTTATTCGCAACTTTTAGAAGACAAGCTAAGTGCATATTTTGATACTGAAACCAAAAATTGTTTGCTAGCTTGAGCTCTGGCCGCAAAATGAATGAAGAGCGCTTGGACCATTTTCGACACATATGTTTTAATTACTTAATGGGCAAGTTGGTGTCATTTTTGAAGTGCTTCTTATGTTTGGTCCACACTCATGAGAATTCAACAACTATATTTGTTAAGATTTCTTCAGTCGAAATTAAAACCTAAGATGCAAGTCATAGTAGTAGCCTTTTGAAACAGATGTAAATAGTAAACAATACCCTTTCGATGGACCTGCAACTTATATTAAAAAAATAAAGTGATGCTTCCCGCACGATAGATCCGTGTATAATTAGATATTTTACACAAGGGAGTAGAAAAAATTATTTTGACATTTTCTAAACGTCATCATGTCAACGCCTACTACACCAAATTTCGAATTTGGACAAGAAATTTGGTTGTTCGCTGTTGCCATTCGCGAAGTAGAATTTTCAGCAATAAAAAATTAACGCGAATTTACCCGACTAGTGCAAAGTTACTGGAAGACTGGGGACTGACGTCATCATACCTTGAGGTCGAAACTTCGGGGCTAAGCGCAGCGATTAGAATAAAGATAAAAAAGATGGAAACACAATTTTATTTGGTATATTCATATAATTAAAAAATGAAAATGCCTTTTAAGATAACATACTTAACATTTACATTAAAATGTTTCAATTATTATCTCATATATTACTTTGTTATTGTTTCTAAATATATAATAAATATAAATATATAGTGGGAATTAATCAGCATGTCACGTATGACCCAAGGTTTTTTTGGAAACATGTAAATAGTTTGCGAAGGTCACCTGCATGTCCCAGTAATATGAATTTGGGGGACGAGGTTGCCGACTGTGGTGAGGGCATTTATTGTTGGCTTGTTTGCAAATCATTTTGCTTCTACTTATGAAAAGCGTGAGAGTGTGATTCCTAAAGTTTTGACTATAGTTTAGACTTTAACTCCATGAGTGTTTCACTTACTGATGTGTTTGAGAGTATTATGAACATACAGACTGGATTTTCGTATGGCCCGGACGGAATTCCATCAGTCTTGATTAAGAATTGTGTGTGTACTTTGAGTAGGCCACTACAGCATATTTTTAACCTGTCCTTGTCTTCAGGTATTTTTACTGACTTTTGGAAGGTTAGTATTTGGTACCAGTTCCTAAACTGCTTGATAGATTATTTTGTGAGAGACTTTAGTGCCATTGCAGGGAAATTCTGGCCGATTAACGGCATGGATTTGTACAATAACAAATTTACTCACCTGCCAACAATTTTTATTGAACACTTTTGAGGAGTTTCGTCAGGTAGATTGTGTCTACACGGATTTCTCGAAGGCGTTTGACCGGGTGGGTCATGTGCATCTTGTCTCTAAGCTTAGAGCTATGAGCCTGGGGTTTGGCTGGTGCAATGGATTAATTGTTTTCTGTCTGGTCGTACTCAGTTGGTTCGTATTAATAATTATGTCTTAGGTAAAATTGATATTTTTTCAATTCTAAACTAAATTTTGTGACACATTTTGCGGAAGGTCTATGTGAGTACTTGGATTTGTTGTACACAATAGTGGTCAACTTACTCCACATTGTCTGAAACTCCTTTATATCTCTTTGGTTTGCTCTAGACTGGTATGGTATGGTCTCCATATTATGACTGCCATGTAGATAACAGCGAAACCGTTCAGAAAGTATTGGTAAGATCTTTGGCTTCAAAGGCGCATATCAATATCTATAATGGGTAGCAGATCAACTACAGTATTATAGCTAAGGCCTTCAATATTGATACTCTTCAAACCAGAAGATCTCAGAGTGATTTACTTTTTCGCTTTAAGATTCAGTTTGGTTGGTATTATTGTCCAACTCTTTTACATAGCATACAATTTAATATTACAGAGGCTGTGATAATTCAATGTTCCGCATACCTTACCATCGCGCAAATTATGGAGTTTATTCACCCCTTACTAGAATGCTGAAAGTGTGCAACTGTTTAAAGCTTGATCCTTTTGTCAGCAGCCTCCGCTCATTTCGTTCCGATGTGTTCCGTTTGAGTGCTGCCACTTAATTCTATTTATTTCTGGTTTCTAGTTGTTATACTGCTTTCTCCCTTTGCCTTTAATGAATGTAAACGTTTTGTAAATTGGTTAAACCGTAAAATAAATAAAAATAAATAAATAATAAAACGGCGTACCCAACTCAAAACATGTAAAAGTAAGACATTGTCCACATAGTAGCTATGCTCCGTAGTATCGACTAATATCGGATTAGATTCAGTCAGCCCACTGCAATTGAAAAGGTTATTCGCGGTGTCTCAAAATTACATATATCGAAACGTTGGCAAGTCTGGTTTGCAATTAACGAGTTTCGAACTTAAATTATGAATAAAATATTTCATTTAAAATTCGAAAGATTTAAGGCCGCAAATGAATGTAGTATTCGTAATCTTTTGATTTCTAATTTTTAGTTTATAGGAGACATCATGGTGTATCAACAGCTAGCTAATAAATTACTGACCTCGCTTAACAAATTTTTCTGCAAATCGGCCACTATGAGCGTTTCCGGCGTCTTGGCCACCATGTAAGAATCCCTGCCTAAAATTTTAACGTCCTCGATCTCACCGCCATGTTGGGATTTGACGATCACCCCCGCATCGGGGGTATCGAGGGGTTTGACCAGCACTTGACTCGGCCCGACATAGGTGATTTCGAACTTGTTCCTCCACACCGTTCTTTTTAAAACTGACGCAAATATATTTAGAAAAACCGCTACTCAAGAACAAGCATATTCATACCTGATTCAAACGTCAGTACGGCTCCACAAAAACCTCCGCAGGTGACCTTGGAACCGTCCCGCTTCCACGCTAACGCGGTCACCGTGTACAGATTTTTTATTATTTTCGGAGGGGTTTCTTCCCATATCAATTTTCTCGTATTCCAACTGTAGGTACGTATCCTGTCGAAACTGCCCAGCGCCACTGACTGCGGAAAATAAGCAAAGTCCGGTCTAAATAAATTGGTTGATTTTTGTTTCCTTTTTGAAACATTTCCTTTTAAACATTTGTCACAAATAATATTCTGTCAGTGTAAGGTGACCATGAAGGCGTTTGAAGAAAACAAGTGCTAAAATGCTGCCACTATGATTTACCATTTCATAGTTGACCCTAATCTTGCCGATGCGCTTATGAAGATCCAAAGATGCATTATTTATACGTGCATTATGCATTATTTATACAGAATAAGACCAAAGATACGCGATAACGTAGGTTAATATTCCATTAACGAACGATCAATAAAAATTTACAGCTTATATAGTATAATATTTATTGTAATAGTTGTTCAATATGTCCTCCACTTTGAGAACTACAAGTGGTATGAAATATTTCTAAATACATAATGGCAGCTCTAACAGATCCAGCCTTATTTAAATATCGGATACCTTCTCTTATCCGACGGTAAAGTTCCTGAACAGTTCACGGTTTGTGTTTGTAAACTAAATCATTAAGTGTACCCTATAGAAAAAAATCTAGGGGAGTTAAGTGCATTTAAATAGGTGCTAATTTCTTGACTTCTATGATAAGGAGCGTCATCCTGTTGCCAAATTAAATTTCGTCGTTCCCTTTCAACAAGGGGATAATATTTAAATTCTCATAAAATTTTAGTTCAGGTTGTAAATGTGTACTCATTTTTTCCAAATAATATTAGCAAATATATTTTCTGAAAAATGACTCTCCATAAGATTGTTGCAAAAATCTAACTTGATGTTGTAATCTCGTTGCTGTAATTTCTGCACTGGACAGAATTTAGAAGACTTCCAGTTGTTTATTTGAAGGCACGTTCGAAGCGTTGTTCTTTTGGGGTCGGATCTTCAGGGGTCTCTGCAAAATACAACAAAATATTAAGTTGCTCTTCAACATTCAAAATATGACGACGGCTATTGTTTTCTTTCTTCAATGTTCCAGATGTTCTAAACTGTTCGTAAATCCTGTCGAAGATCTTTTTTTCTAGACGCCTCCATAATGGAAATTTTGTTATATCATCTCTAAGAACTTGTTCGATATGTAACTTTCTAACATATCAATCTTGTCCTCTGTGGTAAACATGATACGCAAGCAAACGAATAAATTAAATTTATAAACGATAAATAAATAAATCAATAATGTGCCAAAAAATATTTGAATTATGATTGTAATCAACAATAAAACACGCGTCCAAGGAGGCAACGTTGTAGCACTTGTTTTGTTCAAACGCCTTCATGGCCACCTTACACTAACTGAACTCATATGGCAACAGCATATTATTTGTGATAGACAAATGTAAAAAGTAAAAATATTAGGCATATACAACCTTATATAAAATTGCCTTAATTTTTAATGCCAAATATGACAATATTATAAAAATTAATTTCATTTTTAATCTTAGTGTTCGCGCACCCTGTATTAATATGTATAGAAATTTCTTATGAAACGTCATTTTTCGCATAAAAAATGTCAAAAACGGTTACACTTAGGTATACGACAAAAATGAAATAATATACCAGGAGTTCCATTTAAAATAAGAAAGTTGATATTCGCCCACGAAAAATGAAACACCCTGTATATACAACATTAAAATAAAATCAAGGTTTGTAATACCGAATTAAGTCTGAATTTTTGCTAGATAACGTTTCTGTTGATGACACTGTACTATCCAATTCTCAAGTTTTATTATTGAGGAAGAGAAAATATAATATTTATTCGAAGTATCCGAGCAGATAAAATAAATTAATTAAATTAAAATTTATGTTCCAATTGAATCGAAAACGTAGTTCCTAAACCATTATTTGGAGAGTTATTGGGCCTAGATTGTAAAAAAAAAGTTTCAACACATCCATGTTGGCATTTTTTACATAATTTTTGAAATGGTTCAAAATATACACAGTGTTTAAGGGGGTGAAAAAAGTTTCCCTAAATGTTACAGGGTGTTTTTTTGAATTATTTGAAACGCCGTTTCTAACGATAATGATAAAAATTAATCAGTTTGGCAGGCTAGAGCAACTTAATAAAATAAAAACTTTCATCAGTTTTTGTAAGTTTTTGTATGATAAAGAATAATTTATTTTTTGTAGAATTGTTTGAAAATATTATTAGATGGGGCTGCAATAAAATTGTTTTTAATTTTTTATCTCGAGGCAAGATATGAAACAAATTCAAAAACTAGTAGTTTTAGTCGCTTTATCTCAAGGAAGTACCGAAATTGAAGTCGTTTTATAAAATTGCTCGACCCTAATGCCACTATTTAATTTTTTATAATTAGGGTCAAATCACTTATCACGAAAAACCACGCTGTCCCATTTGAAACAAATGCGTTGTATCTTGGATACAATGCATTTGCGGGCTCACATTTATGGGAACTTATCAGTTAAAATAGCAAATCGCCTATTATTATTAAGTAAAACTACTAATTTTAATAAGATAAAGATAACTTTTTAGCTTTCCATGTTATGCTTGTTTTGGGTATTGTCTGAAATACTCTACTGTTATTTAACTTTGTAAAATCCACGGTGAATTTGGGACATGCTGTACAAAAGTCGAAGGTGCGCATAATACATAATTGGATGTATCCCGAGTAACTAATTTTGTCAAATGAGGTTTAACTAATTGAAAGAAACTAAACACACATACAAAACTACCTGTCCACTAGGACTGCATACGCCAATCATAAATTCATGTTCATCGTTGTCTTTACTGTAATCGAAAACTTTGCTAGTTTTCCCGGTGTTATTGTAAACGCAAACCCTTTTGTCGCAGCCTGCAGCGAATATATGCCCCTGCGGCCAGGCAAGCGCGAAAGGGGGCACCGGATGCAAAGCAGCACGCCCCTGAGTATCGTTCTCTTCGTTATGGTCGATTGTGACAAAGAAACGAATAATGTTGCCGTCGATGTGGCCCGACAAGAAACCTATAGAATACCAACAACCAGTCTCGTCTGATGTACCATTAATACACATTACCGGTTCCTTTAGAATTGGGAGCGAGAGAAACCACGAAACTGTCCGAAGCAAATAAACTATGGGACTTGTTGGTTTTAGTCTGCAATGCCCTCACTTTACCGTCCTGCAAGCCGCAAATGATGGGACCGCAAGTTAACCACGTGATACACGTCACGGGAGAAGACTGCGGGAATTTGTTGCAGATTGCTTTCTTCTCGTTCCATTTTTCGCCTATTTTATAGACGTACACGATGCAGTCGCTTTGGGCAACCGCAATTTTTGTCGAATCTGGGCCGAATGCTATACCAGTAATAACGTAAGACTTCTTGCCTGCCTCGGGGTCATAGGGCTTTGTCGAAAACTTGTCCCGTTTCTCGCCGTTGTCGTCGAATAACAGAATTTGCCTGTCGCAGGTCGCGATAGCTAATTTTTGGTTATTCGGAGACCAGCTCAGCGCTACTATCTTGAAGTCGCATTGCTTATAAAACGACAAACATAATTTAAATATTGTTTTCTCGTTTATGTATGCCTTTACCTGAGCTTCTAATATGGTGCCCAAATACTTTAAATGCATGTTTATTGTTAACGTTCAAAAATATGGGCCGGAACGAATTTGTATCAAATGTGTTGCTATGGTAACCAGAAAGAGGTACGAGTATAACGAATTATCTTTTGACACCCACCTACAGGGTTAATTTTGAAAGATAGAAAAAAAGATTTTTGCTCTATTATCTTTTGCAAATGTAAAAAAAAAAACAAACGACGATCGTAAGCTGTCAAAATGACTGCAACATCATTTTTTAAAAAATGGAATGCCCTATGTCATTAGCTTAAATCGTAAATCTTTTTTTCCTGATTTGAAAAACATATAGTTTATTGACATTTTATTTAACCGTTTTTGAAATATTTCAGTTTAAAAATAATTATTCTATTGTTTAAAAATGATCACGTCTGCCTTGATAGCAACCATATTATCTATGTTTGCAATTGTTTTAACAATGTCCTACTTTTAACAACTAATCTGAACTAAACTAAAGATCTGCAGCGTAAGTTAAATAACTTAAGATATTTTTAATCGCTTATACTGAGGAAGAAAAACGCCAAATAATAAAATTATATTATTCAAACAAAAATATCAATTATTAACGCTTAACATTTTCCACATAACCTCCATTATTTTCTATACATTGGACAATATTTCCTTTCAATTTCCTATTAATACACGAGGTGATAAAATCAGGGTTTTCTCTGTTTAGATCTTGTAAAACGATATTATGTCTTTCTCTTATCACTTATAAACTTTCGGCCGATTATAATAAATGTTATTTTTTTAAGATCCCCACAAAAAAATGTCACAAGCATTCATTTGATAGTTCCTTACCTACCTATCCAAATTCTATATTTGTTATTTAGATAATCGGTAACCGGTTGGACATTATGTGCATGTGCGCCATCTTGATGCCAAATTAAATTGAAATAATTCCTAACTGGTACATTTTCTAACAACAGTTCTATTTCTGTTGCAAGCAAATTTAAATATTGTTGGGCATTCAAGGATCCTTCGTATATAATTGGTCCGACCACCATATTGTTCATCATACCACATCATACATTAACTGATGTCCGTCCCTGGATTTTGACGGTCTGCATTTTTTTGTGGATTATTGGTAGACCAAAAATTTTTATTCTTCCTATTAAATCCACCTGCTGTTGTGGACAAAGCCTCATCCGTAAATATTATCTTGTTTAGAAAATGTCCATCTTCTTAAGATCTTCTATACATTTCACTGCAAAATTCGAGCCTCTGCCTTTTATGTTCATGGGTTACATTTTGCACTAGAATTAACTTACACCGGATGATAATTTTTTAACGTCAGCTATAGAAAATTTAGGATTTTCTAAAACATGTGAAATATAATAATTAAGAAAGTAGAACTCAAAGTCATGATGTCAAGAGTATAATAATTTACTTTGAAAGTAAAGTAATATATTCAGGTCTTCATCAAAATTTTTTTCTATTGCCATGGTCTTCTGTGTGACACTATTTCAGCCCTCAAATTGTTTAATGACATTTTTAACCGTATTTATTTAAGGAACTCTTCTACCGGGATATATTTGTCGATATTCTCCCTTAACCCTTGCAACATTTGTCTGTTGGAATAATATAATTTTATTATTTGGCGTTTTTCTTCCTCAGTATAACCAATTTCAAAATTACTCAACATACGCTGCAGATCTTTAGTTTTGATTAGTTGTCAAACGTAGAACAATGTTAAAACAATTGTAAACATAGATAATATGGTTCCTATCAAGGCAGACCTGACCAATTTTGAACAATATGGCTATTGTCCAAAATTCGAATGATAATCATTTTTAAACTGATATATCTCAAAAATGGCTAAATGGAATGTCAATAAACTATATGTTTTTGAAATCAGGAAAAAAATCTACGATTCAAGCTAATAATACATAGGGCATTCCATAAAAAAAAAGATCTTGCTGTTATTTTGATTGATTGATTGATATAATAGAGCAAAAATCTTCAAAATTTTGTATTTACGCTTTTTTTTCTATCTTTCAAAATTAACCCTATAGGTGGGTGTCAAAATATAATGAATAATCCAGTATACACTTTCAGCAGAGATACAGTATCTCCGGGCAATTTCTGGGATTCAGATAGGATCCGAAAAAATAACACAATTTCCTGCAATGTTTCCTACAGATTTTGGGATGCTTAACAAGCCCCTAAAGGACGCAGTTAGAAATTGATTTTTCTTTTACAACTTTTAAAGCATTTGACAAAAATTCAAATGCAATCTGAAAAGTACTGGGTAGGGAGCTCTTAAAACATATTTAGCTTTTTTAGTTTATCAGGGGTGAATTCAGCGGAACTAACCTAAACACATCATTTTTTAACACTCTGTACAATTAAGACCTAAAAAGGGCATCCTTGATTAATATCGATAAAATTTACTATCTGTTGGCATTTTTTGAAAATATACCCAGATCCCATCGATTCTTCGTCAAAAATTCAAATTAAAAATGTGAAGGTGGCTGGTTAGAAAAAAAATGGCGCATAGTGTAGATTAATGTTTCCACATTAGCGGCATGCGCGGAAGATCATTTAGGAAAATATAATATAGCTTTTTTACAAAACTTCTGGATTCTTCCTGCGTCGATCTTTGCCGAGTCGAACCTGCTAATGCTTCGCCAATCATCCTGTTCATATAGCCGTACGAGGTGCATCCATTTTAAAGTATGTCGAAAGACAGAAGATTAAAATCCGAGAGTATTCATATTAATAACAACCCCTGATAACAAAAGCGTATATTAAAAAATATTTTCAGTGCACTAATTACAAATCACAATAAACCAATAAGTAGAGTACTGAAAGAAATCAAACAAATATTCCCACAGCCAGAAGTAGAAACACTATTCCGAATCCAGAAAACACAGAGGCAACCAAAGCAACCGCTAGTTCCTTTTTAAGACTTCGGGTTTGCTTTGTACTAGTAACCTCATACACGAAAAACCATGCCGTGAAGAAAACTCCTATTCCCAATAGAACTAGGGTCAAATGAGGGAATACGGCCGGGTTTACCGGAGAAGAATATCGTATGAGCTTCTCGGACTGAAATAAAAAAAAGGACATTAAACTAGGCGACCTCAATTACATTAAAGGATATTTTACCATTTCTGGGAAGTCAGTGTTCATTCACAAATTATAAACTTGACTTTTAATAAACCAAAGTAACTTTTCACCAAATCTACTACCTGTACTACACCAGTCAAACGCGTACGCCAACGTCACCATCACCAGAGAAATGCTTTAGGTTGATTTATTAGCAAAGAATAACAAATGGCAGTGTTTAAATATTTTTGCCCATTATACAACTCTAACGTAGTTTTTTAATTATGACTCTATCTCCTGAAATAATACCGAGGAATATTTTAATTTAAAAGAAGTACTTGGCTTTTTTTTTTCTGTCCCACAATGTCGGTTAAGAGTAACGACTCATATTGTTTCATAAACATTTTACTTTGGCAACACGGCATAGAGTAGTGACAAATGGATGCTTTGGACATTTTGTTCCAAAATAAAAGTCAGTGGAAAATCATCAAAATAAACCGAATTTTTGGTGATTTTTGAAATGTTTTTAGTTAACTATAGCGTGCCACCAATTTTTATTAAGGGAGAAAAGTAATTGATGTACTACGAATATCGTTACTTGCTTTATACGCATTTATATTCGCGGCCTTAAGATTTCCTAATATTTTGCTTTGTGTAAGTGAAAAATATTTGAAGTGGCAGCCGTTTGTGTTTGTTATAATATTAAGGGACTACTTTTTAACACGTTTGCTTGTGTTTAATATATGTATTGTGGCAAAATCGTAGAAGAACGAAATTTTAGGTTACATCACTTAAATAATGTGGTCCTCTCAATCAAACTCCACACTAAACAACAAAGAAAACCAAAATCAATCGGAAGACAATTTAGTTACCCTGGGAATGACATCCGCTATTTCTGCCGCTCCTCCTAAGCCAATTGACCTCGCAAAGACTAAAGAGTTGGAAGAAACTTTGATACCCTTTGATGTTTTTGAAACTGAACAAGAACTAAACCATCGTATGCTCATTTTAGGGAAATTATATTCTTTGGTTAAGCAATGGATTAAAGAACTTTCTCTAAAATGTAACATGCCTGAAAGTGTAGCAGAAAATGTTGGGGGAAAGGTGTATACTTTTGGTAGTTACAGACTCGGTGTAAGTTGCATAAAAGGTAATAGAATATCAAAATTAGGTGTGTAATTTTTTTCTGCCAGGTACATAACAAAGGAGCGGATATTGATGCTTTATGTGTGGCACCCAAACATATTTGTCGGAATGATTTTTTCACCTCTTTTTATGAGTTGTTAAAGAAGCAGTCTGAAGTCACAGAACTAAGGGTACAAATCAATCCTGGGTTTTGTAAAACAAAGCATAACCCTCACAATTTTAGTCAGTAGAAGAGGCCTTCGTACCAGTGATTAAAATGAGTTTTGATGGCATTGAAATTGATTTACTTTTTGCTCGGCTATTGCAAAAAGAAATTCCTGACTCCATGGACCTTCGTGATGATAACTTGCTAAAAAACCTTGACCAGAAGTGTGTCCGCAGTCTAAACGGTTGTCGGGTTACAGATGAAATTCTCAGACTTGTTCCCAATATTGAAACTTTCAGATTGGCATTGCGTACCATTAAACTTTGGGCTAAAAGTAAGAGATTTTGGGGTCCGTATTGGATTGTTGTAAATGTGTGCTTTCAGGGCACGGCATTTACAGCAATGTGTTGGGTTATCTGGGAGGCGTTTCATGGGCAATGCTTGTAGCACGTACCTGCCAGTTATATCCCAACGCTGCTGCCGCTACCTTAGTGCATAAGTTCTTTCTCATATTTTCCAAGTGGCAGTGGCCTCAGCCTGTGCTCCTCAAGCAACCGACCAATGCCAGTTTGGGATTTGCGGTTTGGGATCCAAGGGTTTGTAACTCAGTATTCCTTGTTTATAGTATTATTTGTAGCAATGCAGTCTTTGGGTTTTTAGGAAATATTTAATGTAGTGTAAATATGTTGTCTAGTGGACCTAAGAAGGTTCATATTTAGGTAGAACCACAAATTTAATTTTTACAGTTAAAGTTGCTGTTATTTTTCTCCTTTCCCATGTTTTTAACCAGGTAAACATCCAAGATCGTTACCACCTGATGCCAATAATTACCCCGGCGTATCCGCAACAAAATTCGACTTTTAACGTGTCCAACTCCACCAGAAATATCATCATGGAGGAGTTTGAACGGGGTCTAAAAATTACAGATCAAATTATGTTAAACAGAGCAACTTGGGAGCAATTGTTCATCCAGCCGCCGTTTTTCTTGAAGTACAGGCACTTTATCGTCCTGATAATCAGTGCGGAGTCTTCAGCTGACCTTTTAGAATGGAGCGGTCTGGTCGAGAGTAAGATACGGTTGTTGATTTGTAAGTACCATTTAGGGCCAAGGGGCTCCGGAGAATGAGCGTTTCCGTTTTACAGCGACGTTGGAGAGGAAAACTGCAATAACAATGGCCCACATCAATCCGGAAAACTTTATGCTTCCCGAACCGTTGCGGCAACCAAAATTTAAATATTCTATGTGGTTCATCGGGCTCGAGTTTCGCAAAATGGAGGGCCTAAACGTGGACCTCACCCAGGACATTCAACAATTCACCGAGACTGTCAACAAGCACGCCATGCATATACAAATGTTCAAAGAGACAATGAAATTGGAAGCAAGACACGTCAAGAGGAAAATGGTGGGAGGTTTTGAGGATGTTGTTATGAGTAGAAGACATGTTGATTGGCTTTTAGCTTCCCACGTATTTGCCGCATGGTATACTCAAACGCGAGAAGAAGTACCTGATGATGGTCAACGAGTGCAAGGAACAGAAAGAAGGCAGGAAAAGGCCATCGGAATCCAGCGACGGCGAAACGTCGGCCAAAAAGACGCGGCTGTCCAACGAAGTTAATGGCGCCAGCGTGAGTAATTTTATTTGCAAGGGATTCCACAATAAAAAAAAAACACCCTATTGAAACTATCGACCTTGTCCATGGACGAGATGTTACTCTTGTGGATAAGAGCGAAGAAGAGATCAATTACGTAGTGTGTCAAATTTTTCTGTTAGTCGCTACCTAAGTGACAGTTTCACTGCTTTTTCAGTAGTTATTTTTGGGGTAATAATTGACAGTTTAAAATAAAAATAGTAATAAATTACAAAAAAATTAATTGAAAATTTATCGATTCTCTGAGATACTGGGTTAAATATCGGTAACAAGTTATCTACAGAATCATGTAGCGAAACATAGACTTCATTTAATAAACAAATGACATGTTTCGCCTTAAATAACATCAACAGACCCATATCAAGTAGAATAACTGAAATATATGAATATTAGATTTGATGTTTGTATTTGATATTTTTGATCATGTCATTTTAGGCGAAATATGTAAGATGTTTTTTAAATTTAATTTGTTTTGACATATGGTACTTTAGAGTTTATGTGTTTTTTGTGTTACCTTTACCGTGATTGGGGGCATTATTTATCCACGGCGGGCAAAAAATGTAAGTCACTTGAGAAATTACAAATTTCGTGGGAAAAAAAATTATCCCGAACTAATAGGTGGTAAATTATCTATCCTAATCTATTTGATTATCTGAATTTAACATTTAATCGGAAAATCTGATGTTGGTATTCATGATTTTTTCGGAAAACAGAAAATGTTTATTATAAACAAAGTCCAATTAATTTTTATTTGTAACTAAAGAAACGAGTAACAATATTGAACACACCTGAAAATTAAATTAATCCACGAGGCATGCTTTGAATTAAATGACTTACGTTCTGGTCGATATTGTTTCATTCCTGCATAAACAACTCTCAGCTCTTCGGCACTTCTTTTAGCGAGTGTATGTCTTCAAATACGTCGTCTCATCTCATCAGACACATGTTCGATGAGATTCATGTCTGGACTGAGTGCTGGCCAATCAAACCGCCTAATTCCCGCTTCATCCAGATATTGACTTACAATTCTCGCGGTGTGGGGTCTAGCATTACCATGCTTACAAATGGCATCTTCGCCCATAGTGATCATTAAAGGATTCCGGGATTTCCGTAACGTACCTGTGAGCTGTCAGAGAGGCATTCTGTATAAAGACTAACTCTGTGAGTGGTTCCCAACTGATTCCCCCCCAAATCATAACCCCCACCACCACCATGCGGAAGTCTTTTATCAACACAACTTGAACTGATCCAGTGCGGCAAAAAGGGGATTGATCAGAAAACAGTATCTTGTTGCGTTCATAATCATTCCAGTCTAAGTGATTTAACATTTCTAACCACTTAAAGTTGATTTTGAAGCCAAACCTCAGAAGGTGTCCTATTCCGCAAACTTGCATAGTCCAAAAATCGATTATCCCTTTGGTTGGTGATCTTTCTTCGACCAGATCTTGGTCTTCCAGTGATCAAGTCAGTCCCCTCATAGCGTTGGTATACATTTTGGTACATTTGGTTGGTAAACATTTGTAACAATTCTTGCAGTTTCCGGTTTTCCTCAACCATCTTGTATTATTGCTACAATTCTAGTCACAACAATAGGATCTAAAGGCATTATGACCAGTAAAATACACCTCATATCTAAAATACACCAAACAATCATAAGTTTTATGGAGATAAATGAACAATGAACTGGAAAGTACTCAACCCACGAACCTTTAATTGTGCCGAACTTTAATTATTTCATAGAAAAGTCGAAATTATTATGACGACTGAAATAATTCACTGCCTACTAGACCGACGATCCGGTGATAAACATTTTGTTTCAAATTATTTGAAATTTCTTGAGTGACTTAAATTTTTTGCCCGCCAGTGTAGAATGATCGACAAAATTAATTGACAAACAAAAATAAAAGTTATAAACACGAGCATTTTAAAGAAATAATAAAAAACGCAACAAAAGACAATAGCGTGCCTAGATAAAACTAAACTTTTTTTCCTTCTTCCTTTCGTCACTGGGTCACCAGCGAAAACAATTAACCATAACTGCTAAATTTAAAGTTTCTATCATATTAAAATTAACTTCGTTAAATGGAATCTTTCATAGGCTAATAAGTTTGCGGCGGAAATTAGTTATTAACAGAATTCCTACCCACTCTTCAATGGGTGATAGTACGCATCGCGCTGGTTATAAAAAAAACTGGGACTCAGTATTATGACCCGTCGTCCCGAACTGTTTGACGTTCCTATTATTTTGTGTCAGAAATGATAAAGTACATAAGTGAAAAAAAAATGGCTTTCTAATTTTGTATTTGGGGTGTATAGTTCGACGACAGCTCAAACAATTCGTTGAACAATGAAGACTCAAGCAGCAGTTTCGCGGATACGTCAGGGGCGTCGGCCGCCAGCCCCGTCAAATTGCCGCAGGTGCCGACAGCGAACAAGCAGGAAGCCGTATGCTCGTGAACTTCAGCCCCTATCATTTAGGATTTAAGGTACATGCTACCCGAAAAGCTGTGACGCTTTAAAAACTATGTTTTCCCTTTTGGAATCTATTGTTTTTTATTAACGTTTTGGACTAAATCTACTGAATATCCCATTTAACTAATCATAGAAGCTATGACTCTTGTCTTCTTTTGTCTATAACGACTATTCAAACGAACGGCAGTCAATAGGATATGTTAGAAATACATGCGGGGTGTGTGAAAAAATAAAGCCAATATAGACTTTCATAGAGACTTGGCATTGAAACTTATTTAGCATTTTTGCTTTATCAGCCTCAGACTGTTTTTTATTTATTTATTTTTTTGAGAAACAGGGATCATTGTTCTTGGTTTGAATTGTTTTACCAATTATTTTAATTTTCTACCAACACGGACATTTTATTTTTTAGTCTGTATCATACAGTGTGTTGTGTTAACATATGAACCTGTATTAAACCGTATGTAGTAGCTTAAAAGTCATAGATTTTCAGCAACTTCGTCCAAAAATCAATCAATCATGAGAGAACAAAGCTTTCATTGTAAAACAGATTGTATTCCTAACATACAAGAAATTTAAACAAATCAAAATCATCACCTTAAAATTTAATTGTTCTATGCTAAAGGTACTGGAAAAATTAAAATGTGATAGATATCAAAAATGTCTTAATTATTTTGTAAATTGACTAAAAACTAAAAAACACGCAACCCTGAGCATCAATAATGATAATAATAATAATGACCTCTAGATTTAAGACTCCACAAGGGAAAATAAAACTATGGGTTATCGACGAAAAGAAAAAAGCCCAATTGTTTGGTTTCAACTACAGTCTGGACCGAGGACCACCCGTGGCGAGGAGGACACGCCCGTAGGTCGCGTCTCCTCATTGGGGGCGGGGCGTGTGTAAAATGTTATCGCGTAAGTGCAATTTCATTAAATAGGCGTGTAGTTATGTGAGAGAATGCGTGTTATCTATTTATTACGTTGATGGGTCAAGTAATTAAAAAAGCAGTTTTGTGGATTGGAAAATAGTCGTGATGCGGTAATATTTTACAGTACATTATTTGTACATAGTTAGTTGACGTTTATTTGGACACGACTAGGAAGGGGTTTTAAGCAGCGCTTGCTTATGACCTAGAGGTTTCACCCGTTTTATTTTTGATATTATTCTCTTTTGTGTCCGGGACACTACGTCATCGTTTTCCCGAATCTATTGTGTAACGTTTTTTCGCTCTGTATTAATGATTTTTGTATATCCGATTGAAAAGTTGGGGAAAATATCGTTCTTTTTGGCAAAGTGTATTAAGTATTTATATGATATCTTGAGTATTTGCGTTAGGTTATTGCGAAGAAGTTTTCGTCAATGTGTACAGTCGTCCCTGTAAGTGAATTAAGTACAATAAATAAAAATATTTTCCCCCAAAAACGTATTTTATTTGTATAATGCGTAACAAACTCGATGGGAAATTAAAAAAAAGTAATGTTGTGCCGTGTAACTTTTTCGATTGAACAAAACGGTAAGTAATAATAATTTATTCCCATTGACATTACAAAAATGCTTCGAAGTCCTGGCTTGGAAAAATGTTATGCTTTTTTGTGAAGGTGGAGTTGATTGATAGGAAGGAATAGTTTTTAAGTATTTAGATAGAAAATGCAATTGATAAGTAATTAATTTACTTATTTTAACTAAAGGATCTCTCTTCGGGTTGCTGAAAAATACAAAAATAAATTTGTCACCGCCGCAGCAGTCGCTGAAAACATAGCTGTGGTTTTGTGGGGTTAACCCATAGAGAAAAATTCTAAAGACAATCCAAATTTGAATAAACTGAGTTACGACTTATTTGTGCGTTTCAGAGAAGGCAAACCGCTAGGTATTAATTTATCAACTAGCCAAACTAAAGAAAATACACGTTTTTTATTATTGTTTTGTCTTATACTGTTTTTATATACAGTTTATGTTATATATGTTATTTTTCAGTTCAGTTCAGTTCAATTTCGGTACACTAATATTTGAGGATGTAATTTTTGTTAACATTTTTAATTTTGCTCTATGCATTATTTTTTATAATTTTTATTTTTGAAAAAAGTGAGAAAAGTATTCCATTTGTATTACTTTTACTTCTGCTGCTTCATTAGTCCTGTAGCTCACGGTGGCGCTGGCGATTGCGCTTCTGATATTTAACTACGTAATCTGCAATTCCCATTTTTATTAGTTTCTTTTATGGGGTTAACGTGACGTGAGGGGAATTGATGATACAACGTTTTAACAATAAAAACCCGTTACACTTTCACTAACTTTAGGTTGGCATTACCGTTTCAATTGCACCTATTTTTTAAAATTAATTTTTATTTACCTATGCCAAGATCTTATTTTAAATTTCTTCTAATTTTAATTTTATATTATGTAATATTTATTAGTAATTTTATCAAAAACCATTGTTTCGGTATTAAAAGAATCTTTGTGGGAAAGCGGAAAAAATCACCATCACGTCGCACCTTGTAATATCCTACCCGCCAAATTTAGCTCTATCGATTGCGCGGTGGCGCATGCGCGTACAGCATCGGCCATCCGAATAACACGCATTACGCGCGCAAGGACAACGCAGAAGAATATACTGGTCCACTGTTCTATCCAGATCCTGGCCGAATGAGAGAGCCAGCATCCTAATGTAGCATTTTTTCGTTTTAATTTTTTTTGATAATGTTAGTGCTGTATTTAATTGGTGCTTGTTATTATATTTTCCCGCCTACGGTTGGTAAGTTTTCCGAACCTATCGTCGATAGGGTTTGAAAAAACGAGTTTCCAGGTCTCAACGACAAAAACCATACCGCAAAATTATCGGACGATGATTATTATGTGAACTACGACTACGATTTAAGCAATAATTCTGCAGATAAGGAATCCAAATCGGATTCTCTGATCCTTCCCAATCCGGAAGTTATGGATTTGAAGTATGCGGTAGATGTGCTTCCCAATGTAGAGTTGCCAGACGATTCTTTGGCCGACTCGGACTTGAAAGACCACAACTGCATAGACAATATCATGTACGTCTACTACGGGGGAAACGGTCGGAACTCCAAGAGCTACGGCACCGGAATAATAATCATAGGATCAGTGATGAGCTGCGCCGCTCAACTGTTGACTCTGTTTTGCGTCTTGCTCAAGAAATATTACAAGGGCAGGAAGATCAGCATGATGCTCATAGCTGTTCACATTTTTCTTACCATGTTTTTGTCGAATTTCATATTTATGTTGGGAGTTTACGTAAGTGGTAACCATATCGTTATGGACTACGGATAGATAACTTCGGATTTTTTTTTAGTCCACCAAAAATACGGAAAACTGTTTGCTCATAGCGATTTTAATAAATATATTTCACCACCACACGGCGATATGGATATTTTTGTACTGCCTCTATATTTACAAAAAGTTTTGCCGCACCTGGGTCTCGTTGTTGTTTAGAAACATAAACATGTATACGTTGGTGACGCACATGTTACCGCCAATAATTACTTTGGTAAGTTCATCGATGTAACCAATGATCCAAATAATACCGGTGGTCCGGGTTAATAATTTGGACGTTATCTAACGAAGGTGCAGGGTAATTTCAGAAAGAAAAAAAAACTACTTTTTTATCATAATTTCAATATTATTTTAGTTTTTTTTATCAAATTTGGTGCGTTCATAAGCCTACATCAGATTTTTTTTAATAGAACACCCTGTATATTATATATGTGTTTAATGGGATATCTTATTTCAATTACAATGATGTAACACACTTTATATTTTAGTCCACTAGTTTTTTTGACAAATCGGCAAAAACAGGAAATTTTTATATAATTTCAAAGAGTGACAACAAAATGTTTATGTTTGACATATTAGTAAACAACGTTGATGGTTGAATTATTGTTTAAGTCATTAACGTAGCTGGTCGTCAGTAATTAGACTTTATCCAGAGCGCCGAGCTCCTTCAAAACAGATATTTTCAAGGCTGGCAAAGAAATTTGCAGAAAGCGGTAACATATTAAACGCTAAAAAGGTATTCCGGAATTGTAATGTTTTAAATGAAGAAAATAAGTCAAACATTTTAGGATTCGATGAAGCACATCCAGTTTCCTCTATTACTAGAATATATGAGGAGATAGGTATTTCTCGGGGATCAATCCATTCAGTTTTGAAAGAATATAAACATGATGCATTTTTCGTAAAACTCAAAAACTAAGTGTATAACAATGTCAAAGAAAGATGCAATTTTGTTTGGATTACAGAATACACGAAATAAAATCCCAGGGGTACCAATCAATATATGGTGTCGTGTCATAGATGGGCATATTTTGGGTCCGATATTTACAGATCAAAAGTTAACTGGAGATCATTATTTGCAACTTTTAGAGCACTAAATATGACAATATGTAGAAGGTTTACCGCTAAATATATCAGCGCTTATTATATAGCGCCTCCTCACAATTTTGTGCAAGTTAAAAATGTTCTTAACATGGAATATCCTAGGGGTTAGATACGGCGGAACTATGGATTGGCCAGTCAACAGCCCCGACTTAACTTTAATGGATTTATTTATTTTGGGGACACATAAAAAATCCCGTGCACAGAACTCCTTGTAATAATGTAGTGGAACTTCGGCAAAGCATTTCAGAGGTAATCAATCAGTTAAGAGACAATCCGGAAACGTTACAACATCATACAATTAGATTGTATGAGAAATGTGTTAAGGAAAATGGTGGTCACATGCAGCAGTATTTAGGATAGTTAAAGATTTTTTACTTTAGTTCGTCTTGTCGTTTTTATTGTTTGTGTTCTGCTTTAATTTGTAAATAATTATTATCGTTGCAATCAGTCACGGCACTCTGAAATTATATAAAAATTTCCTATTTCCATTTCCAAAAATGAGTGGTAAAATATAAAGTGTGTTACATCATTTTAATTTTAATAAGATATTCTATATATAACATACAGGGCGTTCCATTTTGAAAAATATGATATAGGCTTATATGTCAGAAAATTGATAGTGTTTTGTTTTATATGTCACTTGGAAAAAAACTGGGCTACTAAACTTATATTTTGTTTTTTATTTTTGTTTTCCTTGATATCTCTAAAAACAAACAAGTTACAGTCATTGAACGTACTGTACATGTTGTAAATGTAATAGAGCATGTTTTGATGCAGTTTTTTGGTCACTAGTGGCACAGTACGCCACTAACTTTTCTAAAAATAAGAATTACTTTCGAAATTCTCATTCACCTTGGAGTAAATTTGATCCCTTGTACGCAACGTTTTCGTGCAAAAAATAAACCTAGTTTCCATGCATAACGAAATGGCTAAACTCTGATATGGTATTTTGTATGTGAAATTGGGTTTTCTACTCCCGACGCTAGAGTACCCAATTATACACCGATCAGTTGTACGCAAAGTGTCACTTTAAGACGTCAGCTTCGTTAAAGATTGTTTCTAGTCACTTCGGAATTTTGCGGTACCTTAGCTTTCGGTAGATTTTAGCCGCTGATGGTACTTTGACGTTTGTCAGTTCCGGTGGTCACGTTATTCAGTGAATTTTTTCTGCCCTTATGCAAAAACTTTTGAGATTGGTTTCCTTATATATGTAGCTATAAAATAATCTCTATGTACTTAACTCCAATTCCAAGCTGAAAACTGTCAGCAGTCATATTGATTGTTGATCGGCACAAGGTCTTACTGTTGGAAAACGAGCACGCTGAACAGACATTTAACAACAACACATTTTTGATGTTCACTTTAAAAATGTCTCTATTGTCATCATAGCCATGGCATTTATATGTAGTAGCTAAATGGGTTTCATAACTATAAAACTAACTTCCTTGTAAATGATTAACGTATTTGAAATTTGTAGACCACATATTACGCAATACCAAAAAGCTTCGAAACCAAGAAGTACTGTTTCAAGTCGTTCCATAGGGGAATGATATTAAATTTTCTAGCACCGATTTGCGTTTTACTAATACTGACCACTATTTACGCTATAAGCGCGATGATCAAAATCGAAAACCTGGAATTGTCCAAGTTGGATTGCCATTATCAGGGCGAGTCCCTTCATATTTTCAAGTCCGATGTCGAGGGTCTGAAACAAAAGAGAGACGAGAGTATCGGTTACATAGATGATGAGTTATGCAGTTTGAGGGCGACCAGAAACTGTTTAAAGTCGATCTGTGTCATACAGTTGATATTTACTATGAACTGGTTCGCTACGCCGATCGCTTTGGAGGCCAGCCACAGCAGCACAGAGTTGCCGTTTCTGCAAGCGATCACTGCTGTGTTGCTGGTAAGCAGAAGTCCAAGCATCTTCTGGTTCTTAAACAACTTTCTTGTAGAACTGGTACGTATTTTTCAAAAGGAAATGTCTGCTTCCCACATTGGATTACACCATGGAAGAAGAGTCGGAGAAGAACGACGAAGAAGTACTATCATCTACGACGGAGATTCTAAGTATTTCTTCGTCGGATAATATCCCACTTCTGAATTCCGAAAACGCCACTGAACTGAAAGAGTTCTGCAGTATAACTGACGGCAAGGAATGTGCGAGCGACTATAACATTTCCACCATTAGTACCTAAGTTATACTGCGTGATCGAAATTTTCGCAATATTCTAAAGCATCAATCAATATAATAAATATGTACGTATACTCGACGTCTTAGTATTTTTAAGTCAAGTTTGGCGTTCCAGGCGGAAACCTTTTCAAACCGTATAAACCACAAAATATGCACAAATTAAAAATGTCGTTTTAATAATACTATACATCTTATTAAAGAAAAATTGTGTAAATAATGTATTTAAGAGTTAGGACATCGGCCTATATCAGTATTATTATAATAGTTATTATCTCGCATTGTTAAAGATATACTCCCCCAAAGTTGTTTGTGGTGTTATTCTCTAATATTCTCTAATAAATATTATGGAAATTAAACTTTTCATTACTGCAGTACTTCTTTAACGACCCGAAAAGTATAAGTGGATTAGTTTTGGTTTCTTTTTTCGCGTTTCTTTCGACCACTTCCAATTTATTATTCCAAGCATTGGGAATATAAATACGGAAAACTTAAGCTGGGTTTATACAACACCTTCATAACTCTAATCATAAACGTAGTGATTTATGTTTTGAAGATGATTAACTCGAATATACTCAATGGAAAGAAGCTTGTCATAACTCTAACTGCGCAGAAACGAACGTCTTATCTTATTCATGCGGGGAACTTTAAGAAACGGTAACTCGAACTTTAATTAAAACCAATGTTGCCACACGCAGGATGTTAAAAATTGGTTTCATCAGTCTGCTTGGTAAAAATTAAGAATTATTATTATTTTATTCTTCAAAATTATTCAATCAGAGGCACAAAAAAAAACTGACTATATTTTCGGGAATAGGTTTATTAAGAGAAAAAAACCAACACCTACAATACGCTAACCTAACGTTAGCGTCAGTGTAAGGCATGTGGGACACGTCGAAAATCCGTACTTGTGTGTCAAGCAATATGAGCGAGGGTATATTTACAAAGTACGTCGAAATTTAAAAACTATCGAGAAATTCTGCCGCGCGTCTTATTACGATGTTTTGAGCATCAAACATGTATATACATAAATTGATCTAATTTCGCTAACCGCCTCCGCCGCCCTGTTCTTCTTCGTACTGCTTCCTGAAGCAGTCGCCCATCGGGAAGAAGTCCCAACACCGTTGCTGGTACATGTTCCACACGTAAGTCTCCTGACCCGTATACTCCGTGTCGGGCTTATTGATCAGGTGCATCAAGAAGAACCTAACAAAAACGAATTGATATATATTTTTTTATATATACAAAGTTCTTAAATAAGGAGACTAGTTCACTCTTCCAATCTATGCCTAGAATTCAGCCATATTCTTAATTATCTTTTATGAGTAAGTCGTCCATTGGCGTATTCATGGACTGGACTTTCTTTGCAGCGATTAACCTAACCGACGAGGACCAATACAATTTAATAACGGTTTTCAATAAAAAATTATTCGGGAACGTCATCTATCTTACCCCTTCTCTACCGTTCCATATTTATGTTGCGTTACTCTTGAAGTTGAAGTTTCATACCGAAAAATAATAAACCTGCGTACCCTTTTGGTGCCTACAAAAATGTTTTTCGGTGGAATTAGCGGAAAAGCCGGAAAGTTATTCAAAATTCGATCCCGCTAGAGCTCCCCGAGAATTGACTAATCAGTGGAGTTGGAAATTCTTGCCAACTTCAGGAGAAAAAAACAAAATATTCCGTGTGCGACGTACATATAATTGGCGAGGTTATGTTCCTGTTGCACGTGGGTGTCGAACCCGTGGGGGACCTTATCCAGATACCCCTTGTCCAATCCGCAAATAAAGCAGTTGGAGTCCATATCTTCAATGACCTTTTCGAGCTGATCGCGAAGTTCACCGAACGCGTCGATTATCAAACCCTGAATAATGGCGAGCAGTATGACGATAACGAAGAAGAAGAAAGTAATGTCGAAGACGATTCGGTATACTTCGTAATCGTCGCCGTCTGGTGGTTCAATTTCGTCACCGATACCGCCGCCGGCTCTCACGCCTTTGTAAAGGTGAAACACGAAGCACTGAAATCACCACACGGACGCTTCAGGCGCAGTTCCTACGCACGCGCAAGACACTTACCGTCAGCATGTCGTGACACTTTCGGTCCACTTCTTCGTCCTCTTCCTGTATATAAAACTTCCTGAAGAAGTTAAACGCGATCACCGTGTAAATATACACGATTATCGTGAGCAGCATCACAGTCAACACCAGCTGCTTTCCATTGTGAGTAACCGATTGCAATATCGTGCGTAACGTTTTGAATCCTACCGCGACATCCAGCAGATGAGCGGCGAAGAAGAAATTGTTAAAGTTGCCGAGAATAGAAAACGTAAAGTACCACAACGAGTAGAGGAACGAGTTGTCTGTGATGGTGACGCCCGATTTCCATATTTGATAACGCCAGTCGATATTGATAATGCTAAAAAATGATATACAATTTAATACTTTCGTCTCATCTGCGAAGTTAGAAATGTAGTTAGTTAATAAGGGCAACGAGAAAGAGTTTGTATGAAATGAGACAGTCGCGTGTGGTTATTGACACTGATGGGAATCCTTACAGGACACTGCAATTTACGGAGAAGGTTGCTGACGACAGCGGATTAGATTTTTATAAGAGGTAAAAACTCCGCGCCCTATCGGAGGTCAGAAGATTAAGAGTACGAAATTGGTCGATCAATTTCCCACAGATGAGAAACTTACTAATAGAAAATACTTTTGTGGCCATCATCAGTTTCCTGTTGCTGAAACGACGTCTTTTCCATTCCGAGGAGGTTGCTGATCGAGTCGAAATCGTAAGTTTCGCTGTACTTCTGACGCACCTTCTTCTTGACGAACTTGTCCCAATAGTTAACCGGAAATGACCTACAGAATAACGACGTAATAGACCTTGGTGGCGACGATTGCTCGATATTTACTTTGCCGATATGACGAGCTTGTCCCAATGTGATTTCAAATCGTCATCTTCAGGTTGCTCGGCGATGTACAACCCCTCAAACTCCAGTCGTCTCGCGATCTCCTTCTCCCTTTTGAATATAGCCAAAGGTACCTTCAGATGGTAGTAAGCAATTAGCATCGCCAACGAGACCATCGAGTGCAATAGGGCGGCCAATCTCATCACGTGCGTCATATAGTAAAAGTCTTCGTCCACGTGTACCAGCTCCAACGGGTCCTCTTCTTCCTCGGACTCGCCGCTTCCTGAACCGCTACCGCCAGATCCTGAGCCGTCGACTATATCCGCTCCTTTGCCGCTTCCACTGCCGTCTTTGTCTTCCACCAAGGTCGTCACCTAGAGCGAAGTGGGTTTCTCTGATTTGTTACCATATCAGAAAAACCATTTATGTCTCACCTTGTAGAATAACAGCATGAAGTTGATGCAAAATGCCAAAACTAGCGCTACATATTTGAGGTTGTAAAAGTTTCTGGCCAGGAACGAGACGGCCCGGTGGGTGTACGCGCTAAAGTTGATCTGGGACATCGCGGACGACTCCGTGGACGCAGCTTTAGCCTTGCTTTCCGATTCGATGGCTTGCATGGCGGCCTGCTGGGCCGCTTGAGCCTCGGCCTTTTCCTGCGCTGCCAGTTTCGCTTGTTCGCCACTAAAAGAATGCCAGTTTTGTTTACTGAAATTAATTTCAATGCGCTTCGGTTGAGAGACTCCTTGAATTTACCAATGGTTAAATTTGATTGAGTTAAAGAAAGCTCCTTATTGCAATCCATCTATAACTTCATTCCGTGATCTTATGCAGAAAGAAAGCTTACGTCTAGGTGTGCTAGGTGACCAACAATTACGTTGACACATTTCAATCAAAACTAAAAAATTTATAAAACAAAATTACAAGTGTAGATTTCGCTAGTAAATAAATAAGACCGCGATGAGTAACGCTGCCGAATTCATTTGCCCTGTGCCCTACTTTGATATTGATGCCTGCGATTTGGAAAACTACAAGCACCCTCCGTTTATGTTCACTCTGTGGTGGCTCGGTTTAGTTTGCAATGCCGCTTGCAAGTGTTTGAAGGATCTCTTGTGGGGGGAAACTTCTGAGGACGGAGGCGAGCCGGCATCGAAACCAGTCGCCAGAGAAGCAGCCAAGGAAGAAGGCGACGAGGAAGAAGAAGAAGAAGAGGAAGAGGGTGCGGAAGAAACCGAGGATGAAGGTGGAGAAGCAGGAGGTGCACAGCCGCAAGGCGAAGAAGAAGAAACGAAGCAGGAAGAGCAAGCCGAAGATAGATAAGTAGGTGTAGTTTTTAATTGTAACTATTATCTCGATTAAAAGGTATGAATGGCTATTCGTTTTTTTTTAAGAACTTACCCTAAAAGATCTGACAACGACAGCGGTTGTTCGGCAGTTTCGGCTTCCGTTTGCTCGGCGCCCTCTTCTGGGGTGGTTTCCCCCTCTCCTTCGCCCGAAGACGGCTGGCTTCCCGTTGGCGATTCGTGCGCCGCCATTTTGTACTGCCCGTTGTCTTCCTTGGTTATGTCGAGACCGAAAGCTTGTATTTGGGTGTTTTGGTCTTCCGTCGACGGCAATGGTGGCAGCATCCTCAAATGGCTTACCTTCTCTTCTATAATTTCAACCGCGGGTTCTTCTACGGCAGGACCTCGCATTAGTGTTAAAAGAACGCCGAAGATGTATTGAATGACGACCGCTACGCCGAAACCGGAGTAGTAGAACGCGTAGAAAATCAATTTGAAGAAGGCTGCAGAAGAATATTGTCAATCCCGACATTAAATTGCCAGTAGAAAGTTTTACCAATGATTATCTCGGGGAAAGTCATTTGCTGCATTTCGCTGATTCTATGCTTAATGTTTGAAGGGCTCAACGCCGAAAGAGCAAAGTAGATGCCATCTTTGATAGCTTGATAGGTTCTTCGTATGGGATCCTTTCCAGCTCTGGAAAGCAAATGTCAAAACATCAAACACACCACGAGAGCAAACCCAAGTACCTCTGTTCATCTTCGTCGGTCATATAGCTATAAGTTGTGGCCCTTGTGGGACCGCCGCCGCCGGATTCTTCGACAGCCATCAGCCCGCTCGCGTGCTGCATTTCAAAAATGGCGTCCTCGCAAAAATTAATAAACGCCTCTAGTTTTTCCTTGTCCCCGCCCTCCGTGACAATCGAGTAGAAGAACGCCCTCTTGGACTCTTTAATTTGCGGCTTTTCCCACTGCTCGATGTTCGACTCCTTAATTTCGAAGTACACCCTTTCGATTCTTTTGTTGCCTCCCAATATTTCAATACGGCCTAGGAACGGTTCGAAGTAATTCAGAACGGAACCGGCTGTTTCCAAGAATCTCGCCAATCTGGGCTCGTTCGGCATGTGTTCGGATAAGTTCGTGAGCAGAACGGCCAAGTTGAAACCGATTTCCTTGGCCGGTTCGTGAAACCGATCGATGAAGCCGACATAATCCAGTTTCCCGTCGTGGTTTGTTTCGCAGCAAGCCAAAAGGAACTCGATTTCTTCCCTAAAATCACAGCACCGACAGCTCGATTATTATTAAAAGATTTTGTAAGGCTTACGGGGTATAGCTCTTCTGTTGCTCCATTTTCTCTTTGAAGTCTTTCGGATAGACCCAGCCGTCGTTGTTAATATCGATTTCTTGAAAGCTGGCGGACGAGGTGAGATCCTTCAGTTTCAGAAACATATCGAAATACTTCAAGATAAGTTCCACATTGGAAGCGCTCTCCACCAAAGTGTCCACCATCTGTTTACCGATGGTACCGTTGACAACGTTTCCCTCGAGCATTGACAACATCATCGTAATCATGTCCTTTTGAAGGTTCAACAGCTCTTTCAGCAGGTCCACTTGACTAGAATGCTTGGACAACTTGTCCTGCATGTGAGAAAACAGAAACAAGAAACCGCCGACGGCGTCCCATAGCCTTGAGTGAGCGAGCGCTTGTTGATTGGGAACGCAAGGGCCCTGAATCACTTCGGTAAGTGTGTTAAAGACCTGACTAGCCACTCCGATCGCTTTGAAAAAGTTCGCTTTGCCCGCAGGATCTATGAGTTCCTTGCTGGAGTAGTGCCAGTAGAAATCCATGATGGATTCCTGGAGACGCAGCAGGTAATCAACAGTGCAGATAACTACGTTAACTGTGGTTGTATTGCCCGCTTGAGTACGTAGATAATTTTGCCACTCTGGAAATTCCACATTGAATTTTGCTATACCAATATTATGACATTTTATTTACCCAAGTTGTGACCTTCACAAGTCAATTGTATAAATCGAAACAACGCACAGGTAAATTCAGCATCGTGCATATTCTTTTCCCCAGCCGCCCCTGAAAGTCATACATTATTTATGTGCAAAAAAGTTGATGTTAGGGTACCTTCGGAGCCGACACCAAGGCCTTCCGCTTTGGTATTCCTTTCAAACGCGTCCAGATCCAAGACACCGCAACTATTCATCAACCCAGCAATACTGGTGAAGAACCCTACGTCCTTTTTATCTTTGAGGTGGTTCAACATTCCCATCTGTATGTCGAAGTTGCCGCCCCTCAAAATCGAAATACCAAGCTGGAGGGTTTTCATTACCATCTCCGAGGGTACACCTTTGCAGGCGGAAATGTGGAGGAGTACCATTTCGGCCACACCCCTGTTGGCCAAACGGGCTTGGTTGAAGATCAGTTTCTGCTTCTCCATTTCTTGTTCCTGGATAACCGTTAGTTGTAGTCGATATTCGTTAAGATTAAGGGATATTTATATCACGCTCTCACCATTAATTTTGTCATTGTCATAGTCCTCTTAGAAAGATGCACGAAAAAATTAAATTTTGTTAGTGGGATATTGAGGTCAAACATTTGTTTAAGAGTCGTGTTAGAACCAATAAGAGAGGAAAAAGATAGCGCTCAAGGAAGTGTTCACTTACATGAATAGACGAACCGCTCTCTTCACCTTCAGTTCCTTCATCTCCATCTTCACCCTCCTCCTCTTCTTCTCCGCACGATTTGGCGATGATCTCGGCATAACTCATATACAGGGGATCCTCTTGGAGAGCGCCCGATCGTTCCGTCATGGCTCCCCTACAAAACGTGGTGACTAACTGGGTTAGGGGATCCGGCTTCCCTTCCTCTTCTACCTCATCCTTTTTCTTCAGTTCTGAGTCTTCAAAACTCTGAGTCAGATCTTCAATCATTACCTCTTGGCCGACATTCTCATCTTGCAGCCAGAAATCCCGGTAGGTACGGATAAATATGTTTATCGCCCGGTGTCTGAGCAAGAAAAAAAGTTGTGATTTTTTTTTATTCGGTGACAAGAGTGTTGAGTTGGGAATTTCTGGGGTTATGGCGACACACCTGCTTAGCTTGTACAACGGCGTGCACCGAAGACATGCCAACGCGGCTCTTTTCCTGGCGGCGTTCAAAACTCTTTGCCATCCATTTTTTCCCGTCTTGGGCTTTGATGCCTTTCGGTTTAAACACAAGTTTGGTTAGTAAACGCACCCGGTTAGACTCAACGTTACAGGGGGAAACAGTTGGCAAACAAGCTAACTAACACACGCAACGAACCTTGGCAGACTGTGCAAAGAAGCTTGGCGGAAGCAAGACAACACCGCACGCTTCCTCTGTGTCGACACCATACATCTATATACACCTTTTTGTTGCTGCTGGGGGTGATCGATCTAACAGGTGCAACGTAAAAGAGAACAAATAAATAAAAAACGAAGAGAGATAATGCAAAAATAATCGAATTTCTACGAGAATCTGAATGTACAAAATGAGATATGCTTCTACTGCAGATTTTGAAGGTCTAAAGCTTCGCGTCGAACTAATTCGGATAAAAAATGGCATCGTATCGAAATCACCGGAATAAAACGATCTAGTAAAGCACGTACCATGTGGAGTCCGAACAACACTTTACTCATGGCGACGATCCTTTCTACGGTCTCCTCGAGCTGAAACTTTCCGTTACTGTCCACCGTGTTCACAGTCACCGTCTTTTTGCTTCCCAATTTGCTGTAGAGGTAGTGCTGCCAAGACATTTCGTCTGCAGGGTCGATTTTATCGGGCAAGGTCAGTTCGGTTTTGGCGAAATCTATAATGTCATATTCCGGCATCTTCTTCAAGAAGCGGTCCTTGCAATGCTGGACGAGCTCCTGTTCCCGACCGGCAAATAGATTGAGACCCACCGGGAGAAGACGTTTCAAACAGGCGACCATCAGAGACGCTTGAATTTCTTTATCCTTGTCGCGCTTCTTGTCACGATGCTTTTTCTTTTTCTAAAAGATGATTTCGGATGCCCGGCCTGGTGTGAAAAGTATTAATTTTTATACTTTGCCTACTGAAGGCTGACTACCGTCAGGAACAACCGTTCTCCTGGTGGCAGTAGGCATGATTAATACCATGTTGTCGATCTCGTTGGCGGATATAAAGTTTTGTTCCTCACGTAAAAAGTACTGCGACTTGGACCAGATGTTGAAGATCTCCGCCACGTGATTGTACAAGTCTTCCGCTTCCGCTATATTGTGCCTCAACCAATGATTTCGCTGTAGGTCTACGTATTTGATCAGAAGAGGATAGAACGAATATATGTCTCTCACTAACAGATGCCAGTCTTCTTGTATTTGAGTCTCGATCTACAATGGAAAACATCACGGTACCTCTTATTTAGTTCTGTATTAATCGGGTCTACCTGCGAAGTATCGTCTGTCGAACTTTTAATGAAGCCCCTCAAGCTTTCCTCTTTGTGGAACATCGCTTCGGTTCTCTTCTTCACCCTTTCCGCCAGCGGTAAAAAGGGATCTTTCAACAATTCCTCGCTGCTGTTTATAATAATTTGCTGCGTGTACGCCGCAATTCGTGTCATCCATGGAGCAGATTCGTTGCCGATATTTTTCTTAATCAACTTCAGAACGTTCTTAAGGAGTTGGTTCATGTGCTCAGCCGTAACCATAGAAACGTAAGTACTGCAAGCAGGAATGTCCAAATGTTGTATCCAATCTGAAGCCTATTAAGGCTTAACTGACTGAAAATACGCACCCTCCAGTGGGACTGACATTATCCGGACCCTGCGACCACCAGAATGGGAGATAAGAGCACAACATGGGCATGGTAACGTCTATAATATGAGGCGCGTCTGAATATGTTTTGTCGCTTTCCACAAAGTGGTCGACCTCCGATAGAATCGCCTCCAGGGTAGGCATAGAAGCTTCCATTCTCGCCATTATGTCCTGCGCTTCTAGTGAATGATCGGCGATTCTATTGAGTAAAGAAAATGGATTGTTTTTGTTTAGATGTGGTTCCAAAAAAGCTACGGGGAACGTGGAGCTGAAAGCACCTAGGCAAGAACCCAACGCCGGCTTGTACTTCTCCATTTCCGTTTTCAAGTATTTCCTATCGTGGTGAAGGGTGGGATCGGTACCGAGATGGTACAGCGACTGGAGGATTTTGTACGAAGCTACTTGTATCTCGTCCACTAAAACATGATGAGTTGTGGCAACCGGCAGCTTTAATTGAGAGCTTTAACTTACATAGAAGATCGCTTCCGTATTCGCAGTACGCCAAATGGTCAAACATGGCGGTCAGTACCGGCAAAACGACAGAGTTTATGTAAAATAACGACGTTGACGTCTTCAAATGGGTTCCTCTGAGGTGACTGTATCGACCCTAAAATGTAACCGGATGTTTGGGGAATCACCCAAGCGAAAATGGACTTACGTCTTGCAGATTTATTATGGTGTGCCCCAAATCGTCTGCCGTGTTGTTGAAGAACGTCAACATCGAAGTTCTGATGAATTCCGGACAGTTTTTCACTAGAGATTTAGCATCGATGCCCTTCACCAAGACTTGAAGGCACCGGACGGTAATCCTCACATCAGCCCCGAAGGCAGAGAACCTAGATCTCAAAAGATTGGCCAGTTTGCAGAACAGAGCGGCTACCATTTCTTTCTCCTTAAGGCTGGCCGCTCCAGTATTGTTGGTGGCTGTCGCCACCGCTATGAAATAATTCCTATGGGTGGAAAAGTACTTTTCCATAAGGGGCAGTACGACTTTGGAGAAGAACTTTATGTCCCTCGAAGATTTTATGTACGAGTTTCTCCTGCTGAACGTCTGCGACGGTTTCAGGATTTTCATGTTGATAGTAGCGCGGTCCAGGTATTGAATGAGTTTTTCCAGTAAGCTGTAGGCGAAACGAAGTTCAACCGAAGGACCTGCAGTGGCCTGCTCGTTTTCCTGTTGACCGCCCCGGTTCGGCCTGTGAAGTTTGTAACCTTGATACTGCAAGTACTTCAGAAACTCCTGGGATCTCTCTCTGTCTTTTTTCTTTTCCTTGTCCGTGAGCAGATCGTAAGGAACTAGTTGGGGATGTATTCCACCCCCGCATGTGTTCAATTCTTCTTTCTTCTTTTTAGCCCAAATGTCGTGCGCGTTCTCAGCCAATCGTTCAGCCATGTTCTGCATTTCTCTGGAGAGCGTCAAGTTGGTCATATCGACTGGGTGTGGGTTGTAATCGAACGCACTTGATCCCTCACCGGGACGGTAGGAGGAACTCCTGTTAGTAGATGGTAGGTCGACCTCGATGTGCTCCACAGACCAGCCGAGAGCTAGTAGAGCCTTTAGAGACTCCCTAACCGGTTCTTTGTATCGTTCTCTCTCGTAGTCGTTTAGCATGGAATACGGTTTGAGTCTGGGATGACTTTTGTTACCTTCCCAGCCGGAATATTGATCCCCATGTCTCCAACCGTTTTCTAATTTGCGGGACGCCCATGCGTCGTGGTAATGCTCTGAAAACTGCTGGACGATATTATTCAAATCATTGTTCAACTGCACTGATGATGTATTGATAGGCTGGGGGTCGTATGGTCCGTCTGGTCCCGTAACAGACGCCTTGTTGGTGTACCATTCGTCGTCGTAGTTTTTAGACAAGGAATAGTCGGGCGGCAGCGCACAGCCAATAGCCGTCAGGCATGGAAGGGCTTTGCCAAAGAGTTCCGGATCGTAATCCATCTTGCTCAAAGAATCAAATATGTTTGAGAAGAGCATCATAGTTAACCTTTTTTCCTCGTCGCTAGACGACCCGTAAATCCCCTGACCTGAACTGGAACCATAATATTTCGCGCATCTGTCGTAGTGCAAAGTTAGCAGCCTCAGCGCTACGGTCGTGTATTCTGACAGATTCGAGACGTCAACGGTTAGCTTCCTCAACAACTTTAGCAGCATTGATGGCTGTAATTGACTGGTTAGAGCGACCAGGAAATCCGAGACAGCCTCTCTTTGACCCTTCGTCAGCATTCTATTTTTCGAGAGTCTGTAGACCGTGTGGAGGGTCGCGTCGAGTAGAGAGGCGTAGTTTTCCGCTTCGCTATAGTAATTGCTGTGTTTAATGAGCAAGGGGAGAATGGAGTTGCCTATGTAACGGTTCATGCTAAGGGCCATGTCAGATTCACTACCGTCATTCTGAAAATTTGACACAAGTGGGGATAGAATCCCCCACTCATAGCATAATTCAAACTTACTCTATCCAACATGGTGGCGCAGCGTAGGTCCGGCAAGAAAGCTTCTTCAAGAAGCCTGTAAAACAAATCTTGAGTTTCAATCCCGTACACCCTCTCGAGGAACAGGACGACCGACTGCTTGTGGGGCGGAGTCAAACCGGACGGCATATCCGATTTGGGTCTTTCTTCGCCTGCTGCCGGGTTGTGAAGCGTAAACTTTAAGCTCAGTACGCCTTGCAGGTCTTCCAAGGGCACCAGAGACCTCAGGATGGCTCTGGCCCTCAAAGATTCATTTTTGCCCTTGAATAAGAACCAATGTTTCAATCATCCATACACCCCATTCAAGTAGCAAAAAATACCAATGCAATTACGGCGCCGTCTGGGGCGCATCTTCCTAAAAGATCGACCAGGGTGCAATAGAAGTTCAAAATGGCTGCACCGGTGTCGATGTAGTCCTCATCATCATCACTTTCAGGAAGCGGATGCGTAAATTGTGCCAGGTTTACAGTGCCTTCCGCTTCGTCCATCAATTTCCTGCGATCCGTGAGCCTATCGGACATCTATAAACAAAAATGATGTAAGAAAGTGAAGTGTAAGAGATCGGGTTTTACCTTATTCGCGTCGACTATTGCTTTCAGGAGTCCCTCGCCCTCACCTCTTAACGCGGGTCCCAAACATTCTGGTCTTCGAATCAGCAATCTTATCACCAGGTTTGCGTTTTCTTCTACGCTTTCCCCATTCACCCATACGCAAAATCTCAAAAAGTCTAAATACCTCTCGCCCTCTACCGGATCCCATCCCAAATCTGGATAGCCTTTCTCCACGAGTTCGGTATTCGACTGCAACCCGCAACGAGATAAATAGATGGCGATCTTTTCCAAGTAGTGCTCTCGTAGAGCCAAAGCAAGTTCAGTGTTTTCCATGAGGGAGGAGTAAGCAACGTCCAAGGGAGTCGATCCCCTCAAACTTGGCCGAGATAATAGAATGTTGCTGTTATCCAGTAAAAAATCGAAATGTTCGAACATGGCCTTTTGGTTTTGTCGTCCGGTTCGGCAAAAGTAGCACAGAAATCTGCAACAAGCTACCACCATCTCGTGTGAGGTGTCCTGGAAACTTAGAATTAATACAATCCCTTAATTGTAATAGCTCTAACCTTTTCCTTGGCCACAACTTCGCCTTCTGGGTTCTGCGCTTGAGCACTGACGTCGGATTGCGCTTGAGACCTTCGGCCAAGGGTGTTTATCATGACCGCCATAACATTTTCATGAATCCTCAACACGCGAATTAAATCAGGGTGCTGGAAGAAAGTGTGATTGTTCACCAACTTCCACAATCGTTCTCTCATCAGTTCCTCTTCCTCCTGGGACATCTGCACGGGCAAAAGAGCTCGAATCTGGCTCAAACCTACCCACATCTCCGCCACATCAATCTTGGTTTTTGCGTTTATTATGTAGGTCTTTTCCAAAGCCCTGATGAGTTCGCCCACAGAGTCATATTGCCTTACCAATAAGCTATGACGGTCCACTGGTTAAGAAAATGGGGGATCAACATTTATTTAACTCACCTAAACATCTCTTGAACCAATTTAGATGTCTCGATCTGTGCTTCCTCCGCCCACCTCACTATGGTACTTATCAAAACTTTTCTGAACACTTCCTCAGGCGTTTTCTTTTCTGGTTCTTGCTCCGCTTTAGGTTCTTCCTCTAGTTCTTTCACGGCATTGATGAAATTATAAAGTTTTTTTAATGGACCTGTTTTGGCTGCACCGTCGGAATTTTCATCTTCTTCAGGCGCTTGCAACGCCTGAAGAGAGACGTGAGACATGAGCTGATCGTGAAAATTGTTCATTCGCTCGCATAGATCGTCGCCGAGTGGGCAGTTTTCCTTCTCTTCCTCTTCCAGGTTTTTGAAACCTAAAATAAGTTCTCATCGAAGCATCGTTAACTGATATTGCATGGAGAAAGATAAGAGTAGGGGTTAGTCAAAAGGTAAACATTATGTGTGTGTTCGCTAGTTTGGTTGAAAGGGCCTTTGATAGGATTTGGTGCTCTCTACAAAAGCTCGAAAAAAAGCAGCCTAGAAAAAAAAAACAAATAGGTTTCCAAAGCCAACTGGTCACTAAAGTAAATTAAAATTAGCAAACCACCGATAATTTTTTACTTACAGTCTTTAGTTATGGAAACCCGTTGTCAATAAGAGAAAGAAAGCTGAAATGTTCACCTTGAAACTGCTATATTTTTATAAATAAAATTAGCGAAATACCATTTGCAAAAACTAGTTCTAAAATCCCTTCCAAATGGAAGAATACTACTATACAAACTAATCATATCTACCTCAGCAAGTGTACTAAGAAGCTGGTCAACTTCAGCTCTTCGGTGTTTATTTTGTAGTGGAAGGGAAAGTGTTAACAAATTAATAAATATTAAAACGAACATTTTTATTAGTGATTTGTTAACATGCATCGTTAACTGTTTTTAAAATCTAAATCAGCTGTTATCAGTAGTTATACTAACAAGATTCTGTGACAAATTTGAAGCGTTTCATAATCAGGTCCATATTTCGTTTCGTTTGCATGCAATGGTGTATTCAATTAGTAAACTCAACTGTAATTTGTGAACAAATCGTTTCATATAAACGAAAATGAAATCGTACTAATAGTTTCTGAAAAGCGGAAAACATCCCATCAAAGCAAAATACAGGGTGACAGATGTTGAACGAATACTTTCTATACGTCAGAAATTTTGAAATTCCTGGCGAGTCTATAGGCCGATGTATTTGGTGCACTACGTCTCTTAGCGCGTCATACCAAAGCGAAATGCACACAACCAGCCATTGAAAATGGTATTCGAAACACTTCCAACAATCCAATTAGTGTTATGGTAAACATTTTTATGTCATTCAGAGATTCAACAGATAATTGCAAGCGACATTTTGATTAATACGTCACCGTACGTGGTTGGCCAATTTTTGAATACGTACCTTCCGTTTTGAACTTACACAGAATTGCGTTCATTTGTTCGCGCGGCGGACATCTGAACTCTTTAGTCTTTTTGGCCGCTATTGCTGACGGCAAATCCGACTGTTTAATCTCTATGTACCTACGGAGCTGGTCCGTTTGCAGTTCGCCAACAAAATCGTGGCTAAACGCTATTATAGATTCGACCCTGTGCCTCAGCTGGATGTCGCAGAGGTGATGCAACAGGTAACACATTTGCAGTTTGGCGCCTTCCGCCATTTTCATTTGCAGTAGCCCTTTCCGGTGCTCGTCTTTGCCGTCCTTTTCGAAAGTGGGATCCCACGTTTCCGGGCAAATCATAATTAGCAGTTTCTCAACGTCTTCGTCGGACAGCATTCCGACTAGCAGGAGTCTATCTACCAGTTTCAGCAATGGTCTGAAACCAAATTTTAATGAGATAGTAGCAAAAGCTGAAGGTCACCCATATAACTTTTCAAGGTACATTTAATATATTCAAGTGTCAAATCCTAATTTCATTATTGTCCCGTCTAGCAAGTAGATAAAAGTGTCTGTTAACTTCTCATTTGTTTATTATCCCTCTCCCTCTGTTATTCAATCCATCTCTCATTCCTAAGGTGGTCTCTTGGAGTATTTGGAAAGCTTGATAGTTCTAGTTCGTGCTGAGTTTTGTTACTCCTGTACTTTTCTGTCACTGTATACACATGAATAAAAAATTACTTACAAAAACAAATTCTCGTTAGACCCGCCGACCGGATCTCGATTGTGCACCTGATTGATTTCGACCGATTCCGCCAGAGCCATCATCACGTAGTCTCGAACGATGTCCAGCGGGAAGAATGGTGAATAGAGGCTCTTGATATTCTCTATGTTCTCACTGCAATGAAATGATCTTATGTTTACACTGTCCACGTTCAACAAGACACTAACCTTATGTCGGACGTCTTCATCTGGGGCACCACAGACTCTGTTTTTAATTTCCTCAAACTGTGGCCCATGTCCGAGTCCTCGTATAAGTCTTTGAGGTCCTGACCGATCGGGATGACGTATTCGTTTTTACATACCTCCCTGAAAAAAAAATCAACGGCTACTCAAACGAACTCCTGTCTGTTAATAATACGATTACATTGTGGTGGCCGTTGCTTCCAAATGGAGCGATATGAGCAAGTCGTAGAAGCCTTGCCTCAATGGGCCGCTCATGTATTCCGATCGGATCGCGTATAATAGTTGTTTCTGGTCAACGTGTTTACACAACACGTGCGCAGCTTTGTAATTGCTTTGGTAGCAAAGCGCTGCGTAAAGTGTCAAAGTGTGCGCGTGAAAACTGAGCAGTTTGTCCATTTCGATCAGCTCCAATATATCGATGCAACGGTCTTCTTCGGGCACGTGGAGCGCGAGCATCGAAATGGGATCTTCGCACAGCATCGACCAACCTCTGATGTCGGATAATTTGAGCGCGTGAATTTGGAGGTTTTGATTGGGTACCTGAAAATTGGAAATAAAAATTGGTTATCCGGCTCGAAGGACCGTATTGATCATATAAATGCTCGATTTGGAAGCGGCATTTTAACTAAAATATATGGTTTTGAAATATAAGTATAAAACTTTACCCTAGCCCATTGATGAGGTTTCAAGCACTGCACTTTCAGTCTCGGAGGAAATTGCGGTATAACGTGCTTGGCACTGTTTTGGAGTACGGCAGCCGACAAAGGCAGTGTGGTAGACGTGCGACCTAATTCGATTTGCATGATTTCTTTGCTCGTCGCTTCTACGAATATGGCCGGGAATAGCTTGGTTTCCGGTTCCATCTGGAAAGGTTTTACTCGATTATTGGATTTATCTCGTAGGATCTAACGTCCACCTTGAATCTATGAGGTGTCGGTTTGCCGTCGCAAGTGAATGTTATGACTCCGGTCGCGGTATCCAGAAAACATCCAATAAACATCCCCTGGGAAGCTCCCTTGCCGGAAGCGTCTTGGGTAACCTGGTTGTAAAGTTCGTCTGCACGCACCATGTAGCACGACTGGCGATTAATGCTTGAAAAAATTTGTTTTGAAATGTATACAAATCTAAAGTTGTACAATGTAACAGGAAACTGGCCGATTATTGTTAGGTTGAAGATTTTTCAGTTGTTTAGTTCTTTTTTTATAAAATTTTAAATTTCATTGTATACCATGATGATGCAAAATCTATCTCTGATCCTTCCAGGTATCGGGTCATTTACAACTGAAAATAATCAACAGGCCGATATAAATTCTTGCTAAGGTAGTACCGTATTCGGTGGTCGTTTTATTAATCAAACACTCTAAATACTACGAAATACCATCTTCCTAAGCAGTTACATTATTTGAAAAGGTTTTGGAAATAATTAAAATCTGGCTCGAAGGCCTGTAGTTCGAAAACATAAATGAAATTCGACAGCAATGAATTACTGATTTTCCGTATTGAAATGAAAGTCCAGGTTTGTCGAGCTACGTTTTTTACCTATCAATAACGCGGTTATACTCGTCGCAAACCACCACCGATGCTTTTAACACGTTATCCTGATTGAAGTCCTTGGTGTGGAGATGATACTGGGTGGTCACCCATCCGACGTAACAATGGGTCGGATCCTGACCGGGGAATATACGGACCCCGTAGAAATACTCATTAATCAGTTTGAAACACTCGGCATCAAATATCTCGTTGCCTACAGATTCGACGTCTGACGTTTGGGGGACGGAGAGTTGCTTTTGCTGGCGCTCCGCCGTTTGGGGCACCTGGAGTGTATCCCCCTAAAAAAAGTTTCATCATTATAGTTCTCCATTTTTCGTAATGTAGTTCACCTGAGGCTGTTTGATGGTGGGGTTTCGAGTTAGCATGGCGTTCGAAAGACCCACCGATCTGGCGCTTGGACTTAAACCTGCGTTGCCGCCGATACGCCCGGCTACCTCAGGGGTTCTTGCTTTTTTTATGGTCTTCCGTTCAGCACTCGTCGTTTCACCTCGTTTTTTCGAAAAAAATCTACGAATTTTTTTCTATAAAAACGTCGTTGTGCTCTTTTTTGCTATATTTTTTATGAACCCTTTCTACCAGAAGAAACCCCAAAAAAATGTTTGTCGCTTAAGTGTTTTGAAACACAATTTGGTTCAAACTTGCGTGAGTTTGTTTGGATAGGAATAGTAACGAGGTCTTTTACCTAAAAGGCGACCTCCCGCGTTTCTTCTTATCCTCAGCTTTGTCGAGATTTTGAGGAGCGACGTCGTTATATCTGCTCATATCCATCTCGCTTGTCGAACGGTGGACAGATCGTGATCCATTCATATGTAGATCTGGAATTGATTTTAACGGTTTAATCTCAAAATCGCGGTTTCGTGCTACTTACAATTTTCATCGAAACCGTTCACATTGGGGTTTCTGGAAAGAGACCCTTTTCTGGGAGGCCTCGACGGTTGAGCCTTCGCCGAAGACGTGACCCGCGTCACATGCTGTTGATGTTGCTGCTTCATCGCTTCATCTGATTCCACCGCATCTTCCGAGTAATTTCGGTGCAAACCTGCGAAATTATCAATTTGTTGGTCGGTCTTGTAAAAACTGTGTGCCACCTGGATTTAATTATTTAACAAAAGGGGCGTGGTTGATGTTATAGTGGCTTATAGATGAGTATGGTAGGTTTTATTGGTAGACAATTCAAAAAAGGCATAATTTTTAGAAGAAACTCAAACCCCAATAGTATATTGGTGTTATACACTGTGTCATAAGAAGCCTGGCTATTAATTTAGATGTTTCTTAGATATGCTACTTTCTTTGACACAGTTAAAAATGAGAATGTGCAATAGATTTGGTCAAAAAGCAGTCGCTGCGTTTACCTTTAATGTCGCTCATCGAGAAACCACTTTTCATAATGTTCTCGATATGAGCCGGATTGACGAGTTGGTTTTCTACATCCGCCTTTAGACGGTGCTGTCGGATTTTGATTTCGCTCCATCGTCGCATTTTCTCCTCTTCACTAAAACATTTATGAGTTGGTATCATTGCATAACGCTCCCGAATATTTCTTACGTAATGAATGTCGTGTGGCAAATGACAGGCAAACTGAGCCTCAGGAATTCCCAGTTCGCTTTTTCCATGGTCTCGAAAGTGTTGTGGCTGATTTTAAGACAAGGTGGACTATCAGAACCCGCTAGAATTCTAGTAACGTCGATTTTTGTATCCGGCATGTCGTCCGTGTTCTCGAATATGGGTTGATCTTTGGTGTACCAGTACGTCACAGCTCGGTTCATATTTCTATACATGAACGGTTTTAACGCGCCAGATTTGTAGGTAAGCGGGTGGTGGTACTTACACGCAAAACGGTTCGTATCCTTCCTGCAAGCCGCACATGGTGAAATATTTGAGCTGATTGACGTCTTGGCCGAAAGACAGGCGGGCTTTTTGTCCTACACCTAACGTGAATGCCGGCACGAAATTGTCACCTTGGACATCGGCAAAGGTAGTTTCGCCACCAAGGGCATCCATTAAGAGCTCACCGTTAAGGGAAAAACCTATACGATTAATGTAATCAGTTAAACTAGCTGACCACAATAGTGGAAAGTAAGCTCAAAAAAGTGCATAAAATGACAATTGAAACGCCCATTTTTTAAAAATTATGCCGCGTGTCAGAAAAATGTATTTGACAAGCCGTAACTTATAGAGTATCATAACGAAATTTGGTCTATCTAGTTTGAAAATATTTTTCTCTTCCGGTCACCCTAGTCATTTCACAGAAACCGAATTCATAGTTACTTTGAATTTGTAACGCTGCAGGCATAACTTAAATTGAAGATATTATGGAAATATATTTTTTCTACTCCAGTCTGTAAAATACCTAATTACCCACCGATCTAGCGTGCGGAAAGCATCACTTTACCACGTCAGTTTCGTTTCCCACGAATCCTAGTCACTTCGGACATTTCCGGGATTTTACCGCACGGGCTTAGGAACAATCGGATATTTTCGGAGATTTTACCGCCCGGTTTGAATTTTGACGTTTGTCAATTCTGACGGTCATGTGAAAATGTACCCAAAAACTGAAGGTCGCAGAAAAAGTGTAGTATGCAACACGTTCCCTAAACTTTTTAAGACAATCGTTTATTAAACACGTGCTCCGCTCGTGTCAAATAAATTCGTGAGTCAAATGCCGTTTACCGCACTTGTTGCATAATATGCTAATTCCAGTTACATTTTGGTATTAGACAACAGAATTGTCTCAGAAATTCCATTAAAATATTTGAAACCGGAGTTATTTTGGGTAAAACCGGAAGTGACAGAAGAATTTTGAAAATTGTAAAAACTAAATACTCTAGAAATTACAGTTTGTCCGATAAATCAAAGCATTTAATTATACTTCTTTTTCTAATTTTTGCCGATAAAGAAGGGAGGGGCGAAACTTGCCTAGGAAGAGAATGTATAGTATGTCCAATGGTAATTCGCTGTTTACCTGGAGAGATTGGGCGTTATTGGGTTATTTTTCTAATTAATTTTTTAATTCATTTCATAGATCTTTTCAAAACTTTTAAGGTTCAAAGGTGAAAATTATTTGGCGTATATTCTTCCTTAAAATTAGAATTAAACCAGTTGCTAAAATATCTATCTGAATTAAAGGGTCTAAGTGAATTAGCATACTTCCAATATTTTCAAAAATTATTGTGTGTCAACAAAGTTTGTAAATTCCCAACGGCCTGTCATTTAGACCACACTTCAGTACAACAAGGAATGAGGTTTTGGGGTTTAGTAATGTTTTCGACATGATTAGATTAGTATCTCAAAATCTCTAATATAAAAGTAACCCAATATTTGGACTGGCCAACAGCGAATTTGGAATTGAATTGAAATATTTGTGGAAAATTTAAATTAGCAACAAGCTGTTATTTTGTTTATTTTTTAAAACATTTTTTTAAAGGTAATACTAAAGGTATGAGTCGATGAAAAGCAGTGAGGAATAAGTTTTTTTGTTTTTTAAGTAATTCACAGTTACTTTGATCCTTTATAACGCTGAGAGCACAACTTCTCATTCTCCCGTCTCGGTTCCAAGAACTCGTTCGTACGAAGAGTATCGAGCGAGATCAAAGAAGCTGAAATACATCTTCAATTTTTATTGCGGCCGTTAGGAACTACTTGACCACGAAATTACCCCACTTCACTTTTCACCGTATAGACAAAAAAAATATTTGAGCGATATTTAGTTACTGATTTTCCTCCACACTAAACCAAACCAAAACTAAAGCTAACACAAGCTGAGCGCAGAATCGGTACTACAAGAGAAGCTAGTTAGTTAGCGGCATTCGGCGCAAGCGGGCGAAGCTTGCTTACTTATCGTATGATCGATTAGATCAAGGAATACGCCAACTACGTCTCCGACTTGCCACTGCTTCCCGAACGATTCGGCTGAGTTACTATATACTTTTTCCTCCTAAGAAATACACAATTATTCACATGGAATACTAGGCTTTAGGTTCGGAGGTGAGAAAATCCGCGTTTGGGTTAGTTTTCCTGTTTTATCCGGACGTACAGACATGCTCAGGGACGACACAGCGTTTGAACTTACTAATGGTAGAGTCTATTATATCAATGAAACACCCAATTACATCCCCGGCGTGATAGCGGGACAGGCCAAAGAGTTCGCATACTCCCCCATGCCATTTTCTTAACTAGACGTCCAGAAATAAAGCATTAATTCGACCAGGTACTCATTGAATATACAAGGTGTCTGCGCTACCCGACGACAAGAGCAAAAAAAGTCGTAGTACGTCTTAGCAAGCATAGAAAATCTTTTGGGTTTGCTGTTTCCAGATCCCATGATATTCAAAGTAACTATTGTATCGTATGGTACTTGTAGTCTAGTTCTAGTTCTAGTTTCATTTATAGTTAAGAATAAGCGGTAGTAAAATTGCCATTTTATTATGTATTTGATCGTCCTAAAGGAAGAAACTATTTTAATATATTAGTGGTGTAGGTTTAGTGCGAAAGTTTTAAAAGTTTTATTTTCAGTCAGTACCTTAATATTTAGTTATCAGTTACGAAAAGAGTCAGAAATATGATCGTTTCAATTTCGATATTTGATTTGTAGCTGGCAGATATTCATTCCTGCTGTTTCCTAACAAAGAAAACAGTTCGTTGATAAAGTCTAGGTCTAAAATATTAGGACCGTCATTTATGTTTCTTGTATCTATGTACCTTGAGTTCGTCCCTATCAAACTATTCTTTGATACTTACGTTATACCCGTCAAAGGCCCAAGTGTTTTCATCGGACCCCAACATGGATCCGGGCGCGCAATCGGCCTTGGCCCAACCAACCCTCATTGGCCCGGCAGTAAGAATCTCAAATTCGAAATACCATTTTCCGGAACCGACTGCGTAGTTTTTCTCCGCCCTGTACGTCCTAAAATCCTGATGACGCGCCCTACTCGCTTCCGCTAACAAGGTTTCCTGTTGTTCCCCCGTAGGGGGATCGATGATGTAGCCATAAACGAGCAGAGTTCGTACAGTTTCTGATGCAGTGTCTCGATTCGCCTTTTTAATAGCGTCGTCTACTTTCAGGTACGGCACTAGGTGGGGGCTTCTCAACATTTCGGCATCCTGCACAGGAAAAAATGAAGAAACTGATGGGAAAAATGCAAAAGTAGCTAGGCGTACCTCATTCAAGCCGTAAGTCCACGCTTGCTGAATACGTTCCTTCGCCCACAAATTGTGGGTGTTCTCAGCCAGTTGGTCCACCAGTTCTTCCAGTTTTGGTGTCAGAGTGATAGCGCTCAAATCCAGCGGAGCTGGTTTGTAGCCGTTGGCTTGCATGAACGGCTCGTTCGGCAGTCTTATCGTTTTTATTCGGGATGGGGGCTTGTCCATTGTAATATAATAACCCAGAGCTATGATTGTTCTAAAAGTTAAGAATTGATAGTTAGGGTACAACACATGATTGGGTGAACTTGGAACTGAAGATGATACTATAGTAGAAGTAAAATGATAGAAGCTTGTTCGTGCTGGGAAAGTGAATTCATTAAAAAAAATGTTGAGTGGTTGAAAATCTTTTAGACATATGCCGTATATAAATTTAATTTTCCTATAATTGTCTAAGCCCTATTTTTTATTACTTTAAAGTTTGCACTGCTAGTTGAGCGTCGTATTTCTTCTCTGCTGCTGGCAGTTTATCGTAGGGTACCAGACAAGGATGGACGTGCCTCATGTCGTCTCGATACTCGCCCCATTGCCACCCGGCTTCGATTTTATTCATGGCCCACATTTCGTGGATGTTTTCCGCCAATTTGTCGCGAATGGATTCGATATAGCTGGGCAGCGTCACCATCGAAGTATCGACCGGATTGGGTACGAAAGCGGTATCGTCTTCGATAAACAAAGGTCCAGCGATAACGTTCTTGTTCATGTTACCAAAATAAAAGCAGGGATCTAAGTTCAGCACTTGTTGTGGCAACAAACTCTCCACTAGGGGGGAGAAGTCTTCGGGCGGGGCGAATTTCAGTTTGCCGTGGTCGCCTCCCAACAAAAATCGACAGCTAAAAGAAATAAAGTTCTTATGAGCAATGTAATGCAGTTAAATGCGCAAATAATTTGAAAGTGATACATGTAGTATTGTAAAGCAGGAGGACATTGGCTAAGATTCAGGACAATTCAAAACTTCCCAAAAAAATGGGGCTTAGAACGCGCACTGCTATACTACTCAGCTATATGTTAGCGCGGTTTTAAAAATAACAGACTTTACCTTAGTTTAGAGGAACAACTAATCACGGGGAAGAACATTCCATCTAAATTGAAGTTTCGGAAAGTGCCCCGTATCGGTATTCCATTGAATGTGAAGAATATCTGAGGAATTGTCAGATCCAATGCGCAGCCAATGACGTCATCTAGAAATAACCATTAACGATTATTAGTACCGAATCACATGGTGAAATATTTTCGAACTTACTCTTCCTGATGTAAGGTTCCACTGTTCCACCGACTACTTCAGTGGCTCTGCCCCCAGTCCACAGATAAGCACCATCGAATCCAAACGAGTACAAGTCGTCTCCTACCCCGTTCCCACCCCACTTCTCGCCTCCTCCGGGATAAGGTACGTAACCCTTAGAATTGGCCCACCCTATTCTCAAATGAGGCATCATGTGGGTGGTCTGTTCGAGATGATCGACGGTAACTTCGAAATACCATTTCTGGTAAATGGCGCTGCCATCAACCCTTCCGACGAAGATGTTGGGCCTGACGCTGCAAATTCAAGACAACTTCGATACACTCGAATGGACTTTGCCATTTAGTAAAATACCTTGCCACATGGTCGACCAATTGAGTTTGTAGCAAGAGATTTTTGCCAGGCAACAAAAAGTCGCAAATGTTATTTTGGGAGCTTCGTACCGCGACGCCGTTGCCCACGCATAGCGAGCATAGTACGTCCAACACTTTGGGATCTCTACCGTGTTTTTCGAGAAGAGAAATGATTACTTTAATGTGTTCGTCCTGAAACCTGATCGTGAGTATATACGAGTCAACAAAATCGAACGTCTTACCCTCATCATGTTTAGCGCTTCTGGGGAATCTATAAGAACACAGTGGAGCACGTCCAACATGCCCGTACCTTCGCTGGACGCCTGAGAACCCAGCCGAGAAAACAGCCAATTTAACCGATTAGAATTTGCAAACTGGGCACAATTTGTGTGGTTTCCTTTGATAATCGCAGCTGAAAAATGTTCTTGAATAGAAAAGAACTAATTTTTTTATCTATAGCTACCAAGGAGCTGGTAGAGGTACGCCGATATCATCTCCCAACTCTGATCGCCAGCCAAGGCCGCCAAGAAACCTTGAGACGTGATAACGTTGATTTTGTCTATGGCTTCGAGGATCAAGTTGAGGATGCCCTCTTCTTGGAATAGATCCTGACGATTCCTCAACGCACGCAGGCGGTTTTGTTTCTCTTCGTGTTCTATAAATCCGCGGAACGAATTATCTCCACTATTGGTAAATAGGTATAGATACCTACCCATATCGTCTTCGGGTTGGGCGAAGTAATTAATCAAATCCTCCAAACACATGACCATCTCGTTTAAACGGACCACCTGGAAAAACATCGAATGACGCCTGTTTACTTGGAGCCCCTCCAATCCACTAAAACACAAATATTAATTTCTTATGAAACCAACTCATTTCACCGCCATACTTTATGAACTGAGTGAACAGCGAGCTACATTTGCGTATCACCCTCGCTGTTCGCGACTCTTCTTCCTGACTCCTGCTGAAGTCTAAACCGTCGTCCATTTTACCCTCCTCGTGGAGCACCGCTTGCTTTTCTTCCACCTTGCCCACCCCTTTCTTCTTGGTCTCGTACGCTTTGTAAGATAACCAAAGGCCCGACTCGGAGTGCTGCACAATCACTGTAGAGTCGCCGTATTTAATGATGGGTGATCCTATCACTTCCAGGTCTTTATCCTCCAGGACTACTTTCTGATCATCTTTTTCGTGGCGAAGACAGAACGCAGTTATAGCGGTGGTCGCTTCCTCTCTGCTGACGAGGTAAAGCTCGTTGTTCTCGTTGACGGCCAGGTATCGACCGGTGGTAATATGTCTTATCCTCATCGGGTGGCTCCAATTTATGAAACCACCTGCCCATTTCGTGCGCGCAAGTTCTAATCTCCATAAGGACCGAGCTTGCGACATTACGCTACCGCCTTCGTAAATTACAATGCTAAAATGTTATCAATTAACGTTTAAGTATAGGGAATGATTAAGAGTAGTACTTGTGCGATTCTTCTGTGCTCCACGTGGAAGGTATGGTGAGGCACTCATCACCGCCGTGGAAAAACCTAAGAACGTCACCTCCAAAAACGAAACCGACATATTTCATGCGTGATATGCCGGTGCCGTAGGGTTGCACGGACCAGTGGGTAACGTGAAAGCTAGCGTTGACTATGGACAATTCATTTTCTTTTGTGGTGTGCTGAAACACGCGCAGGTCGTATCTCCGGGTTGTCAGTTTTAGTTCGAATCTTACCAAGTAACGTTCTGTTGCTACTGACACCAAAATTAGATCGTCTCCTACACGAACTTTCTCACCCTCGGATCTGAAATATATTTCGTTAGTGTTTTCGCTGGTTCTTCGTTAAATGGAGGGTTACCTTTGTTTACTAGCTGGGTGCACCGTCCACCAGCAAGCTTCACCTTGACTATGTTCTTGCAAACCGACATCGAAAGCCAGTTTGTCGTTGCTGGAGCTCGTCGATAAACACGCGAGGTACTAATAAAATAGTTGGAAAACTCAAATGAAATGATATCATTTGCGATAATGATTTTTTTTCTGATTTAGTAGGATATTAGTACCTGTTATGGATCAGCTCAAAATAAATGTAATATATGCCAAAAAAATTGCAACAGCTATTGACTTGCTTTTTGAAGTAGTACCGCTTTATATATATATATATATATATATATATATATATATATATATATATATATATATATATATATATATATATATATCAATTATCAATCAATCAATTATTTTGATATTTTTGAAAAAGACCGAATATACCGGTCGAAACGTTACATAAATTTAATATGAACTAGAAACTTTCTTCTTTTGTTTTACGCAACGCACCATACGGTGTACGGTAAAATTCTTGGTTTTTAGGTAAGATTTAACACAAACAAAACAAAAAACTAGTGTTTACTTAAAACGCAATGATTTTTACTTTGACGTTTTGGCCATGTCAATCGCCTTTCTCAAAAAGTTTTTGGACATAATGCACTGCCAACAAAATAACGATCCTTCAATAACTAAAATTTGTTTCAAAATTAGGATATAAAAATAAATTTTCTTGCCTTGAACGTGAATATCTAGGTGCAAAGATGTTCATATCTAAATCTTTAAACAAATTTTAGTTATAAAAAGATCATTATTTTGTTTTCCCAAGATAATATATTCTTTTATTTACTGACTGTTGCAATTTCCGTGTCACACTGTATGTAACATAGAACTTTAACTACTTACCATATCGCTATTTTGGTGCCTAAGCAGTATAGCATTGCCGTACAGCAAAGTCCTGTGGCCGGAACCCGTTCCCTTCCCCTACAATATCGACTCGACTTTTATTTCATTACACAGTCACTGAATTCCAGTATATGGTATTGATATTAAACTAGATATACTACTGCAGCGAGACTCAGTGTTAGGGATCTACTGCAATGTAAATGTTATAAAAGGCCATAACAAAAGTGTCCATAGTGATAAAACATAGCTCTTTGCCTAAACACCCGGTATAAATTTTTACTGAAAGCAAAGAATGTGTGAAAATAATGCGCTGTTATTGGTATTAATTGATAGGTGACATTCGAGTTGGACTTTTGTTTTAGGCGTGTTGTGATTGAGCGACATTGTTTTGCTACCAAAGGGGATGTGATTAGACTAAATACTTGCTGGGCTTCCTACCGTGCAAATACCGAAGAGTGGATTTAAAACACAGCTTAGTTTTGTTTCAAATTCGGATACATTCACGGCTAACCAAAATAGGAGGAAATAATATTATCATCTTTTGGAGGAAACAGAAAATTATTATAGGCCTACAGGAATATGTCGATGCCATCGAAACATGAAGAAATGTTTCCAAATATAATATATATTTTTTAATTTTTCAAAAAAACTTCCACATGCTATACATTATACTTTTCATAAAACTTCTGGATTCCTCCTGCGTCGGTTTTTGTTGAGTCGAACTAGCTAACGTTTCGCCAATCATCCTGTTGGCTTCTTCAGAGCTTTATTGAAACTGGTCAGTCAAGCTCTGAAGAAGCCAATAGGATGATTGGCGAAACGTTAGATAGTTCGACTCAACAAAAACCGACGCAGGAGGAATCCAGAAGTTTTATACAAAATTTAATAATTATTCTAGCTTTACAAACAGCTGTTAAACCACCGCAATTTTAATATTTCGGATATGACAATTACGACAATTAATGACATAAGTATGTTCGTCGTTTTTAAGATACAATATGTCTCGCTAATTTGTATGTATGTAATTTTTCTTTATTATCTCTCTGTATCCCGAAAACCTCCGACTAGCAGATACTGTTTACAAGAACTATGTGACAGCAAGGTTTCTGAAGTCTTTTTAGCTATTTATTGCTATTCGTAAAAAAGGTATTATATTCTATTTTATTAAAAAAATATAGATCACTCTTTTTCATTTGCAGGCAGTTTTGATTAAGCGCATTCCGAAAGCAAAGCAAGCAAGGGCGGTCTGCACTGGAAATGGCAATATTAATGATTATTATTATTGCATGTATTCGGTGAGCATGAATGAATCTTCCGCGAGAATCGAGAGAAACAATGTAAACTGCCCTAATGGTTATAATAACCGTTTTCGCTTTACTCAGCCAATTACATTCAGAAAAAGTTCTGTCAGATTAACAGAAGGTTAAATATAAGAAGCCTACATTGAAACTGGGTTAGTTTATCTGTGAAAATTTTGGTCCCGAACACGGTTACTTACTAAGTTGTCCGAATCCTGAAAAGCAAAAAATTAGCCACATGAAACAGAGGTCAAGATGAGAGCGATTAAAACAAAACTGTAGGTGAGATAAGTAACGAAAACGCAAAACGGGATGGTATAATTCCAAAATGTCTTCCAGAATTATGACCTTTTATAAGAGAGAATCAAGTATTATCGATTATCTTGAAATATTGTTAAAGTGTTACTCTATCGGACTGCTCTGAGGTCTGGGTCAGATCTAGAACGGTGATTTCGACCTCTCAAACAATTGTTTTTGCTGCCAATTCCTTAATTATTGCTTAATATTAGAGTGACGTCATATATCGGAGAACTCATCCGCTTTCAAAACAAACCTCTTCCTTACTAAACCTGGCGCCGACCTCAGATTACGTCATACCTTTAGGTATATACTTGTCCTAAATGGACAATGTACTCACAGTTTCGTTACCGGCAGCTGTGACTAGTTCTTGCAGGGCACGAACAGAGAGTGCCTGTTCTATAACGAAAACACACTGCGAAAGGTCCGGTGGGATATTCTGAAACAGCAATTTATATTTTTCCAAAGGTCTTTAGGGAGGGAGCTTACGCGAGTACCTTGTCGGCGATATTTTCCAGAAAGCAATGCCTGTTTCCGAACCCTTCAGCAGCGAGACAGACGCGTTCCCCAGTCGCCGTACAAGAAAGACATACCATGTCTTCCTAAAAACGAGAAATATTGGCCCTTTAACCTATGGTGACTTTGAGCATTTACTATGTTCTTTAGTTTCAAGTATCAAGTCTTTTTAAAAGCTTCTTTTACTATTATTTTATCTTAGTCTTATATATTCTAAGGTTGTGTGGGGGTGGGGTGGGGGTGTCTTTGCCTTCCCTTGTACCTGGATTATCAGCCTAATAATTTGACATTGAAGTTTCTTGCATGTTAAGATCTAGTCTATTAGATAGGGTAGGTAAAAGAAAAAAAAAAGATCTATAAATATTCATATTTTTTAATTTATTTTAATATTTTTTTCTGCTTCTTACCTTTTGTTAATGTTCATTCCAATTTTTTTTTTTTAATTATTTTGACGCTTCTAGTGTCTTAGCTTTTCAGTTTTATACCACTAGAGGCGGACATCTCAGTCTTCTGGTTTGACCTTAATCGAAAATTTTCTTTTTTGAAATTTCTTGTATTCAAACATCCAGCCTAGTGGAAAGCTGGTGAGCAAAATACTGATTTTGCTAATTTTAATGGCTCTTTTTTTTATTTATTTTTTATTTTTATTTATATAAATTCCTCCAATCTAACAATTTGAATATTTACATACATAAATACAGTGCTAATGTTAATGTAAGCTTCTCTTAATATTCTTTGGACTATTTTTTATGGTTCTTGTGGGATTAAAATTCACGTTTTTAATAAGAAGTTTTTTTCCTTCTCAATGCTAAAGTTTGAACTTGAACTCAAAAAAGCTTCTTTTCTGAAATTTTTTGTACCTAGGAAAAAATATTGATGTATAAATATTTTATTTACAATAATATTCTTTTGCAAATATATTCTTATTTTATATTTGTAATGGTAATCTTGCTTAGTTTCATAATTTTGTCTGAAAACAATTTATTTGATTTATTGTGTTCGAACGCCATTAAGTTAATTATCTTGAGTTCCCAGAAGAGTGGACAAGAAAGAATATCTAAATCAACATTGGCAACCGGTGCTTCTTTTTTGATTTTCCTCGTACCTAAATTTACTGAGCTGCCAAAACATGTATGCTACTACACTGTCTCAACTACCTAATGCTAAAATGAATTTTTAGATTTCTGAGGGTCGTAACAGGTGGCAACGAAACCTTTGACACCGTGAAATTTATCGAATTACATCAAATTCAAAGTCCGGGGCTCTTCGACGACACTGATCTTTAAACTTACCGTTCGTAGGAATGACACGTCATCCTGTTCGGAACCCCCTTCGGCCTCCGCCACCATCTCGGGGGTTTATCGCAGCCTGGAATTACGAAACCATCGTCAAATCGTGAAAAACTGATGATGATAACCTTCGATTTTGCATTAAACCAAGATGCGACATCGCGCGGCCGAAAAGTCACTAGAGTGCGTTGCGGAACTTTGAAAGTATTGATCTACGCGAAGTTTAGCATCGGTGGGAAAACAAAGATGGACAATTTCTTCGTGAAACTTCCAGCGGATTCGAATTATATGCACCCCAGACGCACGAAATCACATCTTCATGAACGTTGGTGATCGATATGTTGGCATGTGAATTAGGCGTGTGAAAATTACCTTTTAAAAGCGGCTTTTCGCATGAAAAATATGTCCACGCGTGCTGCGGCAGAATTTCAAATGCTGCCGCACGGAGAGTCCTATTTTTGTTGATAGCTAAGTTCGGTATTTTTAGAAATCAGCCGAAATAAAATTAGAAATATAGCGGACGCGGTGGCGTACCTGATTTGCGTTTATTTTTTATTTTTTTGACTCCCGGTTTTTTTTTACGTTACCCACTTAGGTCAACTTTTTTCCGCCATATACTGGATCGTAGACGTCACGTTCGGGCTTGTTTCGCAAAAAATGCGAGAGGAAACTCAAGGAAAAAATGCGATTATTTGAAAGACTGCTAAATTTTCATTTTTTTAAATGGTTTTCTTAAAATTTCTGCCGGTTATGTTCGACGCGCGTCGCAGAGGCGTAGACTAAACGGCAAGAGTCCAAATTCGTAGCTATTTTTATCGAATTAGGTAACCCGATGGTAAAAATACCCAGGACGTATGTGCAGTTTCCTGTAGCGAACTGAATCAAGTTTTGAGGATTCGGTACCTCGGTACCTTCGACAAGTACGAAAAGAAAAAAAAATGGAATAAATGAAGATGGAAAGAGCGCCTTTAGAAAAATCATACACTCGTTTTAGTTAAAAAATAGAAAAAAAGTAATGAAAAAGGATTATTTCATTCCATTCAATGGAAAGCTTTGCAAGAAATGAATTTTCGATATGAAAGTACTCATTTTTAATAGAGAATTAGAGAATTTCAATCAAAACGGACTTAGCAAATGTCGCTCCTGGCCTGCCACTAAAAAAAATCCAAATAAACACTAACGTCTTCTTCAACAAGAAATTGTGATCTTCATTATTAAGATTTTCGCTCATTGTATATTTATTATAACTATTTCTTAACATATGTTTTTGAATTGTTAATAGTAGAATCATATATAATCACTTTTACTATAAAATCATGTAAGAGAGGAAATTTTCATTATATATAAATTAAAATCTTGTAAGTGTAAAATGTATATCGAATATGTATAATAGAAATCTGGCGCATTCGTCATTTAATTAAGTTATGTTTGTCTTTGGTAGGTTGTAAATTAGCTGTAGCTCGTAACACTGACTTAAAATCATACAAATGGGGTTATAGCACGCCATAACACCATTTTTAAAATGAGGGACGTTGAAACCCTCTTGTAAGGGGGGATAAAGAGAGCGTAGGTGCTTCCAAACATGTGCTTGAAAAATAAGAAACACTCATGGGAAACTGATAACATGCTAAAAAACATTGTAGAGTCCTGAGTCCTGAGTCCTTCCTTTCGACTCTAACAACTATGGTTCGTCAGACTACTAGCAGCATGATGATTAAAATTTACAAATGAAATTGTAAATATTAGATTTTTTTAGATGATAAAATTTATTAAAATTTATCCACTTGACCTTAGAAGAATTATCCTATATTTTCTAATAAACAATTTGTAGCAACTCAGCTGTTACAATTTCATTCCTAAACTCTTCTTTCCATTCCATGCAAATTCATATTTAAGAATTCGAGGTGTGTAGGTGTTAAAAACTTTAATAATGCCCGTCATTTCAGATTTATATTTTATTATTCTCTCGCATTTAAAAAACTGGGTATAGCTATAATTTTTAACAGGAAAAGCTTACAACAATTTTTACTAACTTTGCGCACGAACGGAGCAACTGTTTAATCAACGAGTGTCTAAAGCAGTTAATAAACGTGGTTGAGCCTGAAATAACAGGATCAACTGAACAGATAGTCTCACAGGCTTCATTAATTGAGCCTCAGAATAGATCATCTTCAATCATCACAGTGCGTTCATCTGAACCTGAAAATAGAGCAATTGCTAACACTCAATCACCAGTGTCTTCCCAAAATATTGCGATGCAAGCAGTAAGTACCCCGCCTAGATCTTCTCCAATAGAAATCAATCAAGACTTACAAGACCAAGCGTCTCTTCTCATGCAGCTGCTATTTGTACGGTCCACAAATAGACAATCTTTATTCTCGCCTGAAGCATTATGGTCCTTCCCCAAAGCTCCTCCTAGGAAATTAGGAACAAGAAACAAGAAAAACAAAAAAATCTGCGATCTACACAGCTACTTCTGAAAAGGAAGCAGTAAGAAAAGAATACAAAGAACGACAGAAACGGTTGGTTGGTTGGTCTAGAATCATACCCATCACGTCGATCTCGAGAGAGCTGGATACAATGGCAAGGAGGATGTACATTATGGTCTCACGAAGCTTGTACGGATGGGAATATATATTACATATGCAATATCTGCAGTAAATCTGATTAAGATCAAGAAAAACATATTTTTGATGATTTTAGTTTTGAATTTCTGGTTTTTGTCATTACTAGTATTTAGTATTGTTGGTTGGTTTAGTGATAGTGATTAGAACCATAGGAAAATATTTTGTTTATTTCTGAGATGTATCTATGTTTATTTCTAAAAAACTCTAAGCAATGAGTCTGATTTAGTTTAAGGAACAAATGATAATATTTTTAATTTTAAGTTGAGTGAGACTTTTTTATTTTTGATACGTAAAGAAGGTTTAAAGATTATTTTTATAAGAAATATATTAATTTTGTTGAATATTAATAATTCATGTTTAGCTCTAAGAACATTCTCAGACTGAAAATTTGCCTAAAGTCTTGTGATACTATCTAGTAAGAATCTTGGGAAATATCTCTGAAAACATCCGATTGCTCCCAAATCCGTCCGGTAAAATCTCGGAAATGTCCGAAACGAAACTGAAGTGGTAAAGTGACGCTTCCCGCACGCTAGGTCCATGGGTAATTAGGTATTTTACAGACGAGAGTACAAAAACTAATTTGCATATGCACCTTGTCTTAAGTTTGGTTTGAAGGTAAATGACAAGGCTTCCATCTAAAATTGTTTAATCGTAGTTTAAAGCCATAGCACCTGTGTTAAGGGCTATTATGTGGAAATTGTTACAACCGTACCCAGTCTACCCTAAATTCTGTCTTTAAAAAAGCTGTGTCTAGTTTCGAATAGGGAATAGAAAAAGCTATTTTTAATTTTTATTACCGGGGATTGTCATTTAACTAATTTTTTTTTTTGAATCCCAATAATCTTTCAATATTCATTACGCCGCTGGAAATGAGTGAAATTTCAGAAAAAAATATTCATCAATGAGTGGAATCAACTAAAAAACGGCGTAGGTAATTTTTACGGAGATTGCAGATGGCAGTAATAAAAACAATTGTAACTTTTTTGTACCCACTTTTCTCAACCGTTTCACGCAAAAAATATATGCTGTTAATGTTGTAGGGGTGAAAAGGAAGTAAGTTCTTTAAATATATGCAGTTAACGTACAATTATGTTGGCTTCTTCAGTTCAAAAAGTAGAGAAATCTAATATTGTTTTTCATTTGGACACTCTATATAGGCTATTATCAACATTTGGACTAAACTAAGTCTTCAATACTTCTGTAAATTATGCGACACCCCGTACAAACGGATTATTTTGGGATAGTTCTAATAAAAAAATAATAAATAAAAATATAGCTATGATGTCCTGTAGGAAGTTAGAAAATCAAAATTTTATGCAAATCTTGGATTTAAGGATACATCGGAAAATGTGCATTAATAAAAGTCTCTTATTATTATACAAAATAAATAAAAATGGGGTAGCTTCCAAAAGGTTGGAGTAAAAATTAAAACACAATCGGATATCTACAATTCTTTATTGCTAGAAATAAATATAAAAGCGCGTACTTTTGCTTTTTTTGAACTCAACTACAACTACGTACATTTATTGTATCACAATCGTTAACGCATTTCGAAAAATTATTTCCACCGTGGCTTCGCAGTTGTAGTCGTAGGCGCCGTTTTCATTTTGAGCGTTTTAGTTCCATCGGTGGTGCTAGAAACCGATTTCAGTTTCGATCGCATCGGAAGCTGTGTTCCGTCCGTTGTTGACATTCGACCGTTACTTTTGGTAATCCGATTCCTAGTAGCATTGCTGGTAGAGCATTGTTTTGTGTCGATCGAGGGTGCTACTTTGGAGTCCTTTGACTTGGACTTCGGACTTAGTACGCTCTTGAATTCTTTTAAACATTGACTGATTTCCTCGTCTTTTTTGTTTAGGCAATGGTGGTGACCTCTGTGAGTGTTGACAGTGAAGTAAAATTTTCGCGTCATAGTGCAAATCAATAGAGGTTTGCTGGCGCTTCCGCCCTGATAGGTAGCTAAACTAACGACATCTTCTTGGTTGCCGAAATCTTGAATATTTTCGGTGAGCTGAGATACAAAATTTGATGGCTGACCTACAACCATAAAGATACTATTAGTCAGAATAAACGTCTAAATTTGTTCCTTCTGCAGATGAAAGATCATGCTGACCCAACAAGATAGATTATTTTTTAAACATTTAAACGTATTAATATTTTAAGCATTTAGAAAGAGTACTACTGATATTTGACTCGACTTGTTCTAAACATTACATACCGGTTTATGTCTTTACTTACCGTAATTCGATGTTTCGTGGATAATTAAAATGTCAGCTTCCGCCGGTGTGTCATATGCAGATTCGAAAGTGATTTTGGACATTTTCGCATCAGCCGTTATTGAAGAACTCATCATCTATTGTCAGAATCAAATTAGGTAAAACATTGTTAGTGTCGTGGATAATGTATTACCTGAAACATAAATATCTTAGGTTTATCTTTTAGAGCCGGACACGTTAATCTGGTGAAGGAACACCACATCTTTGTCATTTGATGATCACTTAGACGAACTTTGGAACAAACCACGATCAACCCATCTTTTCCGGATGCCTCTTCCTGAACTAAAATTAAAAGTCGTTATTGAACCAGAGTTAGCACGTATACTTTACGTAGGTTACAAATAAATGATTGGTACTAAAGTACAATTTGCGAATATGAAATAGTAAGCAAATAGTATAAGTCTAAGAAAGTCTAAGAAATAAAATTAAAAGACGTTTGGTCAGTTTTGGTTATTTAAAAATATAAAATTTATTGAAATCTTAGTTAATAAGAGGACATACATAGGTTCAAAAAAGATTTAGTTTTTTTTTTATTTACTGGTTTATTTGGCCCTGCATCACAGGTAATTTGTCCAGCTTACAAATATTAGTAAATATAATTCAAAATTACTAAAAGATGCCTTCGTAAAGAAACGGCCTGGACTATTCCATCATCCTCCAGGTTGATTAACATATTCATACAGTGGGAAAACTTATAAGTAATTAGTCATCCGATGCCATCTGGCCTAGATATGGTCTGTTCATAGATATAAGAAAGTGACCAATTGCTTCTGAATGGGATTATCCAAGGGTGGTCATTAACATACAATGCAACAAGATTATTATCTAAAGTTTGGGAATTTAAATTCAGGTAAAATTGTTTCCGGTAACAGAAAATACTTTTATACCTACCTGTGTTTAATATTCTTTGGTTTGGTATACTACTTAGTTTAAGCTTATTAGTAATCATTCTTATTTCGTATGTAATACAGCATGTGTTGAATCGTGTGCGAATTATCCAAAATATGTGCGAGTCTAGTGTATCTCAGGAGATGCTCCTGCCCAAATGTAGAAAACACTATTCTATTGAGACTAAGGAAGTTATAAACAATGTTTATTTGACTCTCATTGAACGTGATGCCAGCAAGCAAGCATCTTTAGAAGAAACGGCCATATTGACGAAAATTCCAACATCAACTGTATGGAAAATTGTGAATAATCCATTTCAGCGAGGAAAAAAAGAAGCAATGCTGCCAAGATATAATACGGCGTAAAATTTACCAGTTATACGAGGAACAAAGCTATAACACAAACAACACAACAATAACTATTTGGCATGCTGGCTCTAAAGATGGTTAGATTCCAAATGGACTTTCTCTGTCTGCGAAAAATATTAAAGATTCTTCTCTGGATTACCATGAAGATACCACCGCTGATTTATTATAAAAGTTGCTTTAAAAACAAACTAGTTCCAAACATTCCTCTTGATAGCGTCATTGTAATGGACAATGCAAGTTATCAAGTAGACAGTTGACTAAAACCCTTTCCTCATGTGACACAAAAGCAACAATCTAAAGCTACATGTATAATAACGACATTTATTTTCACGAAGATTATACCAAAAAGCAATTAATTGAGATTCTGCAAAGCTTGAACCTACAAAAGAAATACGTCTTCTAAATAAGGCTTCTTTCTACCTTACCACTGTATATTTAATCCCATTGAACATGTTTTTCCCCGTGTTAACTCCAATGTCCTCAAACTTAGAGAAACCGAAGTTTTTTAACATCTCTGCACAAAGTTGGGCAAATTCTGTTAAACATATAGAAAAAGCAGAACAATCGTGTATCCATATGGCAAATAATATAGAACAAATAATAATTAAAACAGGCGATGATAGCGATCGTGATACTGATATATTATGTTAATAAATTTAAGTAATTTAAGTAGGTAATAAAAATAATGTATAATTTTATTTTAGGTTTAAACATAAATACATACATAAATAAATAAATATTGTTTTAACATCTTTCCTAGCAAAACCCCAAATAATTAAATTCTTAGCAAAGTACGGACCTGTTCGGCCATATTTCATTCTTACAGCTTGCCCGGGTCTTTCCTTAATTCGTATCAATTAGTCACTTTCTTATATCTATGAACATACTTTACCACCGTGAATATAAGACATCAGGAAACCGAGAAATATATCATACAAATCGATAGACATCCACACAAAACAAGCACTAATTCATTAAATTATAGGCACTACACCTCTAACAATGCAATTAAAGATGTACTGAAGAAAATTTTCTAAAACAACAAAATTTTTCCATTGATTTTTAACTTTTTTGGAACCGTTTCTTTGCATCCAAGATTTAGGTTAAGTTGTCAATAAAGAAATGCAGTTGAATTTTATTACTTTTCAGAGCAATACTTGCCGTGGCATTTACAGAAGAACAGAGTTAAACATTTTATTCCAAACGTTTTGAGATATTTTTCTGGAATGATATGTCATTACAATTACACCTGTATATTAGGGATAAAAACGGTAAGAGTAAAATGTTGTGTTTAGCCATCTTGAAGTGAGGGATTTTTTTTTGTTTTAGAATTTATACTAAAAAGAACGAATATATTTTACTGTATTTTCTGGATAGAACAAACAAAAAACTACGAGATTTTCGCGAAATTGCAATAGCAGTTTACTGATAAGATAAAGCCCAACTTACGAAGCCGATATTTAAGCGATAAGTTTGAAATACATTGTTCGGTTATTCCCAGACCTTTTCGTCACTTAGATATAGAAGTATTGCATGCATGCATATCAGATGTTATTAGAAATCCCATAAATAAAAGGGCATTTTATTTCGAGACAATTTATAATAAACGCATCACAAAAAAATTCAAATTCAGGATTACTGATTATTATTAGATGATTCAAAAATTCAATAATTCTGGTTTACTTAAATCGGCAATAAACACACAGAAAACATAAAACGCAAGCGGTTGCGGAAGAAAATTTAATCATCAATGATTCACCACCGACTAAGGTATGAATAATTCCTACGAACTGTGAAAACCATCCACCACGTTTTACCACTGCCGCCACCAAATTTTAGGCCTTCGATCATTTGTACAGACCAATTTTCATAAATCAATTCGCACTAATCTGAAGGATTGACGTGCTCATTGATGTGTTGGTAAAATTACCAAACTGTTCAAACCTGTTTATGATTTGAGGTTGGAACGAATCTACTAGCTTAAAAACATGTTTTTTTCAGAAAAACAAAAAATACTAATAAATAATTTTTTTTAACCACTGTGTATAGGTAGTTTTTGTGTGGCTTATCGCTTAGATATCGCCTTGTACATTACGCTCCGTTTCATCTTATCTCTAACGAGCATACAACAGTAGACATTGTGGCTGCAGTATAAAAAAACCGGGTGAAATTTTGCCAATCATATCATGCTGTATCTGCCTACAAATTCTGAGCTTACGGCACTTACGCAATTTCAGAAAAGCGCTATCCATTTTTTTTAAATAACTTAGCAAGTAGAAAGAAAAAGGAAATCTTCTACTCTCTCACTGAATATTTTACTAGCAATGTCGTCCAAATCGATATGTATTAAACTTGCAAATTTGTGATATAAAATTGCTGTTCAAATAAAATATGTTTATGACCTTTTACGTTCATGTATACTTTATTTATGCATATGCAATTTCAATTATGGACTAATGAATAAAAATATTTAGGTTACTATCTTTTTTTTACTTTGATAATAGGCACGGAGTTTCTGCTTGCATGGAAAAAAATACTTACTTTTTTTAATATTCTCCTGCCAAACATTTTCATCCGTAAGTTTCGTTATATCGTGGTGTACGTTGATTTTGTTCTGGATGTCGAACCCAAGTCCCTCCAACGTTTTCCGAAAATTCACTGCATCTTCATCTTTCGGACTAAAGAACATGTGCACCAAGATATTAGCGTTGGTTTCTCGCTCGTATTCATCAGGGATAAGTTCAGTGGAAGGTTTCACCTCGATCTCCTCATCATCCGCGTAAGAAGTGCGCCTGGAATTCGCAGCTACTGTAGGATTAGGCATGTCTGCCCTTAAAGAAATGTTCGATCGACTGTGCAGTTAGAAACAAATGCAGCAAACGGCAAATTGAAGTATATAAAATCAGATTAGGACGAATATGACTAAAACACGATAAGATAAATTTGAAGATCGATGTACATTTCGCTATATCTAAAAAATACTATTAGTTGCATGCAAACAAAGGAACCGTGTTATTAACCAATATTTTTTTCAAGATAAAGTTGTTTTACTGCTTATACAAGGTTATTCAAGCTACACGGTTTTAAAAAAGTCCCACTTTCGTCATATGTGGGTCTCTATTATCTTTACGTCATAAATTTAGTTTAATATTATACAGGCTTTCCCAAAAGGACATTTTTAGATTTTAGTTTATGATACGTAAATCTTAAGAATCCTCATCATCATCATCTCCACTCACTATTACATTACTGGCTAAGCTTCTGAACATATATAATTTATTTTTCTGTTATCTACAATCGTTTCGTTGGTTAAGTTCTTTTCTTGTACAATGTTTAACTCTTCTCAAAAATTTCATTTTTCGAGTCTGGAATGTGCATTCTTCTTACTTTGTCGTTGTCCATATCTCACTTCCGTATTCAAGAAATTATATTGAGTGTGGTATTTCCGTCTATAAGGATCCTAGTTTTGTGTCTCGATTTCCATTTTCTTAATAATACCTTACGCCTTTATTTGTTCTTATTTTGTTAGTTTCGGTAAGTTTGGTACGAAAATAGCAGGTGTTTATTACTAATTTTGTTTTTTCGTACAGACAGTGTTTATTAGGTAAGGCGGATCTTTGCTTAAATATAATTTTCCATAGGTTTGCTCTATTTAAAGTATCAAACACTGACGAAGGTATTAAGTTATGTATTCAAATTTGAAGTAAAGTTTAACAATAAACCATATTCCCTATCCTGTAAAAGCATATTAGACACATATTCGAGAATTTCTATTGGCTGTTGGTTTTGTCTCATTTTGCTATAGCGATAATATTTTTGCAATTGTTAAAATTTTCATAAATATTTTTGCGGTGTTTGTCCAAATGGTATAATTTACCCAAAGGGAGAGCATGTTGATATGGTTCTATCCTTTTATGTGTAATCCTTAATGATAATCTGATTGGTTTGTTGTAATTATTGTTCCAGTCAGTTGGTTTTTAAACATTTCACAAATTGTAGAAAATCCCAATACGGCTGAATTCGTAATTAAAAAGACAATGGCAGGGTGAGTTAAAAAATATAGCTTTTTGGTTAAGTGCAACAGATTAGAATACATTTCTGGACACTCTCTATATTTAAAATCCAAGCGTAATATTTTTTTTATTAGCCTTTTGACAATAGCTTGGAAGAGGCACCAAATACCTAGAAGCCAAACCAAACTCGTGACTAAAATGACTTTATCAAACTTGTATCATAATATACCTAATATTTAATATTTGTTCTCAAAAAAAAATATTCATTTTAGAATAAGACAATTTCTTGGGAGCATAAATTTATTGAAATAAAACATTTTCGCACAAATGTTTGTTTGGTTACAAAGTTATTTCTTTCCTTTCTTATTGTGTTTCAAAATATCCAATATCTCGGCGGTATCATTGCCGATCCTGTCCAACCGCTTTTTTATCTGCAGCAACATATCTCTGTCTTTGTTTCGATTGAGGTAAAACTTCTTTGACAAGGTCGAGATGAATATGGGCATCTGCTTTTGGATATCCCTGGATACTTTCTTATTGTAGTTGTAGTAATTCCCCGTCACGCACTTGTTGACGCGTATCAGCATCGTCAAGACATCGTCTCTACGTCCGTATGCTGCGAAATTCTTACACAACTCTTGAATAAACCAGGTTCCTGTTAACGGGTTTCTGAACGACACGTTTCCTATAAAAAAATTACTGTTTTGAAAACGCTGTTCACCGTCCTTCCTATTTTCGATGTATCTTCATGAGAAGTTTCGTTATTATGAAAGAACATAAATTGTATAATCAGATTTTTAATAACTAAACTTATAATATAATAATTTCGAACTGACTCAGTGTTTATTTAAGAGTTTAATTGCCCATGTGTAAAGAATAATTTTTCTAACCGGAAAGTTTATATAAGAATGCTTCTAATTATAATTCTACTCAAGAGTTCCCGCTAATAAACAGTCAAACAGAGAAAGAATATTTAAGGAACTTATTTTGCATTTTTATGTGGCCTGTGTCGACTGTCCACGTTGAGAGAGTACAAGAAAACAAAACAAAACACGCCTTTTGTTACGACGATCGGGAACTCAATGTGGTTTTCTTAGTGTAAAGCAACGGAGTTTAAGGCTTATCAAAGTTATTTCCTTAAAAGTGCTAGCAAGGCCTCCAACTTTGTTTATATGGAGACACTTATCTATATATTAAGCACTAGATCATTAATTTGACTCCATCTTCAAAGTGTCTTGATATTTTTGTCGCAGGACTTCGTGTTCGTTGACAACCTGTCACCGCAAAAGAAATGGTCTAAAAGATTATCTATATATTATTTGTACTTTAAACAAGTTCAACAAATTACAACAAAATAATAATTGTATTTAACGGTATAGCACTTTTACTAGAAGGAGATTAAATTGTTTGCTGTTGACGAAAGTATTTGAGAAGAATAAGGCATAAGAAAATCTTTTACCTTCGTGAGACATGGATTAATGAAGGTTATATAATAGCAAAAATGTGGCAAGGCCAAAATATAAGCAGTTCTCGCCAAGCTTTCATGAAAAACCTGAGAATGTGTATTAAGGTGCTTTTGGAAGAGAAGAAGGATATTAAACCAATTAGCACTGTACAAGTATAAACTGTTCAGTAGCTTTGTCATGTTAGTTATTATGCCTTTTCTGACCTTTGCAATTTTAATTTGATATACATATAAAATGAATGATATACCTTCTATGGTAGCATAAACCACTAGCATGTCCGGACTAAGAAACTCCGAAGTAAATTGACTGATATCGACCAATGGCGACGGCGGTGGTTGCGTCGAAAGTGTAGTGGTCCCACTTATCGTGCTATAGCTGTCTCCTTTGCAAGCCTATATCATAAATTTGAGCAAGGAAGACCCTGACAACTGTAAACTTGATTTACCTGTATTACGAACATCTTTGGCTTGCCGTCAAGTTCTTCACATTTTGCCAACTTCTCCCAAAGCTGACTAATTTTGATCGTTGAGTCACTGGCATGAAGTTCTTCACTGGACTTGCCGTGACTCAAAAAGAAGAGTATTAAGCAATTGCAATTGCTCAAGTGCTCCGAGTCGGCAATAACTGCAAATTTTATTATATAGTAATGTGCGAAAATTTGAGTATAAGGTGACGTCGTAATTTATGGGCCAAAAATATTTTTATCTCACGAAAGAAAATGAAGAAAAGAGTCCCGAGCGATAATTTTTGGAAATACATAACTTCAATAATATTGAGACCACGTTTACAACAATGGAATAACTCATATAACTTCATTTTTTTAAGGAATTTAAATTTATACTAGTCACGAGCTGATAAACAAGATATACGATTACAGTAACCATGTGGCCTAAAATTAAATATTTGAACACTCTGAAAAGATTAAGTGTAGAATGAAGAAAACAATGCAAACCTTCTATTTCGACAAAGCTAGATTTGAGTGGAGACCTTGCGGACACCAGTGGAAATAAAGCACTTAGAATCTCCGCGGATCCAATGAATGCTAAAAATGTTATTCAAGTCAAGATTTTCAGAATTTAGGATTTCTTCTCCAAGATGATTCTTATACTTGTTTGCTAGAAATTATCATTCTTAAGATAGCGCGATTCCGAAAAATGCGTACACCTTTTTTCGAGTGACTTAAATGAAATGCTTTTTGTGCCGAATATTCCTTTCATGCAAATACAAGTGTTTATTGCTAGTGCCATTACGGTCGAAATATTGAACAAAACAATGGAAGTGATGAATCAAGAATCAAGAAACCCGGAAAAGAGAAACCGGAAGAAGTAGGATGCAATGGCTGACCAGCTTGAGAAAGCGGTTTTCCGAAACATTCCAAAAATCATTATCCGTTTCCAGAAAAACAACATACCCTCGTCCAACTTTTTAAAGATTCCTTCCGCAGTATAGTCAGTACAGATGTCGCCTTTTTCAATATTAAAACCCAACCTTTGCATGCAAATGATTAGCTCATTTACATCCCGAACGGATCCTCTTCGATAGTCTAACTCCGAATCTTCAAACACTTCTTGGTTGAATATCAATACCTTGCCAGGTTCGATCCCATTCCTTGGGTATTCCAAATCGTCCAATGAAAAATGTGCTCTCTCTGAGAATCTCTTAATGTATACCGTTTGGGCTGAAAATCATCCCGCTGAAAACTGCTTGAAGGTTAAGCAATTATGACTCACCTCCTGTTGCTGCGTGGGTTCGAGTTGTGTCCGATGGAGCTTCTCTCTGAGAAGACCACGGATAGGTAAAACTCCTACTGTCAACTTCGTTGTTGTGATTTCTCAAGTTCATTGTTTCAAAATTTACACCAAAGAACAGAGAAAAAGGAACAAGATCATTCGATCATGATTCACTTGTTGCTACTAGATAATTTTCGGTTCGATGATGAAAATAAATCCTTTGTTTGCGCTTATCTTATCAAACAATTTTTGAGGAACGATATGTTGCGATAGCAATCTAATCCGCGCAAAATAAATTCTCCCGACAGCACCGGTGAATTACAAAAATTGGCGATAACTAATCGTGCCAAATAAATAAATGAAATCAAAAAAATACCCAGCACAATCGAATTTTATTGGATACTACGTTTTATAGGATAAAAATCTATTTGAAGTGTTGGTCACGTTTTGATGGGGAACGATTATAGTCATACAAATAAATTATAGAAACATAAGTACAGCGAAACAGAAATGATGCAGGAAACCTTCTAATTTTGATCTTAATCTTTTGATCGATGATTAGTTTTTGTTATGCTATGCTAAGTTTGCTAAGCCTTTTGTTTCTATTTACTTTTTATTGCTTAGACAACGTTTAGGATTTTAATATTTCCAACTGCAAAAAGTCGTTTGGCTGATTCACAGACTGAAAATAAATCGTTTCACTGAAACTGAACGTTTGTGCAACTTTTCGGACTAATTGGAGAAAGAATTTACAATAGAATCAGATGTTCACTGTATGAAATGTAGTGGGTCGTTCGAGCTCAGACAGAGAAATTAGAGCGCGTTGTAATTTTTCTGAAAAGACAATTTTGATGACAAATGCACCCTTGCCAAATCAGTTGCCATGTATTATATGTATACCTATAAAAATTAAAATAGCATTCATATGTATTACATTTTTTATTTGAACAAATTTCAAATGTCTGGAAAGGATGTCTTTATAGTTACAAGCAGATTTTAATCAACACCTAGAAGACATTGACAACGTCTTGTTTGTCCCTTTCTCGTCGTCTTCTTTCTACATAGGTAAGGTTTCTCAAGAAGCGGACCATTTTCAATACTCTTTTTTATTATATCACAATGTCTCATAGCCACTGACCAGTAACAAAACAATTCAAAAAAACCGTCCCGGAAATCAGTTGAAATGGCAAAAACGTCCAAAAACCAAAATCGAACGGCAGTTGGAGTTCAATAATAAAAGTAAAAACAAGTGTTTCGATTTAATAAGTTCAATACAAGAAAAATTAATGCATCAAAAATATGTAAGGTAAAAAAATATTACATGCTCAATATGAAGAAATGCATGTTAAGGCGCACTCTACCGGCAAGAAATCAAACCGAACTAAATCTGCAACGAAACTTAATAAGATCCCGCCGCGTCGCAGGATCCGTTCCGATTTCCTGCTACCAGATGGCCAATCGTCGTCGGCTCGTCGTCGCGGTTTGTAGCAACGATTCGACGCGGACTTCATGCGCACAGCTGAGAGCTCTGGCTGGGTCGTCGCGCTCGCTGCTCCATCTTGAGTAGAATATAGCTTGTGTACGGTGCGAGTGTATTTAGTGCGATCAAAAATCCGATGTTTATATTTTGAAGTGGACGAAATTATATCAAGAAATGTCTTCGAACAACCAGAAGCTTTCGACCACCCAACGTATGATACAAGGTCAGTGTCGGGCACCTATTAGCTAGTGTACCTGCCGACACCGCAGGATTGATTTTCTAGGCGCCATGACTATCGATTACACGCTTAATGTGACAGTTTTACGCGAAAAAAAAATGCGGTCCTTTCGAATCGGGTGTCTCGTGTGCCTCGGTCATCGGGTCGGTTTTTGTCGCAACCTCTCCCTCCACCGAGGCCGAAACGCCAGAGAGGCCCGCCGACCTGTCAGTCGGTCGCTGCGACTGACATCGTGCCCGATTTTGGTCCGCTTGACCGGTCCAATGTTTATATCGTGCACCATCGGTGCGGGTTACCTTCTTGCTAATGAACAGGTGTTGGCTTCCGCCGTTTCTTTTGCTTTGCGATGCCGTCATGCGACGAGTTAATTCGCTCGGAAATCGTACCTAGAAGGCGCGGGCCATTTAGATTTTTGAATCTCCGCGGAGGTGTGGATATAAATACGTTCTGGCTATTTTTACCCAACAACGAATAATGTCGAGATACGGCCGAAATAATCGTCTCGGTTCTCGAAATAAAACCTCGCTGCCCGAGGTATATGGGCGTCCGATTTGCACGAGAAAAAAAGAGTTTGTTTATGTGTACTTGCACCGGGTTCAAGGTCGTTTTTTTTTTCGATGCGGTGTGGGAGGACGGGGGAGCAAAATTTGTAAAATGTATATACATATAGCCATTGTGTTTAGCGAACGTCCTCTCGAAACGGTCGCACATGCGCGTTGTTTTTTTTTTCGCGTTTGCTGTTTCGCCGACTAGGATCCTACGAAGCGGGGGGCGACCTAACCTCAAATCAATTCCTAATTGTGACCCGCTCGACCACAACAAGCGATACGTCGACGTTATCGTACGTCTTGGCATACAATTTGCAAAAGCTCGCGGGAAAGCGACAATGACGGGGCAACTTGCACTAACGTGAAGTTATATAACTGGATGAGCAAGGCCCAACGAACCCATCCCTGAAGTCGGAATAACTAGGAAACAACTAAATTTCAGTAACGGACTAAGAAGTTTTTTGCACGGTCCACATTTTCACACAAATAAACCAAATTTTAATTTAAGATCTATTGTCATTTGTTGACTTCCCTAGAAAATTTTTGAATAGGCCGATAGCTAACAAAGGTTAAGGCGGGGTTTGTCGAATAATGTATTTTTTACCTTTGCGTATTTCATCGTAAATTTAAAAAAATAGGGTGACACTAAAGTTGCAGAAGTTCTAATGGCAGACAGAATAAGTTTCTTAAAGTAAAACAATTCCAGCAAAATCAAATTCGTTCGAAAATGCATAAGGAAAATACAGAAAGCAGATATAAGAGAACTTTGAAATAAAGACAATGTTCCATGTTTTTCTCTATATTTTCTTTTCAGGCAATCAAAGCAAATGAGATATTAGCTAACATTGTTGAACTAACGCTGATATGGCTCGCAGAATTCACGAAGTACATTTCTGAAAGTGCTAAACCCTTGGCTAACCCATTCCAGGGGTCCTCTTTGTCTGATTCCAATCATTTGTAGTAATCCTCAGGTGCCAATCCAAAATTGGTACACCAGTTTTCACAAATCCAAAAGATTTTACAGATTTCACGCAGGATTGCACGGATTTCCGATGTCTCAATTTCTGCATTCCGTTGTAATAAAAAAATAAACAATAAACTTTTTTTATTAATAGTTAAATAAGCTAATAGAAAAATAAATCGATAAAGTTTCCAAACTTATATAAAATTTTGTTCATAGAAAAAGGCGTGTTTATCACATTTATTAAGCATTTTCATAAATATTAATATAGCTTGATAATAAAAATTATAATTAATCCGTAAATTATTTCCTGATCGGTAGAGTATTTTGAAGTTAAAATGTGTTTTGTAATTTATCAAATAATCTATTTTTGCCTAAACCTATTTGGATCGTAAATTTAAAGAAGGGGTGCCAGTAAAGTTGCTAAAGTACTTTTTCATATATATCCTTTGTGTAATATTTATCCGCCTCTTATTCTTATTTCTCCTTGATGGAAAGTGCGCAAAACTCCAACAAAATTATAGAAATATAGATTTCATGGCTTTCAGAGCTGGTACCGTAAACTTCACCCGTAATTTTTAGGTACTTTCAAGCCAAAAACTGGTTTCTTGCATATCTTTGAGACAATTTTGAAGTTGGATTCAGTTGAGTCAGTGTTAGATTGCCGAAATCAAGCACCTCAATTTAGATATCCAATATAATTTATTCACATATGGGCTTTACAGGAAGAGAAATTGGTATATACAAAAATACGGGTTAATGTCCCTTTAACCTAAATTTACGTGTTACCTAGCTGGAGGTTGCCCATAAAAATGTTGGTGGGAACTGCTAAATTGTCGCCTCGGTGTCGAGATACAGGCTGTTAAGTCAAAAATTTTTAATAATTGTTTGCATTTATTTAACTAGCCATTTCTTATTCACAATAAGCAATATTTAACGCTCACATCTGCTGAAAAGATCTCTGCGGTTTGCGGTCGAACTAAATATCCGTTCATGTGATGTGTGTGTCACTGATGATATTAAGGGCCGACCTGTAGGCACTTGTTATCCGTGGGTTAAACGCACGCACTCTACCGAGTGGGTCAAATTTTCGAAAAAAATGTTTTACGATAATGTGCACACCATTCGTAGAAAACGGTTTTAGTTGGCGTACTGACTTTTTTTTCTGTAAATATATTAATTTCGGTAAATAAATTTTCCCATACGAGGAAAAGTGACTGTTATTCCACCATTCCTTTAAAATCTCTTTCGTTTTTAACCAGCGTTGGGCAAACTTTTATTTTTATTAAAAAAATTGAAAAATCATTGATTGAAGAATATGTATTTGTCGTTTTTTTCGTAGCTATTACAAAATATTTTAAAGCCACTATTTTTCCCGGTGTCGAATTTAGTTGGTGGTTTGGCAAAGAAGTAGAACTAGTGGAAAATAGGGCATTAGGTGAAAGCATTTAATTGGCTGGAAGAAAAAAAAATAGCCTATGGTATCATACTTCGGGAAAACCTCATAGTTCACAATATTTGAATGAAGTTTGTGACCTAATTTCTTCATGTAAATCACAATATGACAGATAACGCAGTAAATATGGTCCTCATGAGAAAAACTTTGGAGGAAAAAACTCAAAAGTTAGAAGTTATGGGTACTCTGCGCGATAACCATTTAGCTAGAGCGAAATTCAGTCAAACAGGAGGCAAGTAATGTGCGATGGAATAGCGTTGCTGATTGTTCAAAGATGTACACCGTATAAAAATTGAGGTTATGTATTTTCTTTCATATTCTGATTGCTCCATATAAAATTGTGTTGTTGCACTACTAATCCAAAAAAATTGAGAAGTAATATCGCGTCCTTGTTATTTAAAAAATATCTAAAATTGTCAACAGGTGACCTAATGTGGGCAGCTTTAAATTCAACAAGAATTTATCCGGGTGTTATCTTAAACCTCGAATATCTCAAAAAGTAAGAAAAATTTACATATAAGATAAATTACAAACTTACCTTGTTTTTTGTCCTAGAATTAATATCTGAATAAAAATATAGGGTGTTCCATTTGAAAATCTTGAGATTTTGCTAATTAAATTCGCCAAAACGGCACCGCCTATTTGGAACATCCTGTATAAGCGGAGTCGCATCTGTCAAGCTAATTGAGTAGTGCATCATCTCCTCAATTTCTGCCTAAACTATGCAAAATTCAAATAGGGATTTTTCAAGAAAGCGACCATTATTTTAACCAAGGACACTTTTGGGACACCCTGTATCAACAAAATTATTATTTTAAATCTTCAGAAGAGTCCAAGAAACTTTTGTACGAAAGGTTTTTTCGTATCTCCTGGGGGTTTCCAGATCGTATAGTGGGCCGTTTTATTTGGAACACAGTGTACGTCACTCAGTGGGATATATTATTAAAAATATGCGAAGAAAGCAAAAACCAAATTGATTCAACCAAAAGGTGTCAAATATTGGGGTTAAACATGCAGCACAGCAATATTTAAGCATTTTAAAACTAGTTGCTCTTGATATTTTGCAGAGAAAAAGCCCTACTGTCTCAGATGCTATAGAGCATGGAAACATGTACAATATATCTTCGAGAATGTTGTAGAATTACCTTTATCAAAATATGCAAAAAATTCTGATCAATATCATTTTGTAAATAATAAAAAACGTAAATCACAAGATCACAAAGATATAAGGGACAGAATGGGAATAGAAAACGGGGGAAAATTAGTTTTTTTTTTCAAACCATATAACGAAAATGCAGAAGCATAAAGTGTATATTATTATGTTTTTTGTCTTATTTTTATTTGTGATAATATTTTTACGTTGTGCTTTTTGTGTTGGTCTCAATAAGAAAAGATTCAAAAAAATAGAAGTTTGATTTAAATTATGATTTTAAATAAAAAAAATCAAAAATCATTAAAATCAGCTCAACCCTGTTTTTAACGGAAGTATTTTATTAAAATTTGAATTAGAGAAGAACATTACTTTAACCTTGACTTGGGTATACAAGGCATTATGTAATATTTGTGCGATATTTCACATGGTGATTTTTATGTTAAAAAAAACTATAAACATGTGGTTTAAAATGCTTCGTTTTCATTGGTGCATAATTTTCTTAATAATGTACCCTGTGAGAGCCAAATTCCCAAAAAATCACCTCTGTATCTGGAAAACGAAGCAAATATCGGACACTCTGTATTGTAAGTTTAGATAAATGAATCAATGAATCAAAGCAGTCCTCTATTTTTACAGGTTTCCTATATGTTGTTAATTGGAAGCTTTAAAATGTGTTTCCTAAATAATAACAAAAAAGTTGGAAGTTGAAAAGCTTGCAAAAGCATTTCTAACATCATTTGGCGATAGCCATATTTCAAATTTAAAACAGTTCTCATATTCTCTAGAGACGTTTAACGTGAATCACCCTGTGCCGGTCTAAAAAAATGACTTCAAGATGCAAAGGAAAAAAAGGCGACGTCATTTCAT